AAAGTGCAATGAGACCTCTCTGATTTAGAGGCTGAATTCTTTTTACATCACAATTTTTGTTTCAGTCTCTTGGAAACCACGAGTTCGACAACGGAGTCAGCGGGCTAACACCCTTCATAGAAAATCTTACGTGCCCAGTATTATCTGCCAATCTTGTTCTTAATAAAGTGCCAGAACTTGCTAGGGAACCTAACCTTAAAAAATCTATAGTACTCGATGTTGCGGGTCACAAAATAGGTATAGTTGGCTACTTAACTCCAGAAACCAAAGTATTAGCAGTACCAAATGACGTCGAGTACTCTGATGAAATAGAGGCTCTTAACAAAGAAGTGAAGTTACTGCAATATAAAGGAATTAAAATCATTATTGCAGTTGGCCACTCTGGATATCTTAGAGATTTACAAATTGCTAAAGGAGTTGATGGGTTAGATTTAGTTATTGGTGGACATACCAACACATTCTTATGGAACGGCACTAGTCCAGACGCGGAACAACCCGAAGGCTTCTATCCCACTTACGTGCAGCAACCATCTGGAAGAAAAGTTCCTGTTGTTCAAGCGTATGCTTATACCAAGTACTTAGGAAAAATACATTTGGTATTCGATTCTGAAGGTAATTTAGTTAGTTCAGATGGAACGCCAATACTTTTAGACCATAATATACCTCAAGACGAAGAAGTATTGAAAATAATAACCAAGTACAAAGCCAGTGTTCTTAATTTAACAGAAGAAGTTATTGGAAGTACCGCCGTAATTATAAGTGCCCATTCGTGTTCAGGCGCAGAATGTAATATGGGTAACTTGATCACCGATGCGATGGTTTATAAGTACGCTTCAGAATACACTGGGGAACATTGGACAGACGCTCCTATTGCTATAATCCAAGCTGGTGGCATACGCACGTCAATAGCACGTGCAAAAATGCCAACAAATATTACCGCAGGAGACTTACTTGCAGTGATGCCTTTTGAAGGTAGTGCAGTTACTATAACAGTCAATGGTAGCACTCTCTATGAAGTATTGGAATACTCTGTCTCTCATTTCAATCGTTTAGATTCAAACGGGGAATTCTTGCAGTTATCTGGTATTAAAGTCGTGTTTGATCTTAGAAGGCCACCCGGATCAAGAGTTGTTGATGCTAAAGCCAGGTGTTGGGCATGTGATATTCCCAAATATTCAAAAATAGTCGATAAAGATATTTACAAAGTGATAATGCCAGGTTTCCTTGCAACAGGAGGGGATGGATTCTCTATGTTTCTTAGTTTACCTAAAACAACTTTAGGTTACAATGAACTAGCATGTACTAAATATTACGTTTCGCATCATAGTCCAATTTACCCACAAATTGAAGGGCGTATCACTTTCTTAAATGATCATAAAATGAGTTCATCTTCCACTGCAAAAGTATCATTATTATTATTGTTTCCTATTTTAACATCGTTTATAGTATAAGTTCTCAGATGGTACAAATTAAATTTAGTAGCAAAGAAGTTAATTGAATTCCTATTAATTAATTATGACCGAACTATTTCCATTTTACTGTTGTGTTAGGTATTAGGTAGGTACTGATTAATTTTTGCCTACATTTGATCGAGTATTATTGCAACTTAAGTATTATTTATTTGTTAAATTAGTGACTCCAAAATGTGTCATAAGCGTTGACTTTTATGTGAAATAAAGTTTTAATGATATTCACGTTCATTTTATTTTAAACGCCTAAAAAATAAAGAGTCTAAAAATGCACAAAAATCGTGAAAAATAAATTACACAAGAGAAGTAAGAATAACGAGCGAAATAGCTTCACTAGAGAACTGACCGATAGACGGACATTTTTTGAAATAATTCAATATTTTGTAATGACGGTGAACAGTGCCTTCCTGGTCTAATTGAAATAAATAATTTTGACTTTGAAGGAATAATCTTGTAAGTGTTTAGAAACCGACCAATTTAGAATTCTTAAATGCACTAATGGGGTTATTCTTAGTTTTCTGAAATTGGTGTGATTTATGACTTAACCAATGGCGCTATTAGCATGGTGGTAAAGCGGGTAGTAAACGCCAAAGCAGTTTGTTCTTAATATGGATCTTACGAATAAGGTTAAGGATTCACGGCGATGTTCTCCCGGTCCCGCCGCTGTTGTGGGCCCGCAGCCTTTATAGAATACAAATATGTATGTAAAAAATCAAAGCAAAATTTCGCGGCGCATTTTACGCCCGCGGCGGTTCCGTTGGTTTACGGCTCCCGCTGCACCGGTTCTGCAGCTGCTGCGATCCCGCTGCCGCACCGACTAGCACCCGCGCGCTCTGCGATCGGTTGTTGGCGGGCGATCGCAATGGGACGGTTGGTCTGATGACAGTTTTAGTTCATCATCATCAACAGCCTATAAATGCCCACTGCTGCGCAAAGCCTCTTCTCACACGGAGAAGTTTAGAGCATTAATCACCACGCTTGCTCAATGCGGGTTGGCGATTTCAAACTTATAATTAGAAATTATAAGCCGAGGTTTCCTCACGATGTTTTTCCTTCACCGTTTGTCAGTGGTGTCTAAATAATCTTAGAAAGTACATATAACTCGGAAAAAGTCACATTAGTACTTGCCGTTGGTAGGTTTCAAACTCGCACCCTCATGCATGAGAAGCAGGCGTCTTAAACCTCCGAGCCACCACGACAGTTTTAGTTAGTTACACCAATCTAGTTATTTAAGAATCACTTAAATGAGTCTTATTTGTGTATGTATAAGTTATTAATAAATCTACAAACTGTTGTGGCAATGGACAGGCCACATCGCTCAAAGGAGTGATGGCTGATGGGCCAAGCAAGTGTTTAAGCTCTATTTTATTCTTTCCTATTTTGTAGAGGTATATATGCCTATTAAATATATTTTCGTCTTTGCAACCATTGTTTTATTTCTTCTATATATATGTGAACTATAAAATAATGTTGTGTCTTAGATTTCAACTTATTTCACAACTATATTGAAGGTAGCTGTGGTACAGGTAGGTATAACAATACTCAATGAAGATAAAATTAGGAACTAAGAAAGTAAGCCAGATAGAAGTTTGCAGTCAGGCGTTCAGGAAGACATTGCCTGTGTATCAAAGATATGGGGTCCAGAACTTTTAATTAAGACCGCACTACAATGTCATCTATAAAAACTCACGTGGTTAAGTACAGGCAGTGATTCTAAACTGATTCAATATTTGATATGTACCTATGCAGGTCAGAAAGTAACGATTGGTTCAGTGCAGCGACTATTGATCTGTTTAGTAGCCAACCAATCATAGACATAGTTTTTTTATTGGTAATGGGTAGGTTAAAAATTGTTACGTTAAAAACCATAAAATTTTGAATTACTTAAAATAATTGGAGGCTGTCTCTGTACTGAATCAATGTTTATTTAATTACCTGCATACCAAATAAATTGGCTATTTTTTAACGGTTAAAAGACTTACAAGAGGTTAAAATTTAACCTGATTAACCATGTAAAATCAGAAGCACAGCAGATCCTAACTCGATCCCAACGCTATATGTATTTTAACCTTAAACTGGACACAGAACAAAAACTGTATTTCATTTTAATATTAAATTTTTGCCATAAAAAGGCAAGCTCACACGCAATAGTTTACGATATTGAGATTTACCTACTTTATGAAATATAATTGTATACAACATCAACTTAATTGGTTTTATTTTCTCCCAATCATAACCAATCTAATCGAATACAAATGTAAGGTTGCTGCATAATTAACCTGATCCAATAATGTTAATTATTCATTATGTTAATTATTCAATAGTATTATTATAGTAATTTAGTATTCACAAGGACGTTGACACAGTCTGTTTATACAGATAACAGTGGCGGCCTCTATCTTTTTATTTCCAAACAACCACTACAACAGAGCGTATTTTAAATTCCGGTCTAATTCGAAAGGGGTGTAGAGGTGCAATGGTTAAAACGATATTAACTCGTCGGGTACCGGTTTTATAGACACAATTAAAGAACAATAGGTCGCGGTCACCGGTGACCGCTCGGTGTTTGACAGATTAACTGGACAATAAAAAGAAATAGATGTACAAACTTTAGAAACCCATATACAGGGTGACTTGTAACTCGACGTATTCCTCTCGGGAGGTGATAATACAACTAATTTCCTACAAAGTTAGCCCTGAGTCTCTGGTCCGAAAGTGGCTAGTTTCTGAGATAACGTATTCAACATTTTCGGTTTTGGTGAAAAAATCCCCATCGAACTACAAAAACGTCAATAAATAAAAAAATACTTGTTTGATTTTAGTGATTTTAGTTTTAATTTGTTGTCAATACACCAATAAACATTTATTATTACTAATACTGGCAGAAATATCATTCGTTTTAAAATAGCAAGTAAATTAGTATCAAATTTTGTTTTGTGTCTCTAATTTGGTCAATTGAAAACTGCATTTAGCTTAAAACAAATTACACTAGGCATAAAGACTATTAGAAAAACTTTCTTAGTTTATTAGCTACCCAACCAAAGGCTACACCTACATGCTAAATTATTTATAAAATTCTCAAAACTGAATTCATAACTTGATGATAAGTTGAATGTAAAGGAAAACGGGCAATTTCAAAAACATCATCATTTGCAAAATTTGGTTCAAAGTGACCTTCAATGTCATCATAGGTATCATGTATTCTTAAACATGCTCGCACACGCTTCCTTATTTCTGTAGCGGTCACTCTTGAAGTGAATGTGCGTCTAATCTAGCTAATGGGTTTTTTTTATTTTGTACATAAAAATACCTGAATTCTTTGTAGTAAGTTTTAGTAAGTTATTTTCAATCAGACGTATTTTCATTTTCACTGTTCTTATTGTACTATTAAAAATACCATCACTTTATAAGATGGCAATATTTCGCCAACACAAAAGTTTGCCTAGAAGAATATTGACATGTAAAATGTACCTACCTACACACATACACTAATAAGTTACAATATATCATGACACCAGCTTTTCCTTACAGTCACTGGGCAACCACGAGTTCGACGAAGCAGTGGATGGAGTCGTGCCCTTTATTAGAAACTTGAGCACACCCGTACTAGCGGCTAACCTCATCCTAGACAATGTACCAGAACTAAAAAACGAAAAGAACCTATACAAGTCCATCGTGATAATAAAAAACAACGTAAAAATTGGTATAATCGGGTATCTTACACCTTTAACGAAATATCTCGCCCCCCATAACAATGTAGAATACGAAGATGAAATTCCAGCAATAAGACGAGAAGTACAGAAACTCAAGGCACAAAATGTTAACATTTTAATAGCTCTCGGACATTCCGGATTCTTAAAAGACTTAGCCATTGCAAAAGAAGTGGAAGATCTTGATTTAGTAATCGGAGGTCACTCTAATACATTCCTTTGGAACGCTGCTAGTACTCCAGAGAAACCTGAAGTGCGCGAAGGGCCATATCCCACAGAAGTGAAACAAGCAAACGGTAGAATCGTTAGAGTCGTACAAGCATACGCTTACACAAAGTATATGGGAAAACTGCATTTAATTTTTGATGCGACAGGGGAAATCGTTAAATGTGACGGTACTCCTATACTATTGAACCAAAAGATTCCAAGAGACCCCGAACTTTTAAAAACCGTCAATAAGTATCATGCAGATATGGATCGAATAAACAGTGAACCTGTTGGAAGTTCATTCGTTTATCTTAATGAAACAGGATGTAGATTACGAGAATGCAATATAGGTAACTTAATTGCTGACGCTATGTTAAATTATACGAGAGAGCAACATCACCAAGAGTATCCTGATGTAAATATAGGCATTGTACAAGGAGGTCGTATAAGGACCTCGATATACCATGAAGGTAAACCATTCACCGTTACTAGAGGCGATTGGATAAACGTCTTGCCGTTTTCAGACTCATTGACAATAATTACAATGAATGGTACTACATTAAGAGAGAGTCTAGAGCATTCTGTATCAACATGGCGGACTACTGACAGTACTGGACAATTCCAACAGTTTTCTGGAATGCAAGTCATTTACGACTTAGCTCAGCCTGTTGGTTCTCGCGTTGTCAGCGCTAAAGCAGTTTGTTCTAATTGCGGATTCTACGACTTACAAGACATAAAAGACGAATATGAATACAAAGTGATGATGCCAACATTCCTAGCTGAAGGAGGAGATGGTTATACTATGTTCACGAGTCTCCCAAGTAAATCCCTTCCATATAATGAATTGGATAGTGTTTTATACTACTTGGCAAACTACAGCCCTGTGGATACGCATTTAGACGGTCGTATAATACTACTCAATGAAGACAAGATTAAAAACTTAGATACCAAACCTGAAAGAAGGTTGCATTCAAACGCAGTACCGATTAAATCTAGACTAACATGGTTTTATGTACTAACAATATTAGTTATATCTTCTTAAATACTCATTTAGGACCATAATAATAATAATTAAGATTTTTAGTAGTCATTGTTTCTATCATGAAACAATTTCGTTTAAAGCGACAATATTGATTCTTTTATAAATCATTTAGATATTCCAGTTTTAGATATTTTTTGTAGCATTCCTTCCATAACGTGATATGACCTGGAATCACTGCTAGAAGTAGAATTCAAGTCTTTATAGTATTATGTATTTAGTATGCTTTTTATGTAGCAAGTGAAGTAGATAGAAAATCATGTGATAGTTTTATTATTATAATAGTTTATTTGTTGATTTTTATGGCTATGACATACTTAACAGCTTCGATAATTGATACGTCTCTGTCTAAATTGACTGTTAGTACAATCTCTCTGGTATCATGAACTTATTTGCCATGAACATAATTTTTCTTATAATGGAACACAATTTTTATGTAGACGTATAAATTGATTTAAGCTTGACTATATACTCAAGACGTATGTACTCTTATCCATTCAGATAACTACCTCTGTTAAGTACAATCGTATAAAAATTCGTATAGCCCCAATTGTTGTTTTGTTAGCAAGTACATTTGCAGTGCCGTAACTACGGGGCAGCAAATCGGGGAAAATGCCACAAGCACGGCCCCCGTTCAAGTTTTCATCTGAAGTTCTTTATTTTTTATTGAGACTACGGTAAAAAGGGGCGAATAGGGTAAGAACGGCGAAAAACGACAGAAAAGGGGTGAATCGATACTATGAAGAATTTCCTTATATTTATTTATTCACCCCTCTTTTGTCCCTATTCAGCTCTCGATCCCTATTCACCCCATTTTATGGTATCCGATGAATCTACCACTGGCCCAGATACAGAGGCGTATCTAAACCCGTCGGTTTAGATACGCCTCTGTACATTTGAGTCGTTCATGTTTATACTGTTATTTAATATTTCAATAATTAATGTTGCATTTTAAAACATTTATTCAGTTTAAACTGAACTTTTAGTATAGTAGTATTATTGTATATTTTCTGTTAAATGTAAGGATGTTTGAAAAATAAAAAAAGATTCTAATTTGACACACATTTATTATTAGACAGTTGAATACAATTATTGCACCTATTGTGCCTACAAAAATGTGAGATAATGTAAACACATAGAGTATTGTAGTACAAAAAGTCTCCTGTCTCCATTTATAAGAAGGTAAGTTAAATTCTCAAAAATACACTAGGTACGAATACCTAGAAAAAATATTAAAAATAACATATATTTTAGGAAAAGTTATACATACTTCCAAAAATAGATATTAGCAAAAATTGGACATTTGGAGACTTTTTGTTTTATAAGGTACAGGCTACGCAGCAGACCAACCGTCTCCTACCGTCAAAATTTAATAAATTTTCAACGTTACATTATAGTAATAAAGTCGAAAGCCTATTAAATCTGGCGTCTGTACCTGTAGTCCGCGATAAACTTTACGACAGCTAGGAAATTTCTACGAGTCGCAACGCAAAGCATATCCACAGCAGTACGTGCGTATAACTCCGGCGCCACACGTTAGTTGCAAGGTTCCCAAGGCAACTCCCCCAAACTCGCCCAACGATCTAGAAAATAACATTGGCTCCAACGTTGGAGCGAGTTGCGTTGGGGCCAACGTGTGGAGTCGAGGTAAACAAAACCATACTGCGCCTTATTATTTAATTATAATATTCGGACACTCGTAGCCAACTTCCGATCTGTCATTAAGTTTGTACACAACCACGAAGTATAGAGGTAAAGAGTATCCGTTGTAATCAAAGGGTATCAAAAGACTATGATTCGTCTAATGCCGGAATACTGAAACGTTACTCAATTTTAAGTCGTGCTTAAATATCGTGTCATCTCTGTCATTTTACAAAGAATTTGTGGAGACAGAACTATACTTAAGCGCGACTTAAAATTGAGTATCGTTTGAGTATTCCGACATAAGAGTGTTAAATAAAAGCAAGGACGTTGAAAAAATAGGCGGACATAATGTCACTTAAAAATGATTGAAGCACTAAAATGTCAGTGGGTCATTTATGTGTGCGTGTGTAATGGGTTACCACGACCAGACTTAAGAAACTGACAGATATCGTTCGTGTCAATGTATGTGTGTTCTGCGTGTGAATCTATAGTAACCAGCAGCTGTAGCCAAATGCCATTTATCGCTTGCCTACTTGTAGAATAGAAAACCAAATTATATGGAATTGACGGAAATTTTGACACTTGTCAGTGTCATCCCTATACATTTAGTTTTCTACTCTCTCTGTAAACAAGGGCTAAAGTGGCGTTTGGCTAAAGGCACAGGTGCCAAAGATGAAAGCACAGCGGACAGAGTCTCTTAAACAACTTTCAAGATAATGTGTCCGTTTTTTTCAACGTCCTTGCATAAAAGTGGTTATCAAACTGCGAGAATTGGGTGAACAATACCGTGGTCCAGAGTACTGTGCTATTAAATAGGGAGCTACCGTTTTTTGTTTCACCAGTTGACGTCACGTTTGTTCGTCAAATAGAAAATCAGCATAGCGTAGCATGTTATACCTGCAGTGATTGAACAAACAAGCCTCAGGCTATTGGTACCATCTAATGCGCTAAAAAATGGTAGCTCTTTGAGGCTACTGTAAGTACCAAAGGTGGTATATTATTATAATGTGATTATAGAAACAGTAGTATGGACTCTAAACCACTATACTCCATGGTATGACTAAGAATATTTTAAAGTACAGTTCGCATCAAATGTCTTGTCCATATTGTTAAAATAAATTCAATTTTTTTTCAAGTCAGCAATTATAATAATGAAATAGATAGCAAATGTCAATGCAAAAACAATTAAGACATTTGATGCGACTGTTCACAATGATTTAATACACATAGGAGATTATATTCCTTATTATTATTGATTTTATAATCATAATCAGAAATACATAAGTACAGTAAATATGAATTATAGGGTATTTGACCATTTCTCGATTTAAGACATTTATTTCCCAAAAACAATTAACATTGACTTGACAGGAGAAATACAAGAAAAGAAATACTAAAGTAGGTACAGAATGCGTACCAGTATCCGAACGATATACCCGTATATATGAACAACCAAAATATTACATTATATACTTGGAACACTTTCAGTAGACGAGGGTGATTTAATAAATATTGAGTTCTGAAAATCAACATAGTAATAGGAATTTGCAGTAGCAACGATCTTATTATGTATCAAAGATTAGGAACACATCAGTTGCTATAACAGATATAATAATAGTTCTGTTATGAACAACTATTAATACTGTGCTACAATGTATGTATGTTTATATGTTATATTAATTTTAGTATTGAATCAATTAATCAATGTGTGAACGGTCCTTAAGAGGATAATCAAATTAAATACGTACGGTAAAACGGGGTGAATAGAATTCAACAGGTGAATAGATACAGAAGAGGAATGAATAAATATTTAGAAAATGTTATAATATTTATTCACCCCATTCCTGTATCTATTCACCCCTCGAATTCTATTCACCCCGTTTTACGGTAATTGTAAGTAACAAAAAGACATTGTTTTTTTTATCTACTCGATCAAATACCCTTAGGAAGTAACAACAAAAAATAGTAGTCAAAATACGTATGATAATACCATTCCAATACTCTTATAATCTAAGAATTAATACGTCAAAACTACTGAGTACACAAACATTTAGGCCATTCTTTATAAATCTGATATTTTGTTATGAAATCTTTAGACCATTACTGTACCAGAAACAAAAAGAGACAGCAATAGTGTTGGTTTCTTTCTATCGCACTATCGATGACATTTTGCTATCTCAGAAATTCAGTTTCAGTAATTGTATTAATTGTAATTGAATATTATATTATTAATTATTAAAGTATGGCAAGATTTTTTAAATGTTTTTTATTTGTTTTGAGATACCACTGATCCCTCTTTGGATATGAATTGTCAGGTTAGTTTTATATATTTCTAATCCTTCAGTCCTTATTCCTTTCCCATCAACCACATAACTCTATCGACCGAATCCTGAAAAGCTACTCAATTTTAAGCTATATTTAAATATCGTGCTATCTCTGACATTTTACAAAGAATTTGTTGAGACAGAGTGCCAAGCAGCTGTCGCATTCGTAACGTAATAGTATCGAGGGCATTCGCCGCTCCGATTGGCCGGGTCCAGTGAACCAACCAATCAGAACGCCGAACGCGGTCGATACAATAACGTTACGAATGCGATAGCTATTCGTGCTTGGCACTCAGAGGCCCTAGAACGAATTCTTTTTCGTTTAAAGTAATCGAAACGAGACGGCATTCTGTGCTCAGAGGCCTTAGTACGAGTTTATTTTACGTTTCAAGTATTCGAAACGAGTACGCGTTCTGCGCTCTGATTGGCCGGCTCGAATGAAGCAACCAATCAGAGGCCTTAGTACAAGTTTGATTTACGTTTAAAGTATTCGAAACGAGTACGCGTTCTGCGCTCTGATTGGCCGGCTCGAATGAAGCAACCAATCAGAGGCCTTAGTACAAGTTTGATTTACGTTTAAAGTATTCGAAACGAGTACGCGTTCTGCGCTCTGATTGGCCGGCTCGAATGAAGCAACCAATCAGAGGCCTTAGTACAAGTTTGATTTACGTTTAAAGTATTCGAAACGAGTACGCGTTCGACACTCTGATTGGCCGGCGCCAATGAACGAACCAATCAGAGCTCCGAACGCGTACTCGTTACGATTACTTTAAACGTAAAACAAACTCGTACTAAGGCCTCTGAGCGCCGAACGCGTACTCGTTTCGAATACTTTGAACGTAAATCAAACTCGTACTAAGGCCTCTGATTGGTTGGTTCATTAGAGCCGGCCAATCACAGCGCCGAACGCGTACTCGTTACGATTACTTTAAACGAAAAAGAAACTCGTATTAAGGCCTAAGATCTATATTTAAGCGCGACTTAAAATTAAGTAGCGTTTGAGTATTTCAGCGTATGAAAAGTACTTACAGTATCAATAGAAATAAGTACTTCTCATTTACTTTTGCTCTTCAAGAGCGAAACAGCACCAAAACAAATTCTAGATGTTAAAGCTTACTGTTATTAGTATTAGGCTCAATTTTAACCAAACCAAGTTTTAAACCTGTAAGTTTTAAAAACTTTATCAAAAATAAACAATAAACTTTATTTTCAATATAATTATTATAGTGTAACACTGTTCACATTATTTATAGGCGTTGCCTCAACCATAGAGGTGTTATTCAGTAGCAAAAGATTGCTATTATTGTCATTATTTATACAAAAAGTCCTAAAATTTTACTAATTTATTATGAGGATAGCTAATTTGATTAGTAATTGAGTTTTAATTGGATATGATAGGCTAGTCAATTTGATGTCCAAATTAAACCAAACCAAATCAAAATAAGATAATTTTACTATTTAGACCTTTTATCCATTTCGCAAATAACTATTAAATTAAAACACCTTTGGATCAGACATACCTATATAACAAATCACATAACAAGACTAAAATTTGAAATAATAACAAAAAAAAATGCACTTTAAGACTTACAGGTTGAATTCTGATCACCCCATGGGCCTTAAATATTTTCAATATTATTTTTATAAACAAACTGTTCTAAATCCCTTATAGAGTTGGTCTTTCCAGTCCAGCATCTAATGTCAACCCTGATAGTATTTTAATGGCACAAACAACACCAATACATTAATAGTAACATTATGATTAAATATACGTTAATTAATAAACACTACAAATATTACTGTTGATCAGAAAATATATGTTATTTTTGTCAAGTACAGCTTAGCAAAAAGAATTTAGACACATTGAGGTCGCTCGTTTTAAGTGTGGGAAAGCCATGCTTCAGCACGAATGGGCCGGCTCGACCGGAATGATACACAGAAAACCGACGTGAAGCAACGCTTGCGTTGTGTTTCGTCGTGTGAGTGAGGTTACCGAAGGCCCAATTACCCTCCCCTTCCCCAATCTCCCTAATTCCTGAATCCCCAACGATCATCAAACTCCTAATTCCCCAAAAGCCCGGTAACGCACTTATAACGCCTCTGGTGTTCCAGGTGTCCATGGGCGACGCCGATTGCTTACCATCAGGTGATCCGTCTGCTCGTTTATCGGCTTATGCCATAAAAAAACTGATACAGACTTAATCGGTTTTGATATTTGTTATTTTTGTCGATTTTAAAAAGAGGATGTTCTATGATCGGATGATTGTTTATTCATAGGATATGGCCCGAAGTGGGTGATTCAATCCAAGTCAATAGTAGTTCCAGCTGTCACCGAGTTAAACCCTTTTTTGCCAAGCTGTATGTCTGTAGGTAACTTGGATTTGATAAAAACCTTATTAACAGACTTAAAAAAAGGAGTTTTCTCATTGTAAAGTGTGTAGAACTATCCGACTATCAAAAGTGTGTAGAGTATCAAAAAACAGACAAGCAGTTTTATTTTATTTGTTTGACTTTCTAAACTGCTTTTTTGGTCTTATGAACATATACTACTACGCTTCTTTGTCGGCAAATATCTAAATTTTTTTATGCCAAAGTACTCAGGTACAATGACGCAGCTGAAGTCAACATCAATTAACTTATTACTCCAAGAAAGGTTTCTTTCTGTATTTGATTTTCAATAAGAAATAGTATTCATAGAAATATTACTGTCAATACACCCTAAAATGGCTCGAGATGTCATACAAATCGCACTAGGAGACCTTTGCCAAGCAATTAATTAGAGGTGTTAAAAATTTTGAAAACCATAAAAGGGCTTTATGACGTAACTCGCTATGCAATACCCAGACAGTTCGTAGACATACTATAACCAATTTTCTGATCAACAGTAATTAGCTAAATATTTAGACATCGATGTTACACAAAACTAATCTAAACATGAAACCAGCCACTAACTGGCTTGGTTGTACGACAAAGACAAAACTGTAACATTAATACAATAAATACTGACAATTTTCAAAACAAAATCTAAACCAAAATAATTTAGATTGTCAGTAATCAGGCCTGAACAACGATGTATGACAACAGAAGGTAGCACTGTGTTAAAGATAACCAAAATCACCGTTCATCAATCCAACCGATAAGCTTATAGGTATTCTAACTCGCCAGCACTACAACACATGCTTCAATAACAGAGGCATATGATTTATATACTGAAGAATAACATAATATAACAGTTACTTTTCCAACTCCCTCACAATTCAACTGATATTTTTCATACCCTTTCCTAGCCCCGAGGACTATACTCTAATCTCACAAAATGTGTCATAATATCCCTGTTATCTCATTAGTCTTCTGAATTTCGTCATTTCAATAAACCGACTCAAAACTTAAACATTTTAAACTTATCCTAAAATACTTGTAGAGACTAGAATTCAAAACGTTAATCGCAAAAGCAAAAATTTTTCCAAAATTTGTGCGAAAATTGAAACAAATACAAGTACAAATTATATCGGCACTGTTAATACAAGTTTTTTAATTATTTGCACTGAAAAAAGGACCAATTATTTTCGGATTTGAAGGGTAATTGATGCACCTTAAAACAAAAAGGAATGTTTGAGAACATTGTCTTTTATATGCAATTTTTGTTTTACTTCAAAATTAGTCACTTTAGTTGGATATACCTAATAATTTCACAAATATTCAATCTGTTCTTAAAGGAGAGTGTTAAGTTGGGAAAATCCCTAATTAATGAATTATTATTTCGTGACTCCTTTTCACTTAGGTACACAATCACCCTATATGAAAATTCAGTCAAAACAACAGACAAAAACACAAAAAATACAAATCGCGTAGCACAAAACTCCAGATAAAGTTAAATAAAATATAATAAAATAAATAGGTAAGCAAGACAATCTACTTAAGCTGCAAGATCACGGGCTCCTTCTCCAGAAAAGAATTTAGTACTGTGTTTAGGTAACACAGCTGGAGGAATATGAAAGTCAATGGACTTTGTGAATTCAACAGGGAGAACGCCTGCAAGTATCTGAAGACATTGCTTCATCATCTCCTGAACATTAGCCGCCTCTTTGCAAGGAACATAAGGTTCTAAAGCTGTAGCCAACTTACACAAGGGCTGGAACTCCTTCACAGCGCATTCCTTATCAGCTTTCTGGAGAAATGTAATCACCTCATCGCTCAAATGCTTGTTTATCATCTGTACCACTTCTTTAGGTAGGTTTTTTGCATGTGGCAAGTCAAGGTAGTTCGGCCAGTCATACACGCAAGCTTCGCATTTGCAAGTGAATTTGTATTGAGAAAGTAAAATAGCATGCCGAGTCTGCCTGTCAGTAAGTGCATGGTGAGCTCTGGAAAAAGAGATAAGTTGTATTAGAATTTTTATTAATGTGCAAAAAATAAATGAACTCATTATTACATTGTAGTAGTAAATAAACATTTTTGCAAATATTAGTATTTCCATTCAGTTAAAAATGAAACTTTAGCTGTAGCATGTTATTATTTAATATTTTTGTCTCTTGGCATAACTTATAGACACTTCATTAAATAAGATCTTAAAAATGTCTACTTTGGCTCCACATCATCGTATTCTGTTGCATGCATCATTTGCAGGCCGATTTCTTCACTTGGTTCCAATTCCAGAATAACTTTGGAGTTCAACTGCTCTTCATCACGGACCAGCTCGAAGCACCTAGGTTTAATTACACCAGTGTTGCAGTATTAGTAGGCATGGTATTCATATTTCATGTTAACAAATTTAACTACAAATATGTCACACCAACATGCAATACATTGTGTTATTAAGAAGCTAAAACCATGCACACATGCTTTTTGTTTCTGAAATTCATTCCACATAATTCAATATATGAACAATTCTAAAATTATTGCCCCTATTTTGGTGAAATAACAAATATTAGTTATGATCATTATTGAATTATATGTCTGAATAAGCTTTAAACTCTACCATATATTTTAAATAAAAAAACTTACCCATAATTGTCAAACAGTTGTGATCCTTTCTTGATTGGTCTAATAGCAAACAAAGTAGTGCGTGAGGTGCCCAATTTAGTGTACCGTACCACATTCGGTGCACATGAATGATTAATCAAACTTAAAAATGCATAGGCTCCACTTGCAATACTATACTCTTCTTCAACATTTCCATTATCAATCTCTACATTAGTAGATATGCCATGCATGTTGGTGGGTGCAGTCATAAGATGACGAAGCACATTATCAGCAATGAAAGATTTCAGTTGTTTACGTTCTTCATCATTCTCTGTCTTGATAAAATTGGTCACAGCCAAGATATGCACGAGAACAGCAGCACTGACACATTTTTGGAAAATATCTGAGATATCCCGTTTAGAGACATTTGTGGCTAAAGTATGTATAGAAGAGTAATACTTTGAAGAATAAATCATCTTGCCATCCACTTTCTTGCATCCTACATCTTCCTTATTGTCGCATGAGTCTGCATCAGAGAGAGTCTTAAACAAAGCACTATTACTCGCATGACCTGTCTTAGCTAGTATTGTGGTTCGCAGAGCAAGCAGTTCCAATTTAGTGAAATTTGCTTTGTATAAATATGCTCCTACAGGACATTCATATTTATGATATTGCTCCCAGGCGTTGGCGCTACAATCCTCAGTACAGTACAAAACGAGTACACAATAAGGGCAGGGTTTTAAATTATATTTCCTTGAAAAACAATGAGCACATGAGATACTATACTGTGACTTCAATAGCACTTGGACAAATGGATCTTCTTGAACTAGTACTTCACCAACTTCAATATCCTCATTGGCAATTACATGTCTTCCCAATTCAGGTGTATATTTGACTGCAAGTTTAGAGCTTGCATCAATATACTTTTCATGTTTGGGCACCTTGAAACTAAATATGTCATTGCCAAGGTAATCCTTATCATCATTGTTAGATTTAGGTTTCTCTTTTAAAGCATCCTCACATATCTTTTTCCGCTTTAGTAATTTATCCCTTATGGTATCTGGATAATCATATTGAAACACAGTTTCAATATCTTTAATGCATTCTTCATATTTATTCCAAGCTGCTAATATTGCAGATCTATTAGCAATGGCTAAGACAAAACAGTAAGATGGAAAAATAGGCAAGGGAGCATACATCAAAGCCAAATTATAATGTTGCCAGGCCATGGACAAATGTTTCCGTTTATATAAAGCGTTGCCAAGGTTACGGTAGTGGTCAGACTTTCGTGAACACTTGTCTTCCTTTAAAATAAGTGGTATGAGATCATATCCTTTTAAGATATCATACACATACAATACCTTCTTTTCATTGCCTTCCAAATTCATAAGCTCCTGTGAAACCTTTTTTATCTTTTTATCTGATGTTAAATCTTGAAGTACGTGTTTATAAATTATATCAATAGTTAAGTCAATATGGTCAGCTGGAAACATTATTGATTATTTCAGTGTTTCATTTACTGTCCTGAAACTAGTACTGTTGCAATGTCACACTTCGCAACACCCTTTATAGCTATTAATTTGGGCTGTGAAATGGTGTTTGTTATAGACCAGCGCTTGAAAGCGCAAAATATTTCTTTGGACAAATCTGAAAAAGGTGAGTTCTTAGTGTTTACTGTTTATAACCTATAAGTTATTTTAGAAAAATTTGAGTGCTTATTGGCAAACTTTCATTGAAAAACATTTGGAAACATTTATTTTCAGTACTCACCGATGTAGTGACTGTTCTATTTCACCCTAAGCTGCTAGATGAATTATTTACGCCACAACCGGTGGCCACTCACACTCTAATGAAACAACTACTTCAAGATATATCCGCCTCCTCAATAATGAAACTGGATGATTATTCAATGAGCAAACTATGGGATCTTATGACGATGATCTTCAAATGGCAATTGTCTGTAGCGACGAATCAAAATATTTTCGACATCACCCGCCGCCATCTGCGGAGTGTTGCCATGCTAATGCCAGTATTTTTCCCCAAATGCATTATTGAACAAGTCATGAGAAGATTTGAAAATTTAGCTCACCAATTTACTGATGATGACTATAAAGGTCTGAGCAATACACTTTTACTTTGGTTTTCAGAATATCATGCTAAAATATCTGTGCTTCTAAGATTAGGGTTACAAAGAAAAGATGGGTCGTTTTATTTACCATCTACAATAAGTACAAATATTTTACATAATGTTGGTGAGAATATTTATAAATATGATAATAAAAAAAATCCTATTGAAGATTTTGAAAGCCGAAGTGCAGATACGAATGAAATAAACTGTCTCTTAGCAACAATAGAAAAAGTTCATTCTAAAAATAAAATTGAGTTACAGTTACCCATTGAATTCGGAAACACAAGCTCGAGAAAGAAAACTTTGGAAATACCCAGAGATATTCAATTTGAAACTATTGATACAAATGTGAAAAGTAAGAACGCAGACCTGACTTTCATTCCTGACATTCCAAAATCTCCACAAGAGGACCTGCTAGACATGTTAGAAGTACCAGGAGATTCAATGTAGATGTCGAGGTGTAAAATACCTTCTCCCGATAAAATTGGAAACTGTAACTGGATATGGCTGGCAACACCAAGTTATTGATGGACATGGTATTGATTTTTTAGAAAAATAACTTATTGAATACCTAGCACCTACCTGTTGCGTAATTAAAACAAATACCTCCCTGTACCTACCTAGGTAAAGGTATTTGTTTTAGATAATTTATTTACTCACACGATATAGTCGAAATACGTACTCTAAGCAATATTTTATTCTAAGACCTAGTTTTAGGTAATGCGTGATCCGCAATCCGCGTGGAAAAGTTTATGCAGAATTTAATTTTTGTCATATCTCTTTTTCCAACTCATTATTGTTGTGACAAATTACCGCAAAATCGATTCAGTTCTTTAGTCGTTTTCTAGTGATAGTGTAATAGACTCACAGAGTCAGAAAAATCACATTTTCGTCGCTCTTTTAAAATATCAGTACCTATCTAATACCTTTAGTAGTAGTTAGTACCTTACTTACTTAAGTAATGTAATCCTATATTTTTTAATGTTTAGTTCAGTAAAAATATAAATACTTGCATTATACCTACTTCTGTAAACGCTCTAATGGAGTGTACCAAAGATAATCTTAACGTTGTGGCTAGACAAAATGCTAGTTATACAATATTCAAGTTAGTTTCTTTAAAAGGATAGTGGAGTAGGTAGGAAATGCATTTAATTTTCTTCTAAGCTTACTATAAATTCAAGCGACTTATTCACATTCGCAACTCTCTTTTATACACTACAACATATTATTTTATTTTGTAAACAACTTTGGCCTCTAGTGATTAATCAATTAATATCTGTATTTATTACATTCTAATGGCAACCTGTGGACAGTGTTGTGGGTTTTATTACCCAAAATGTATCTATAGTTAATATTAAGTTAGTAAGACTTTATAATGTAATTGTTTACTGTTCCTCTCAATAAAAATACTATAAAAAAATCTACTTAATTAAAAAAATATTTAGTAATGTAGAATTTAGATGACAAATTCATAGCAGTAGTAGTAAAGTCAATTCGGAGTCGCGGAGAATCTAACGGGTAACCGGGGCTCCGGCTCAACGTGCAGGACAAGGAACGGGGTGGTTTTTAGTTAGTAAGAGTCTGACACTCCCTCCCGCCTCAGCCAGGCGGGGGCAGTCATTCGATGATTTTCCCCCCTTAAAAAAAAGTAGTAAAGTCAGTCAAAGCATGTGTTCCGATTAATCCTCTAGTTAGGCATTTTAAAAAACAAAATAATGTTTCTAGTCTAGAGTTAAATACCAATATTTAAATGGTTATTCTTTATGTAACTATATTGTTTCTGTATAATCACATACCCTACGCATTCCCTTCCATCATGAAGCAATCATTAAAGTCATCGACTATATCTATAATAAAAGAGTACCTAAATAAAAAGAACATATTAAATTTATAAAAATACTTTATTTCACACATCACAAGCTCCGAAACCCCATACCGTGTACAGGTACAAACACATCTTTTTAGTTTTCCATACTCAAACAAATTTGACTTTTAATAAAATGACTTAGAGTTCATTGTAACAAAAACATGTGTTTGTATTTACAATACGTAACAAAAATGTTAATTGCATTGAAATGCGAATACAATCATATAAAACTACTAAATCTAGTTCTTTGAGATCTTATTTACAAATTGTATTTACACTTCTTTTACACCTAGTTATCACTATAATAAGTAAGCAGGAGAAATGCGATTATGTAGAAAACTAATAATAATAATTTAGACATTGAAGTCTATCGTCAATGTTTCTATTTTGTGCGACATACTAAATTAATTGAAATAAACGGATTTCTTACGTAAACTATTCGGGAATAGCTTAATTAGTTAAGTGACACCGGGACTCATACAAATGAAGCCGTATATTTCAATTAAATAATACCTGTTTTTTTATATTTTACTGTAAAACATTTACTGAACCTCTTTGGCACATAATTTCGCTGGCCATTTTGTTTTGGCTGCCAGTAACTAAACGAAAAAACATAGATTATAGAAGACATGCTTAGGAATGATAGTTCTGTTTTATTCAGATCCTATAAAAAAACAATAGCGTATGAATTTTTACTTATAAGCAAAGCTGTAAAGACTCTCATACATAATAGACTTTCCAGATCGATAGACAATTATATTTAATTTTTCTTTCAAGAAATATCGGTCGATATTAGTCCATTGAGTGCAATCGATAAAGTTGACGGTCGACCTTCATTAGGCGGCATGCACTCGCAGCCAGCACATGGAAAACGCCGTTAACAAGAAACGTAGATAGCTAGTAGGTATGCCACAGAATTTTGTTTAAAAAGTGTACTACCATATTTTGCCAATAGTACCTTCACCAATAACACGTAATATCATAATCATAACCAATTAATAACGTTCCAATATGTCCTTTAACAAATTCAACCATTTTAAAATCAAAACAAAACTACGATACTTTGGTACCTTTTTTAAATAACGATCATGTCCATTTTGAAATTTGATTCTTGATCTTAATTCAATTAAGTTTAAGTGAAGCACAATTATGTAACAATAAAAGCTCATACAAATAAATTAGTGTTTTCTTTTATCTTCCTCTAGAATGCCAGTTGCTTTGCAATAACTAAGTATATTGTTATACTAATTCTATATAGTATATAATTGCTTGAAAAATGAAATAACTTAGGTTTACTGTCCACGTTGCGTCATTTGGCGAATGCATGCATACTACAAATGATGATAGGTGGATTTGTATGAAGATAAAGTGACACAGTTGGCATTGTTTCTTCGCGAGATGCAAGCATTTGTCTTGCAATCGTCAATTGACGAAAGCGTGCGCATGACGTACGGTTTATGTGGATAGTGGACGTAGTGACGAACATTTGAAATAATTGTTTTTCGAATTTGCTTATCTATTTTTATATATATAATTCTGTTGTACGTGTGTATGTCATTGAACTCCTCCTAAACGGCTTGACCGATTTAAATTATTTTTTCTGTACGCGTTTGAGTGTCACCCTGGATGGTTTAGATTCACAAATCAGCCTGGCAGATGGCGCTGCAATCGTGGTCTAGGTTAGTTATCCTAAACGGCTGAACTAATTTGAATGAATTTTTGTTTACAATAACTTAATATCGGAAAGCTTTCTGACCAAGTTAAGTGATCATACCATGTTGGTTTTTACAACTCAATCATAGTATAAAGAACAAAGTAGGTTATCTTCATACAAATGCTCCGCGCGCGGCTTATATGTGTGCGCCATAGTATCTATGCGTCGACGCACGCACACTTTAACAAAATCTCAACCCGTTTCTCAGTGCGCCAGGCAGGGCTGACACTGTACGAGGTTCGCGCGCGCTTCACGGCTTTTCGGCACTGTTCAATGAAATAAAAAATGTCTGATAATCGTAGAAGAACGTATTGCTGTGTGTTTGGGTGTCTTAATAATTAATCGATTCCAGAACTGTCTCTGTTCAGATTAGGTACCTATTGAACAGGAAAGGTAAGCTAGTCACTTTTTCTAGCATAATATAATTTGTAGGTACTTGATGATGAGATACCTACTTACTTATTCTTACTCTTATCATTCTTCATAGTTCCTACACAACCAGAAATGTAATTACCTACTATACTTAAATATTATAAGAAAATGTGGTATTGTATTGTTTATTTCACAGTTTATCTGATTTGTTAAGAGCGTAGCCGAGTCGCATTTTTCCATATAAATGTATTCCCAAATTTACTTTCTGAATACTACGTATAGAGCTAAAGTTTGTTTAAGAAGTTAATAATCTTTTTATAAGCTTTTAATTTTTACTAAATTTATAAATTGATAAAATATTCAATCATAATATGCTTTTCATTTCATAAATTTAGATCAAGTGCTGCTTGTTCGAAAATATTAACTAAAAGTAAAAGTGACAACCCTGGGGATCAACGCAAGAGTAGGCTAATAACTCGGCGGGCGGCCTTAGATAACCTACTGTGTTCTTTATACTATGACTCAATCGTCATACATACGTAGAGAATTTACATTCGTGCTAATTATTTACTATTTTTACACTGTGAGGCAAATAGGAAGATAGTTTCTATTTTTACATTACTTTAAATGATGTATTTTGTACCAAGTTTCAACAATTTATTCTCCATTCAAATTAATACTATTTGCTTGAAACTCGATTTACAAATGACATTGCAAACTACTTATATATTACGACTATGTCTAAATTATAAAGTAAACCCAATGAGACGGGACAATTAAGTTCAATTTCCATTAACACATTCTACCCGTCTACATTATTTACCTTGGAACTTTGATGATAATAAGTAAAACATTTAGCGCCTCCTTACTGTCTGGTCTCATTGTTTTACTACACAAACATACATACATACTTACCATAAATTGACTAAAGGTTACCTATTAACATGTATGGAACCTTATAATCAAAGAAATGGGCGAATACGACATTATTTAAAGTGTATTCTCACAACCATCCTTTTTAGACATCATCCTATATGTATAGTTTAATTTTACACGATACACCGATACGGCGAAACACTATTCTTCACCAGCACCAAAGTCAAGACGGGCTAGTCGATTATTTTAGTCGATTTTTAACACAGACACAACACTGATACTTTTTAAAACAAGATATGGAATAATATTTAAATTATGATCTTGAAAAAAAATTAATGAAAGATAATAGAAGTTAAGAAATACAGAGTAAAGTACGGAACACAAAAGTTATTGTTTTATCTATTGTATTTTGATAGTGGACAACAAATACTATATACGAACAAATACTATTAGCGCCTGTTTCACCATCTTTATATAAGTCCCCGATGAACCTATTTGGCATCATTTATCATAGTTCATACAAACAACGTTCCATGTTTAAAATCTGGTACATCACAGCTATCCAGACATATGAAACAGGCATCTAATGTTAAAATACTCAAACGCCACTTAATATTAAGACACTTACCTTCATTCACTTTTCACATGACAGAGATAGCGTTATATTTGTAGTATAAGTGTTACTTAAAATGACGCAGCAATTGAGTATTCAGATGTAAGTCTACAAGAATAGAATTTTAACCAAACATAGAGACTTTATCAAACGTCTAAGTTTTACATAGAAAACGGTCTAAAAAATCGACGTACGTAATGTCCGAGCCCGCGTCTTTGCCTTCGAACCCTATCTCTTCTCAACCGCTATAGAAACATTGAATTCCTGGTCGAGTTTGGAGAAAAGCTCTGTTCAGGTAACATGCTTGCGTCGCCGTATACTGGGGCAGTGGGTCCACTGGACGCGTACGGACTGCGGGACCATGTCCGCGACCTGTTTTGGATGGGTGTCACATCGGGTGGGAGTACGGTCTCGTTTGGATCTGTTGGCATCCGGATTGGCGCTTTTCGTTGCATTCTTTGTTGTACTGTGAAGAGAATTTTGGTTGTATTAGTTGTATATTGGATTTTGTCATGATTATTATCTTGTGAAGGTTATAGGCTGAAATTAATACTAAATTATAATAAACTTAAAAGAGGTAACTATTTGCACTGACATGTAAAATTATCTATTATTATTACGAAGATGCAATAGTATCAACAAAAAATCCAACTTACCATACAAATAACCGGCAGCGGCCGCAGCGACAGTGACAATGGTGGACATGTAGGGCTTCAACAAGGAGAACAACGCGCCCAGCAGCGTGCCGCACGCCACGTCGCACTCGCGCTGCACGTCCACCCGCAGCTCCTGCGACGTCAGCTTGGACCGCACCGACACCCAGCCGTACCCGCACGTCGACGCTTCGTTTGTTACTGTCACTAGTAAATCTCCTGAAAAAATATTATAGTATATGGTAACGGGAAGTGCTGGTAAGTAAAATAAAGTTCAGTCAAATTTATTTCAATTAAACCATAATTTGGTACTTTTGCAGCGTCAACAAATGTAAAATGAACAATAGTCTGTCAGTCTGTCCGTCAGTAAAGCTAGGCGCTCGTTCCAAAATGTATATTCTTGTGGAGAAGAACGAGCAAGAAACTCCATTCATTACTCTTTAAAAATAGTCTATTTCACAATGTCTCTGATTAACCGGAAAAGGTCAAGAGAATGATATGGGAGAGTTGGCCTTAATTATAACCCGGGTGTCTTCTAGTCTTGTTATCCTGCAATTGGCTGAACCGATTTTAATGCAGTTTTCAGAGAAGTGTTTATTACACTTAGGAGGTTTTAGTATATTAACTAACCGACTTCAAAAAAAGAGTGGGTCGAAGTCGGTTGTTTAAAATGTAGTTTTTAAAAAAAATATTAAACCTATCAAAAACACGAAGAGATCAAAAACCAAAATTAATTCATTACATCTATAATGCCAGCAAATTTGGATATATATTCAGTTTTCAGCTGAAAAAACTCAATTAAAAAATTTACATTACACAAAAAAGTCTCAAAAGTTACTCACCATTATCCATCCTCGTTTCTATCTTCAGACCGGGCGAAGGCGTCAACCTGACTAACTTCAGGGCGTGCGAATGACCCATCACAGTGAACGTAGCCGGTGGGTTGAGCAAAGACACCTTGTTAGTAGACACTCGTACTTGAGGTAACAGTAATGTTTTCGTACATGTCCTATACGTTCCCCATTCAGCACATAATTCTACTTCCGAAGCGTCTGTGACTGTTGCTGCTGGGATTATCTTGCAGCCCATTTGTCCTGGAAAATTGTTTAATTTCATTAACATACATAATACGAAGCAAATTTGAATTTAAGTCAGTGTGTCCGTGGCATAGTAGATATAGTATGGTAGAAACCACTGAATTGTTTTTAATAGACTAGCAGCTGTAGCCAAATGCCATTTAACGCTTGTCTACATGTAGAATAGAAAACTAAATTATATGAAATTGACGTAAATTTTGACACTTATCAGTGTCATCCTCATACATTTAGTTTTCTATTCTCTCTGTAGACAAGCGCTAAATTGGCTTTTGGCTAATGGCACAGATTACAGTGATTTGAGCGCAAATCAAAACTAAAGTGATTACAGACATAAAATCGTATATGAAAACCTTATTTGCAGTGTGGAGAGATAAAAGACTAGAGAGAGAATACGTGGCTTTAACCTTGTAACCGCCATTCAAAAAATCTGAGCCAGTCGGTGATAGTCGACAAGAAATCGACATTTTTTAACTACATTTTGTTTGTCGCTTATAACTAATCATGACTGTCAAAAGGTGTATTTTAAAACCGCTTTCAAAGTCAAAATCATTTATTTCAATTAGACCAGGAAGGCACTTTTGAACGTCCAAACGAAAGTTTAGAAGTGAAGCTATTGCTTATTCCAAGGATATTCTATATAGATTCCTATGGAGAAGAACAAGCAAGAAACTCCATAGGTTAGCCTTTTTCAATCGGGTTTACAATACAATTCTCTAGTTACATAGTTTTGTTGGTTCGGTTGTGTGAGACAATGCAACACCTAAATCCAGTCAAAGAGAGTGAAAAAGAAAATAACCTTGAGGACAATAAAATCATACAGTCTGGAGCTTTCTACGACCTTCAAATTTTATAGTTATAGAAATTATAATAAATTAAACTCACCATTAATAATATCAATAACAGGCTCAGCAGTATGCGGTGCCTTAGTCCGACAGGTGTAAGGTAACTCTATGGGAGTGCCCTCCAGGGCATATCTCTGCTCCTCAGTACACAGGAGCGGGCCTGATGATAGACCTGATGCCGTGAACGAGAGTGGAACTAGTTCTGATGCCCATTCGCCGGGGAGGAACTCCATCTGGATGAAAAAGGGGGGATTTATTAGTGACTGGTATTTAAAAATCTTATAGGATAGGATGGGTAAAGGATGTAGTTAGTCGGTAACGCATTTGTAACTCTTTAGCTGTTGCAGCCGTCCCCATGTGCATCGTAATTGCGTTCCATCAACAGATCCATAGACTCATTTGGTTGGGTATCCCATACAAAAAAGAGAACAGTATACCTTATCCAGCTGCAGCTGGTGCAGCGTGAAGACGTGTTGCGGGCGGTCCCTGCGCAGCACGTGCGTGGCGGGCCCGGGCCGCGCCAGCAGCGCCAGCGACACGGCGCCGCCGCCGTACACCGCCACGCCGCCCGGCGCGCGCCAGCCCGCGCCCTCCACGCACACGCCCCAACTGCCGGTCGCTGGAATTATATCTCATTTATTGAGGGAGTTCGTTGCACTATTGAGATGCTTATGTAGCTTAAGGTCAGTAGCAACTAGGAGATTCAAAGATAAAATGAACAGAAATGACGTCTCACGTCCCATATCATGCAAATAAAGTAACCAGATAACGTGGATAGAAAATCCCAACACACAGGTTAGGCAATAGGCCGCCAGGCCTAACCATGTCGCCTGGTCGGAGGACTATTGCTTTCCTTCAGGGAACATCACAATCAAGTCGGCAAAACTAAACAAAGATGTCTACATCGTAATGCCTTTTTTTGGAGGAAAAATCATCTAATGACTCCTCCCGCCTTAAGTTAGGCGTAAGAGACAATCTTACTGACTAAAAACTACCCCGTTCCTACTCCTGCTCGCAACCAGAGCCCCGGCAACCCGTTAGGTTGTCTGTAGTTACCTACCAATTGAAAATACACTCGCAAGTTATAAAAGCGAAATAAAACCTGTTTAAATATGTTCTTAAAGGCTTCAGGGTGGTATAGAGACGCAGAGATAACTTACTTCCTGTCGCATTTATAATAATAAGTTGTTAATATTAAAAAACGTACCAACGACCCTATCAGCTTTCACGTCAGTCCCGGTGACCAAAACTTCATCCTTTACAGTAACACCGCTCACAGTCCCTTGGAATGTCATGAATGCGCCTGTCACATCCAAATCTGGTATCACCAGCTCTGTGCCAAGGACACTGGGAATGAAAAAGATATTATTAAAACTATGATAATTATTTTTATGATTTTCTAAAGAACTTACTAATGATTTTAATATTTGTTTGATACATTATATGGCTTTTACTGCCAACAGAAAACTGTTAGGCAAATACTCCGCTAACATAAGTAGACATAGAGTTTAATGTTTTACAAGCATTTGAATAAGGTTTTCATAGCTTAATTTTGTGAAACAGAATATAAGGTACAATGGGGTTGACATATCCATGTGGATAAAACCTCTTACTAAATAAAGATAAAAAAATCACAGCTTTAGCGATTACCGAACGAGAAACCGTCCTATTCGGTATCCTAATCCTATAAAGCACACAAAAATAAAGTACATATGGCGGACTTATTGCCATATGGTATTTTCTCCCAGTATCATATCCTATAGCAATATAGATTATTAATCTTTATAATTTTATACCATTAACTACATATTTTATACATATTTACCTGTCCGTATGTCTAGCCGGTCGGTTATGTACGATCAACGGTCCGGCGGCGCTGACGTTGGCGTGTGGAGCGAGCAGGGCGCGGCCGAGCGGCGAGCGCAGCACCAGGCGCAGCGCCGCCTCGGGGGACTCGCCGGACGACTCCGCGGTACAGTACCACGGGACTGACACTTCTACTGGGATGGCCTGTAGATTAAAGAAAAATGTTCAAACTGATCACTAACAGCTGAAAGATATATCTACTGCAGATGACAAACCTATGGGGCCGTTCAAATATTACGTAAGCAGATTTTTTACAATTATTTACCCCCCCCCCCCCCACCCCGCTTGTCAGCAAAAGTAAGCAAAGATCTTACCCCCTCCCCCTTTGCTTACGTAATCATTTTAAATTATATCTTTTTTATATTGTAATTTTAATATTCTCCAAATACCATATTGTCTCGTTCTTTGTCGGTCTTTGCTTTTAATTTATGATTTCAATATGAGGGTTGCTATTCGTGTAAAAAAATAAATAACTTCCGATGACGTAATCAACATCTAGACTCCCCTACCCCCATATCATCCGAAATAAGTAAAACAGAGACCCCCCCTAATGGTGCTTACGTAATACTTGAACGGCCCCTATGCCTTACATGGAAAGAAGAGAGTTACCATAATCTATGTTGGCAATCGAACTTAGGTCGAGTTGAGTAGTGCAATTAGAACAACATTCATAAATTAACACACTGGGGTGAGTCTTATTTCATAGGGACACCATAGTCCTACGACCAGTTGCGTAATCAAGTTAGCTCTAGATGACGTACCCTTAGTACTCAAGTATTAAGTACCTGCTCCACGTCCACAGGAAGAAATTCCAATTGGAATAGGTGGTACCTTTGTACTTTAATTTTATGTATGTGTTGTCCTTTATGTTGTACTAGCTTTTACTCGCGGCTTCGCTCGCGTCACAAAAGGATAAAAAGTAGCCTATGTGACGTATACCAATACACACAGCGCCATCTATACCAATAATTTCGTTTTCCCTCGAGAATACCAAATTTTTCCGGGATAAAAAGTAACCTATTTTTTAATCCAGACTTCTAACTTCACTTCTGCAAAAATTCAAAGCAATCGGTTTAGTAGTTACGGCGTGAAAGTAGAACAAACAAACTCACTTTCCGATTTATAATATTAGTAAGGATGTGTGTACATAAATAAATTAATTAATTATGTCGCTTGCGCAACTTGCGCAAACTGTCTAGATCAGATCAGATCAAACTGTCAACCTAACACTTATTACAAAAATAAACAGAACTCACCGTCTCTCTAAAGATATTGTTCCTCTCATCCTTATGCTGCGCTACAATGACTCCATGACCAGGTCTTATAGCAGTTAGTTCACCAGCTGGACTGATAGTTATGGCTCCATCACCATATGCCTTCCAAGTTCCTCTCGGCAAAGACTTCAGTTTGATGACAGAGCTCACGGCTAGTGCAAGTCTGTCTCCTGAGGATATCTCCTTGGAAAGACCTTCCACTGATGTTCTGATGTCGGCAAGACCAAGAATCTCGATTGTACTGTCCCAGGAGCGGGTTTCTGCTGCCTGTAGAGAAAATTATTGCGTTAGAAGTTATTTGACCGAATATTATAGTGATTAAAGGTTTCTGAATAAATTTGTATGGACTCGATTCTTGAATAGAGCATTATTCTTAGCAAGATAAGGGACACAAGTGCCTATAAAATAGAGATACATCTGTCATCACCACAGTTGTCTTCAATATATGTTTTATAGAAAATCTGGAGTTACACCATTTTTACAGTGAAAGACACATTTACTACCTAATATTTTATTGAAAAGAGTTTCTTACCTGTCCCATGTTTCGCACTCGGACATCGATGGCGATGACGCCCGGTTTCAGCGGTACCACTCGTACTGACAACCCTTCAGCTACTGATCTCTCAAGCATGTCTGTGGAGAATTATATTTGTTGTTATAATAATAATAATAATATACAACAAGTGAAACTGTCAAACACCGCGAGGACACCGGTGACCGCAACCTATTGTTCTTTAACTCGTTGAGTACCGTCATTATAGACACAATTAAAGAACAATAGGTTGCGGTCACCGGTGTCCGCTCGGTGTTTGACAGTTTAATTGTGTCTATAATGACGGTACTCAAAGGGTTAATTGTTATACGTTGCACAACTTGTAATTTTACAGAGCACCAAACTCAAACTCAAATGCATTTATTTAAATTAAACCATAATTTGGTACTTTTGAAACGTCAACAAATATGAAATAAGCAATAGTCTGTCAATCTGTCCGTCAGTGAAGCTAGGCGCTCGTTCCAAAATGTCGATTCGAGTGGAGAAGATCGAGCAAGAAACTCCATTCGTTACTCTTTTCAAAAAAAGTCTGTTTTGCACTGAAAGTATTAAATGTCTAACACAAAATTAAGTTTGCGCTAATGTTTGCAGGTGTGCAACCAACTTATACTTGCGCAAAAGTTACATAACGCACGCAACTTAGTGCTGCTTTCATTTTTATATAGTAAAACAATAAAGGTAGATTACATCACATCACAATACCTGGAGTATGTCGACTAAGAACTACAGGTCTTATGTTCATTGCGCAAATGCCTAACTTAAATAATTTTACTTACCATCAGCATGAGTAGTATACAATCTGGCAGTAGTAGGGTCTCTCAGAGTCCAAGTGACTCTTGGCGGTGGCATGAGGGCAGCCAGGGCTGCGGCACTGAGACCTCCTGCCTCTATCCACAAGGGGCTCGGAGACCCTACCAGTAAGCTTTGTGTAGCTGCCTTTACACGTATGCCTGATATTGGGACCACCTGTAGGAAATGAAATGAAATAATGATAGGTTATTGGAAACGATATAGGACAATTTTATATGATATTTTTAATGAACGCAGCACTAGACCTAAGATTTGTTACCGCTTGTTGTAGAATAAGATAATCTCTAAGGTCCTTGAAATAAATTTGACTGTGGACTAGATAGTTTTACGATCTTCTGATTCTAGGTTCGTTTTGGCATTTCTTCTCAGCGTAGTCAGTTAAAAAAAGTCGGCCTCATCGTTCGCTTGAAAAATTGTCGTGTAAAAGTGCTGCCTTGTAGTCTATTTGCAGAAATAATTTAACTAAAAAAACTTTTTATATAAAAGACATGTAAGAATAAAATATTACCTCAACTTCAGCTTCAGCGCTTGCCATCTCAACATTATTAAAATCAGTAGCCACAAGCTTGATACGAGATGTTCCGATTGACAGACCGTGTACGGAACCAGATGGTGTCACCTGGTATAAACAATATTATTTAATAAAATTTTTGATTACAACTTCAAACGCTATGGGGGTCACCGGTGACCGACGTTAGAAGATTTGCCTTCAACAGTTTTGTAATGGTAGTCAAAGGCTTAATATAGCACATCCACTTTCATTAACCATTTAAAGTTAAGTTTATATCACCGTAAATAGATATTTTTTTTAAGTAATTTCAAAATGGGATGCTAACTATCATGAACATCTTTAAGATCATGACACCCCATACAGGGTACACCGGGGATTTTTAAAAATACAGCTCTTTGTAAAATACTGCATATGGTTGCAGTCTAGCCAAACCAATGTAGCCTTTTTGGTAAATGTAAATTGCGAGGATTCAAAGCAATTTATTGATGTATTCTTGTAAACAAAACCATCGTTAACCCTTTGAGTACCGTCATTACAGACACAATTAAAAAACAATAGGTTGCGGTCACCGGTGTCCTCGCGGTATAAAGTGAGTATACCTCGACGTGCGGCGTGCCGTGCGCGTGGTGGTAGTGCAGGCGCGCCAGGTGCGGCGGCGGCCCGCCCGCGTGGCGCAGCTGCAGGCTGGCGCCCGGCGGCACGCGCGCGCGCCGCGGCACCACCGCCAGCGACGGGAACACTTGCACCTGCGATACCAGAGCATTAATATCGCTGTATTTACTTCTCACAATAACCGCCCAACCAACGAAAAAATAAAATAACATGAATCTTGTTTTACGGTCACACATCAACAGCCTTTAATGCCCACCGTCGAGCCTCTTCTCACACGGAAAAGGTTTGAGCATTAATCAGCACGCTTGCTCAATGCGGTTAGCGATTTTAAACTTATAATTAGAAATTATAAGCCCAAGTTTCCTCGCGATGTCTTCCTTCACTGTTTATCAGTGGTGTCTGAATAATCTAATAAATAGGGTAGATGACTAATTTTTATTTTAATGTCCGTCTGGTAGGTTATTCTAAACATTAGACACGTATTTTCTATTTTTTTACGTAAACAGATACTTTGACGATAAATTGATTTGAAATATCGTGGGACGTCACTCTTACGTACGTTTTATTAATAGAAATGACGTTTTAGCTCCCACTCGTAAGCTTTTATTCATTTTATTTGAGTATTGTTTTCTTATACAACAGAATAAGAAAACACGTGTCTAATGTTTTTTCATTACCTAGATGACGGCCTAACAGATTTTTTATTTTCATACCCTGTCATCATTTCTATTTTAAACATAAATGCTTACCTCAACTTCAGGGCTCCAGACTCCGCCAAATAACGCCCTGACTTTACCCATACCCTCTTGGAGACCACATAGAGAGCCATCCTGGATGGAAATATACCCAGAAGTCCTCCATTCGGGTGGTTTCCCAACAGTGAGGTATCGGTGGGAGACTCCCTTCACGAGCGCACTCACGGGCACGCACGCACCTACTACGACCGCGTGAGATGTCGATACTTCCACGCTTAGTACTTCTTCGATGTGAACCTGGGGAAGGAAAATTTAATTCATATTTAATATAACATAACATAACATCACGCCCTTTAGTTCCGAAGGGGTAGGCAGAGGTGCACATTACGGCACTTAATGCCACTATACAGTAATACTATGCCCGACCCGGGAACGGCTCAGCTAACGAGGTAGTAAATTCATATTTATATACTAAAAATTGTTCATGCAACATAACCAATGTGCTTTTTATGTCTCAACCAAAATTAAAACTCAAAAGTAGTAACTGATATAGAGTTCAAATGACAATGACCAAATTTGTATGGGGCGTGGTGCCTTTTCATTTTTTCGCGGCAGTTGATCGGCTGTGGAAAAACTGATGCAGAATAACATTACAAACAAAATAATATATGGGGTCTTATATGAAAAACACAGTCCAAACCGAGTTAAATCAGTTCAAAGATGTGAAAATAGTACTATATAAGGTGCTCTATAATTTTTAGCCACGGCTTTAATGGGAGGTAGTGTTATGTTTACAGATTACAATTGTGAAGAAATTTCGTGCCCCGGACCAGTTAATTACATACAGTAATTAAGTAAACATTGACTACATTCTGCATAATGTGGTTCACAAATTACGCGCGATGCGTCGCTTAGTCAATGAAAACAATTGCTATCTCTTTCCACGTGTACTGAGAATGAAAACGGAAATCAGCTGACTAGTTCGTCACTATCTAATCTACTAGATACTCAATAGGCAGGCTAACAAGGGTTTTAAAAGTGCAATTACTTACCAGGTACGGCATTCTTCCGAAAAGCTGATGTAGGTAAATAAGATTATAAACTTCCCATCACACTTAAAACAGTTTTTTACACACTCTCTACCTACTTATCTACAAAACTGTTGCACAAGTCCACCTTCGCGTTGCACACAAATGAAGGTACGCTTCCAAACATGTCATATCACATTATTTAATGCGTCCGTTTATCAGTAGCTCAACCCCCGCCTGCCCGGCGGCCGGTTGACCAGCGCGTGCGACGAGTGCAGGAGAGGGTGCGGGCGCGCGGGGGTGTGCAGCGTGCTCGTAGCCGCCCGGCGCGAGCGGTCTGATAAGGATGGCAACAGCGTATGACGGGGCGTTCAAGAACGAGACAACACACCCCAGCAGAACTCGTCGCACGCGCCGCCCGGCCGCCAGTAGCCCCGTCAACCCCTGCCTGCCCGCACGTTAGTTTTAATGTCGGAGATACGCGCGCGCTACGTAAAAATGACTCCCAGGCGACGAAATTCAAATCAGAACTCGAAGAGGAAGTGTTAGAGTTCTTTCGGTGTCATCTTCTTGCGTGCACAAGGGATACCGCCGGAGTTTACGATGATAGAGACAATAACTTGTGGAGTCAAACGCGAAACAAAGTAAAAGTGAAACGGACACGTTAAATAATGTGATATGACATGTTTGGAAGCGTGCCTTCATTTGTGTGCAACGCGAAGGTGGACTTGTGCAACAGTTTTGTAGATAAGTAGGTAGAGAGTGTGTAAAAAACTGTTTTAAGTGTGATGGGAAGTTTATAATCTTATTTACCTACATCAGCTTTTCGGAAGAATGCCGTACCTGGTAAGTAATTGCACTTTTAAAACCCTTGTTAGCCTGCCTATTGAGTATCTAGTAGATTAGATAGTGACGAACTAGTCAGCTGATTTCCGTTTTCATTCTCAGTACACGTGGAAAGAGATAGCAATTGTTTTCATTGACTAAGCGACGCATCGTGCGTAATTTGTGAACCACATTATGCAGAATGTAGTCAATGTTTACTTAATTACTGTATGTAATTAACTGGTTCGGGGCACGAAATTTCTTCACAATTGTAATCTGTAAACATAACACTACCTCCCATTAAAGCCGTGGCTAAAAATTATAGAGCACCTTATATAATGTTCATGGTGACCGTCCACAACGTATATTTTTCTTCATTTATTTGTCAGAAATATTTGGAAATAAATGTTTATAAACGATTTCAAGGAATTTATTAAAGCTTGTTGTGGACTTTTTACTTATTTTTTTTTTTGTTTTCACTTTTTTTTTGTTATAAGTCCAAGGAATCAGAACCATTGATTCAGAATTACAGACCATCAGAGTGAACCATTTATTGGTCACTGCTGAAGTAAATAGAAAAACATTTCGCTTAATTGGCTAGCGTGTTCACTTTATATGTTATGGTTTATGACCTATGGCAGATTTTCATGATCAATTTCCTCTCAATCGAAAACCCGCAAAATACTTTACTGAGCCCTATCATGAAATGCTATGTTTGTCAGATGCGGCGTCGGTAGCGAATTGAGTAGCAGTAGTCGTCAAAACACGAAAAAATCATTTTTCTGTCTTCTTCTCCCGACTTACTCCCGATTAGTAACTAATTCAACTACAGGTAATACACTAATCTGCATTCAGTCACAAAGTGATGGATTATATTCCGACTGATCACATTATATGAAAAAATTATGCGCTCATCTGACGTATAGTCCATCACTTTACAAAGACGACGGTTTCCTTTTTTCAAAAGATTATGCTAAATATAAAGTAGATGAGTCTAATACTTTATTAGATGCTTGGACGGCTACCACTACTCAACCCACCACTGGTACCACAGCTGACACTCTTGAAGCTTCATGGCACAACTCTTAGAAGCATCTCACAAGTTATCGACTGAGAGAAAATAGCTAATAAAAATTAGTGCCTGGAAATTTGTCTATATTGTGGTGTGATATGATATGCCTGTGCCAGGTGTACAGTGGCGCGAAATTTGAAGTTAGGAATTGTGACAAAAATTTGGATAATTTGAATAAAAAAACCAATGTAAAATGTTTGACTCCAGCTCCTTTCAACCCTCATAACTCAGTCCAGACTGAGATTTCCATATATGAGTCCATAGACAATTTCGTTTGTAATGACATTCAAGATAATATTTTCCATAAATCATCGACTGCCGCCAGAAAAAAGAAAGGCACCAATTTTAGTCAATGTCCTTTCAATGGTAGTGTACCACTTTTGCAAATGTCAATGTCATGTTAGTATTTGTAATTTTTTTTACCGCAGTGTGGAAGCACTCTTACGATAACTCTGCTAAATATATTTTTTGAAGGCATTATGGTACCGCAAAATTTAAAAAATACATCATTTAATACCAAAAATATCACGGCATACATAAAAAACTTACCTCTACGAGTTGTTTTTCTCCTTGAACACACAGATCGGTGACTATAAGGTCATACGACCCTGGTCCAGGTACATTAGCCGATAGAGAGCCATCCTCGACCTCTGCTGACACTCCTTTCGGTGCTTCCACGGCGTAACGACCACTACCGCCAGTTATACTCGCTATGTTGGTTACTGTCTCGGATTCCCAGGCTATGTTTACCTGGAAAGAGTAAATTTAACTTTATTACTAAAGTCATAAGGATAAAAATAAGACAACCCATGTGGGTTGCCTTATTTGCATTTCAATAATGGTATTGAAACGAAGAATAGAAATATTCTTTCAACCAAAACACAGTGAAGATACATTAAGCTACCCCAAAATATGAATATCATATATATATATTTTTAATACAATTAGATTTTGACTAAACATTAATGTCGAAATTACTCAAACGCTACTATTTAAGTTGCGCTTAACTATAGTTTTATCAGTACAAATTCTTTGTAAAATGACAGAGATGGCACGATATTTAAGTACCTATAACTTGAAATTTAGTAGCCTATCAGTATTCGGGCGTAAGGTTCATAATTTACTAAAGAATTGTGACAGTACTCTAGTCTGTAAGTACTCTAGTACTTGTACAAAATGGAAGAATATAGATAGTGGTTATCATTAAATCAAATGACCAATCCCCAAGTGGTTACCGCTGAGCGTTCTCCACTAACTCCATTATAGACCTTATTTCCGATGTTTAGAGACTACTTTTGTGTGAATAAATTTTAGGGATTTATATCAAGTGATGAAGTTTTGAACATTTAAAAAAAGTAAACTTTAATTCCTTAAAAAATAAATGTGATGAAATATAAAGTGTATTTTACCTTGAGTGGATCACATTTCAACGGCGCTACAACCCTCGCTTGTATGGAGGCAGTCGCTTCAGGAATGCTTGCCTTCAACGCACCCGTCCAGCCGATAGCCGTGTTATCAGCCAACACTACCTGTACACAAAGTATGAATTAATAAAATAAGAAATTATTTAAAGAAAGAACTGTTTAAAAAACGTTCCCCCACTCTAGGTTTTTCATCAGACACAGATCCGGAACAACAATCTGTAGATCACAGAAACAGTTGCTCCGTGCGAGAATCGGACCCGCGACTGGTTGCGCGGCAGCCGGTTGCCCAGCCACCGCGACAACCGTGCAGTCAAAAACAAAAATAAGAAAATTGCAGGGTTGGACCCGTGGCGGAGCCGTGCTTGTTAGACGTGCGATAACTTGAATTCCTTACATACGTTTTTATTGACATCATAATCATGTAATGGTACTTACTTGGTAATACTTATACGGCACAGGTACAGGAGCGTAGTCAGGGTGTGTTTCAACAAACAACCTGTCTGTAGCTTGGAACTGTAAGCCGGGGTGATAAGGTTCAATATCCCAGGACATCTTAGGACCGTTTTCGTCGAGAAGCTCACGGCCTATCGCGTCCAGGAGCGTTACTTTTACTGATAATTCTTGGCCTGGACGCAGCCATATTCTGTAAGTAAACGTGTCAATAATATAAATGAATTTGCCTTATACAGAGACATCATAAATGTGGAGTTTGTATTTCGGTTTAAAAAAAAAATGCGCTGTTAAGCAATAGTTGTTCTTCAATATGATCGTTGTCCTCAGTCGGAAAACGAAATTGCTAATGTTTAACAAAGCTGTCTTCCGACTCACCACAAGTCATTATCCTTAGGGAGAAGTTAGATCTTACGGTCTTAGTTAGATCATTGAAAATTGGGTGGCCGGTAGTCAATTTAAGACATATCACAGTAGACCAACGATTGTGTACTTGCCAACTAGTCAAATTCAATACTTTTTTCGAACTGTCAAAATCGACAGTTTTCTATGAATTTTGTACGAGGTTGTGTATATTTTTTTTTAATTACTGGAAATATATTAAAATTAAGTTTGTCATAAAATCAATCAATGAAAGTGTGATTATTTTTTAATATTTTATTGTACTGAACATTCGAAATAATTTATTTTTGATTAAGGAATCAACCCACTTGTAGCAGCAAGAGGCGAAAGACTGGCACAGGGTGTACTTTTTAATGAATTACACATAAGTCATAGTAATTTTAAAACTTTGCTACTTAGAATTTTTTTATATTTTTCTTATAACTATTAGAAGTTTGTCGATCACCTGGAGCCATTTGATCGTCGATTTCAGGGACGCCATGTATAAGATATAAGTATAAGATCAAACTACAACTAAGCTGGGCGATATAGGTTGCTTATGGGTTGACGTGCTCCATCGTAGGCCACATCATCGCTTACCACCAGGCGAGATAGTGGTCAAACTTCAGTCCCATTTAATGTATTTAAAAAATATATATAATCCATACTTGTGTGCATTAGAGCAGTTCCCGGGAGTGTCGGGCGGCTCCAGTCGTACACGCGCCACGTGCGGGGCGCAGCCTCCCTCCAGCGACACTGACTCGCGCTCCTCGCCCGCTGTCGACACTAGCTCCACTACAGACTCGCCTTTCTGTGGAGTGATAATATGACAATTGTTATGTTCGCAAAGGGTAAGGTATAAATTTATTACTTACTAGCTTTTACCCGCGGCTTCACTCGCGTCACAAAAGGATAAAAAGTAGCCTATGTGACATATACTAATACATACAGCGCCATCTATACCAATACAATAAAAAGTACCCTATTATTTAATCCAGACTTCTAACTTTACGTCTGCAAAAATTCTAAGCAATCGGTTTAGTAGTTACGGCGTGAAAGTGGAACAAACAAACAAACAAACTCACTTTCCAATTTATAATATTAGTAAAGAAGTAAGGACTAGCTTGTAGCCGCGACTTCGTACCCATTTTTTCCCGTTCCCGTTCGTGATTTTCAGTAAAAAGTAAATAAAATAAAGGATTTGGACAAAAAGTATCATATGTCCGCTTTCTGGTTCTAAGCTACCTCTCCACCAATATTCAGACCAAATCGATTTAGCCGTTCTTGAGTTATAAATAGTGTAACTAACACGACTCTCTTTTATAGATATAGATTTACCTATAGGGAATGTTCCTTTTGCATATGACAATTGCAATGAGTCGACGGTTGTTGTGAGGTGTCAGTGCGTAAAAAACGAGGCGTGCAAAAGTTGTTAGATCTTAAACGTTACATTTACATTTTACAAGCTGTGTTATCGACTATTCTATTAACAATATTATTAGTCTATACGTAACTAGTATTGCAATAATTAAAATAAGAGTACTTACCCTCCGACACTTGAAGGTGAACAGTTGTACGTCAGGGTACCGGTGTGGCGGCGGACCGTCGCGGACTGATATGTCAGCCACCCGGGAGTCCAGGGACTGGGGGACTAGGGCTTCACCCTCGGCTAGCACCTATGAATATATATAAAACGCATTATAATGAGATTGTTTTGGAAATTTGAAACAATACTAGTAATATATTTAATAACCATTGAATACCTTAGGTGGTAAACATAATTAGGATACAATGTAAACCCTGTCGGGCACAACAACATAAGTTTTGGAGGGAGCACACCTGACATGTCATTCGTAGAATGACTATAGCATAATTGTAATATAGCAGATTTGTAAATTAAAATAGCATAATCTAATGATCGAAAAAAGAAACAGTTTTTAAGATACAGAAACTGTAACACAAGGTCTAGTATAGACTTATTATATTTTTATGCAAATAGGTTTGACACATCTTGTTAAAAATCTGTAAGATCGTCATACAAAGTGAAGTCTTTGGTGACATAAAATGCGTAACGAGTGACTGTAATTAGTCAGCATATATAAAACACGTTACAGTACAGGGTGCTTACTCTTGAAACCAATTTCAATGTCAATGCAATAAAATCTCAATAATGATTCTATGTCAAAACTATACAACCTCTACCGTAGCGGTTGAAATAGCATTTAGAGTACGGAATATAAAGCCAAACTCAATACCATTTAGTTCAATCAATATCCACGCTATACAGATGCAATGGGCGCTAGTGTTGCATCTTGAGAGTACGAATGTCGATCGATCAGAATTGGATTCAAGAGTAAGCCTACAGTTATGACAACTCAGCGAAGGCCTTTTTTTAATATTATATATTCATTTACATCAGGCAACGAAGGCCCATATTAATACAATAGTACTATGATATAAAACATGAAATATTATAAATACATAATTATACAAGTTATTAATTTAAATCATTGTTACACACGATGTGCGTGGTCTCATGTTACGCTGTTAGATGTCACGTAGGCGGCCTCAAAAACGTCGGTATATGACACCCTTCGGCCAAAACTCTGCCTCCAGGAAGTCGAGATGTGGATCTCGCACTACAAACGACTTGAAGTTGGTATTGTGATGCGGTTCCAACCTCTCGACCCTCAAGGTCCAATTGGTCTTCGTCTTCACATACTCCACGATCTCCTCAACCTTCGTGTAGTGGTGTAATGTATAAAGAGCGCTGAGTAATACAGTATGGTGGTACTGACCGGCAGTGCGGCGCCGGGCAGCGCGGCGGCGTGCGGCGGCCACAGCAGGCGCGGCGCGGCGCGCACGGCCACGCGCGCACTGTCGCCCGCGCGGCCGCGCGACACGCGCACCGTCGACACGCCGCGCGACGACCACGCGCACTCCAACACGCAACATGCGCCGTCTGGACGTAACAGGACTCGATGTAAATAACTGTTCATACGTTTAGCGTCGCTATCAACTTATCAAATTCATTTATGTTTAACGGTTTTTTTTAAAGGGGGAAAATCATCGAATGACTGCTCCCGCCTGGGTGAGGCGGGAGGGAGTGTCAGACTCTTACTGACTAAAAACCACCCCGTTCCTTCTCCTGCACGTCGCGCCGGAGTCCCGGTAACCTGTTAGGTTCTCCAACGGGTAGAGATACTTCACCCAGTTATCATTAAAAAATACGAATAATGGTTAACGGATTTTTTAAACAGATTCCATATCCAATTAAGTTTGTAAAACTTAAAGATGAATGTGATGAATATAGTAAAATAAGCCAACTATAGCTATTATATTCTCAAGAATGTTCAGTTCCAGTATTAACAAGTAATATGTATTATGTACTAACCAGCAGGTTGCATCCAACTAGCGACGGTAACATTTTGTGGTTCAGGTCCCTCCAGTAGAGTAACAGCGAAAGAGCCACAGTTACAACTAAAAACAAAACGAAGAAAATTGAAGAAATAGGTTACATATCTATTTGTTTGTCTTTTTACAAAAATCTCGCGGCCTCTTTTAAATAAGCTATCTTTACCAAGTAGAGATAGAATTTTTACACATTCACATTTTGTAAACTGGCTGTAAGAAGATCGAATACATAATAAATAAAAATAATGAACAAATAAATAATATTAAAAAAGTAGTAACATTTTTTATGGCACAAGCCAGTCACAACCTCCCAAAACCGCTGCAACTCCTGAAAGCCAGAATCTACAGTAGATATAACCATGAAAATACCGGAAAACTGAAGTACTGTCTTGATCCCCGAAACGAAATAATCCAGATTATAACAGGAGAAAAAAAATTCGATAGTTTCCACTTCCCTCCGTGAATTACTAAAATAATAAAACTACTAGTACGTATACGCTGCGCGACATAGCCGCGATCGCGCACGCTACTCATGAGGAAGAACCCCTCTGTGGTTCTAAATTAGTAGAGTTTTTCTCAGTATTTTCACGTGAGTCATCATCATCATCAGCCTATAAATGCCCACTGCTGAGCAAAGCCTCTTCTCACACAGAGAAGGTTAGAGCATTAATCACCACGCTTGCTCAATGCGGGTTGGCGATTTCAAATTTATAATTAGAAATTATAAGTCCAGGTTTCCTCATGATGTTTTTCCTTCACCGTTTGTCAGTGGTGTCTAAATAATCTTAGAAAGTACATATAACTCGGAAAAAGTCACATTGGTACTTGCCGTTGGTAGGTTTCGAACCCGCACCCTCATGCATGAGAAGTGGGCGTCTTAAACCTCCGGGCCACCACGACACTTTCACGTGAGTAACCCGTGATTTTTAGTTAATGAAATAGTATTAATATAGTAAATACTTACGTATGGAAATTATACAGTTCTCCTGTCTCCGGGTGCGTGGCAGTCAGTGCGATGTGTAGGTAATGTGGCTTACCGACGCGGGCGTGGCCTGAACTCGACACTTGGAGCATTTCGAATGGAGCGGATAACACCCTGTAAAGAAGGTACAATGTTTAAAATGTAAAACTATTATTTCACAAGCATTTCAATTACATAAAACTGACTGCCTCGTTGGCCGAGTGGACGCATGTGCGACTACCGGGCAAAGGCCTCGGGTTGGATTGTCAAGTCAGGCAAAGTATATTACTGGGTTTTAAAAAAAATCCCATTTGTAGAAGTCTGGAATTGTGCCCGGTATATGGCAATAGGCTCACCCCCTATTACATGGGACTCATAACATAAATAGTGAAAAGTGGGTGTTACATTGTACAGTGGGATTAAGTGCCGTAATATACACCCCTGCCTACCCCTTCGGGGATAAAAGGCGTGATGCTTTGTTATTTTAAAACCATCAAAATTTGTTTTAAATTATTTTCTATTATGTTGTATGGTGAAATAATTACTACTCACGAAAAATAACACATTAATTCAGAGACAGCAATATCTAAGAAAATTATCTGTTAAAACCGTACAATACAAATTAAAACTTATTTTAATCACTTGATATATCGTACCGAAAACGCCTAAAATATGTTCATACGAAAGTAGTATCTAAACATCGGAAATAAGGTCTATAATGGAGTCAGTGGAGAGTGGTCACCGATTGACATCGGTGACGATATCATTCATATTACCACATAATAATTTTGTTACGCTTACTCACCCAGAAGTTGCTTAGTTAATTCATTACTTTAAGTGTGGGAGAGCCATGCTTCGGCACGAATGGGCCGGCTCGACCGGAGCGAAAAATTCTGATCAAGCTGACGCTTGATCAGAATTTTTTTCAGTAACTTAGCATTATCCGCTTAATAATTTGGAAAAATAAACAATCAAAATACATACTTCTAAGATAGATAACATTTACCAATCAGGATGTAAAAACAAAATCAAACAAGTAATAATCTTACTTTCCAATAGCCTTGACATGTGGGTATTTCTTGAGCTGTACTCTCACTCCGATCTGGCCAGGTCCTCGTATCGTTACTACTCCATCAGAATCCAAAGAGAGTGGGTCAGGTGACAACACACTCTCTATCTCCGACCATACTACAGGTTCATCACCACCTCCTAAGTGCTTTAGTGAGACTTCCCTGTAAACAATATTGGTGTTTATTACATTGGTGATAAAGTGTAAAGTTGCTTGGAGTAAAATTAAGAAAAATATTTTATGTTTAATGGAATTCGATCTTTATTGCATTGTGGATGAAGTTCAAAATTGATGTAAAATCGGGAAAACTAACACAACACAGAACTCTATGTAAAGAAAATTGATGAATATTAAAATTTATATTAAGCACAGTCAAATAAGAAAACGTAACAACTCTTTAAAGAAAATTAATAATAATGACTTGGAAATAAGACTCAAATTAGGTTACCATATTACTACTACTAAATAGAAATACTATGACATAAAAATACTTACTGCAGAGTGTCTGTCCAGGATACAAATAGATGTGGTGGTATAATTTGTAGGGGCTCTATCGCTTCAGCTGATACTTGACCTTCCACCTGCAAAGAAATTGTAAGATTTAAAGTAGACTATAAAACAAAAACTATAGCAAAAGTTCTAATATCTGCATCATTACAAACCTTTCGCGAAATAGTCTTCCCACCAATAGAATACAACTTCGCAGAGATAACAAACGAACCAGCATTATGTGCAACCGCATCAGTCAAAGTTCCATTCTCCGTTGACCGCAAAAGGTCCACATTCGCTTCTCCTTCTACTGTAAGCCTTATTAGAATCTGGTCACCGGCCAATAAAGCATGGCCTTTGTCATCGAGAACAATGCAATGTACTACGAAGGGTTCGCCTTTGATGACTAAGTTTGAGGGACGTATAGAGACTCGGATAGAATGTGCTTCAGCAACGGTCAGTGTTGCCGTTGCTACTTCGGTAGCTCCTGACATCAGGAACACATTGGTCGTGCCTATGTCCGTTCCTTTGACTAAGCTGATGCTGTCTTCTAACAGGGCTATGCTTGTGTCTGGTACTTTTAAGTAGTATACGGTTTCTGTTATGTCTTGGACGGTGAGACGGCCTGCTCGTGCCCTTACAACCCTGGAAAATTGTATTGTGTCAATATTTGTTAGAGGTTTCATATAAAAATCAAGAAATCTATGCATAAAATCAGGAGAATCACAAAGGGTAAATTAAGAATGGTTGCGATAGCGACTATGTTGAGCTAACTATGGTTCGGTACCAGGTGGGGCAGACTTACTCTTAATAGACATATGTCTGACCAATAACGCAAGAATTTTCAACATGTTAGTTGCTACATGTATCGTAGCAACCTATCACTTACAATACAAATATTATGAAACTCACTTGTATCTCAAAGAATCTCCCGGCACAATACTAGCGATGGCAGGCATCAGTACAACACTGGCAATAACTTGCAAGTTGAAATTAGTGCAAATGTCTTCAAGACACACGGTAACCCGAGATTCGCCCATTGCCTGACCATATAGAAGTACCGAGTGTGACCGGAGACCACGAGCTTCAAGCTCCGTGACACCTTTTGGAGCTTCATAGTCTGTGTCTCTCCAGCGGACAAGCCTGGAAAATAAAAAGAAGTCAATGAAACTATAGAAACAAATATTAGTATACAATAGAATGTACAATAAAGTAATTCATATTTTAAACTTGGCAGTATTTCAATTGTGCTTTGCCAAATATCTCACTTCTGTCTGGCTGTATTCATTTACTGTATTTATAATATTAAGGATACATATTTGGAGCCATTGACTATTTTAAAATTGATCTTAATAAACAATTTATTGTAATGCAAAAATTAAAAGTACTTCACTTACGTAACTAAAGGATCTTCTCCAACATTGCTTCCGAGGTTCTCTATGCTCCATACAAAGCTTATACCTTCCAGCGTTGAGAATTTGTTCCCTAAAAGAAATTATTATTAAGTAACATTAGGTGTTTGATTTTATAGCTACATATTATAGCTTTTCTTGATTTGCAACTTATTTTATGTGGCTCATTTTAAACTGTCAAACACCGCGAGGACACCGGTGACCGCAACCTATTGTTCTTTAATTGTGTCTATAATGACAGTACTCAAAGGGTTAACTCGTTCAATAGCTATTTTGTTTCTGAGATATTCCAGCACCACACTGGATATGATATTTCATTATTATTCGAAGTATTTATGTACAATACACAACATACATACATACGTATTTAAACGTACTACATATACACAAGAACATACCCTGGTCATCATAAGCCACAACTTCAAAAGCTTCAGGAGCTTCTTCCAGGAACAGGTTCCATGTGGTACTCATAATCTTCAAAGACCTTATTTTGTCTATGTCCACATCACCTCGGAGAATCTGAAAACAATATTTAGATAAGAACCAGAGATGGGTTAAACCTAGAGCGTGCTCTTGGTAAGCACCTCATAGGTTTGGTGTCTCTATGACCTGTTAGGGATGCGCATCTCTGTAATCTATAATCACCCCTCTGTAATCTGCAGCTGTAGCCAAATGCTATTTAGCACTTGTCTACCTGTAGAATAGAAAAGCTTATTATATGGAATTGATATAAATTTTAACACTTGTCAGTGTCATCCCCATACATTTTGATTTCGACTCTCTCTGTAGATTCTCTCTGTAGACAAGCGCTAAAGTGGCATTTGGTTAAGGCCCTGGCACTCCAGGCACTTGCCTAGTTTGTCTTAGGGATAACAAGGCTCTGATTAGAACATTTACATTATTTTAATTATACAAGCTAGCGGTGGATGAAATAATTTTGTTGATGAAATTAAAAAAAAAACTGAAATGAAATTAAAAACCTTCTTGTTAGCTTAGTGATTAGTCATACCAAACAGATTTTTATTTACCTATGTCAATTTTGCATGCTCATGATTGTTATGTAAATGTCAATATTTGTATAAATCATAAGAATTTATTTTTACTATGCATCTTATCTGAAAGATAGAAAACCTAATTTATTAATTTCCAATAAGATTAAAGTAAATCCTAAAACTAAAGTAACAGTACAATATTGCCAGCTGTTTGCATACACATAAATATTATGTACAAACAGATCTGATTAGGTGATAATTCAATAAAGGAATAAGTTCAACAAACACAAGGCATATTTCCCGCCTTTCGCGTGTTAGCTTATTACCTCGCCTGTATGGACTTCTTCGGCAAGAATTATCACCGAGCCTGGTGGCACACAGGACTTGGAGACGGAGACACGCGCCGCCCGCGAACAATGACCTGTAGCATCATCGTACAGCGGCTCCAAGTCAATGATGTCATCGCGAGACAAACTCCTACAAAAACAATTTCATGTAATCACGTTCATCTTCAAACTTGGAACAAATAAAAGTTTATTGTTTTACTAATATTACTTACCATGTGTAACAACCCCCCTCGATGATTTCAAAGGTGAAATTTATATTCAAATCCTCAAGCCAAGGTAACAACACCCTCGGAGTATTTATTTTGGCTCCATCACATGTGTGTCCAAGTAAACACAGCACTGATATGAAAACTGCAGTCTTCTTAAACTCCATGATATTATTTTAGTAAATACATCAATATAGTTTAATTAATATCCCTATTTGGAAAAATCTAACCTATTCAACACAAATCGGCAAATCGCGCATTTCATTCAAACTTTTGACAGTTGTGTTTTTGACAGATTCTGTATACAGATTAAAAATGTTAGCCAAAACTATTCAATTTCTTTTGTTATGGTTTTATTTCCGCCCATTCTTGTTAAATAACATAAATAAAATAGAATGGAATCAAATGAACTGTAAAAGTTACTGCATCTATAATAATTTTCCTCAATACTGAATTCAACATTCATAATATTTACGCATTTCCTTCCATTTTCTCTATTGGAAGAAAAAAAAACAAAGAAATGTCAAAATGTTAAATATGGCTGCTGTGTATTCGTCATGTTTTGTGTCGTATTTTACATGAATTTTATAAATAAATGGCAAAATGAGTACGATTAGTAATTAATGTGAGACAATATTAACGATATAAAACAATAAAATACTGTTGGATTAGCGGATAAGTGTCAGAAATCATCATGTCTTCAGACAAGGCTGCTGAAATAAAAGGCAACGAGATCGATAAAACCAAACGTCGTCATAAAACTGACGACACTGTTATTGCGACAGCGGCAACAAACGGTGTTGAAGATACAGTGCAATTCGCGAAGATGGAGAGTGCGGACGAAAGCGCGGGCAAGCCCACGGAGTTATGTCTTCAAGGCAACGCTCACTTGATTTCTAGTACAACGAGTAGTTTGGCCGATACGCCTGGTGATTCTGGTGTTTTGTGTTTAGATAGTGAGGCCTCGGAGGCCACGAGCCAAGCGCTTATGTCGCACAGTCTCATAGGAGCCGAGGAATTAGCTTGTGACAGTGTTTACGATGCCCCGCCGTCTTGTTCTCAAGACATGATCAAGAGTACCACTAGTAGCATTATGACTCGCAGTGATATCGACAATCAAAACATTGGTGTACCTGATGACATTGTGCCAGAATTAATTGTTGAAACTAATAAGAAACCAAGTCCGTATGAAAACCTACCAGATTTAGTGTTAAAAGCATTAGAAAGTGAGAAAGGTGCAGATGAATCTCGTAAGCCTGCTCTAAGGAATGAACCTAAGAAGTCTTTGTCTGAAGATATTGTTTATAGACGAAGATGTCGGAAAAAGTCTCAAAGTGGACCAAGTTCACAGAAGAAAAGGGTTTCATTCCATGAGGATATATTGAATAATACCAAAACAGATAACATTCATATTGAAAGAGGTTTCATATCTTATGGACCTGATAGTTCATACTGTGACAGGTTTAGGCAGAAGAATAACATCGTAACAGACAGGTTCTCATGGTGTGCTTCAGGGGACAGGACACCAAAGTATGCGGCTGATGTTGCTCAACAGACTATGTCAGACATTCTCACCTATGGTGATTCCAAAAATGACAGGAGTGGTATATTTGAATACTGTCAGGATTATGAACAAGAAAATCAAGAGAACAATAACAATGACAAAGACAACAATAATGAACCCAGACCTACTGGGAAACTGTATGGATGTGACTCAAACAGCTCAGACTCTAATTTCAGCTGTGACTCTGAAACTTCATCCAGTGACTCATCCTCCTCACATTCTAATAAAACTGAAACTTCAATGCTCCACAGAAAGTGTGACAAAGCGCAGAAGTCCTATTCTTGTGATGCATTTGAAAATAATGGGCATGTTGCATTCATGAGGAAAACATATTTCTCTGAAGCTGATATTGACCAATCCACTGATCGCATGAAAATGCCTCTAGAAGTTTCACACAGTCCAAATACAGTCAAATCTGTATTGAAGAAGAAACGCTACATAACTACTAGTATTGTAGAAGAAAGGAAGTCACATAATAAAGTATTAAATCTTTTGGATGCCAACAACATCATTGATTCTTTAAAGAACTTTTACAAGAATTTCAACTTCAATTTTGCACCTGAAAAAGGTTTGCCTGAAAATAGTTTGGAATTGAATAATGTTGTGGAAGCTCTACCATGTGATGTTAATCATAACAAAAAGCTTTCAAAAAGCCTTGACTCAGGGTTCCAGGCTGAAGATGAAGATGATTTTGTTGAAATCAATCTAAATGGCCAGCCTTTGGAGACTGTGAGACCCAAAGAAATAGCAACACCATCAAAAACCTCAGTGGCAGGTGAAAGGACTCCTAAAGAAGGTTCTCCAAGACATAAACTCACACTCAACATGAAGGCTCAACTTGATAAGAAACCCAACAAAGCTGATCTCCCACCACTTAGCAAATATGTTGTCAACTGTGAGAGCACAGTATATGAACACAAGGGAGTCTCATACAGCTATGTCCATGATACATTCCAAACTGCTTTTGATGCTCCTAAAGAGACTTTTGTCCCTATACCTGAAACCACTCCTGTGACAGAATTAGTCACGAGCACAAGTAAGATAGACCTGACTAAATCCACTGATACTGACTCTTCCAGTAAGACATCAACACCCAAGAGACAATTCAACAAAAATATCCAAGACGAGACTGAACAAAAGAGTGGCATTTCCAAGCATTTGTCTTCACCAAAGAAACAGAATGTAAACAGGTACAGTCGTAAATCGGCGTCAACAGTACAGAAATTGAACGACGAGCCAGCTCAAGTGAATAGCGACAACTGTTCAAACACCGACAATTCAACCTTGAAGGGAGCCGAGGACTTTAATGACGACTTTTTCGACAGTCCCGGCAATCAAAAGCTGCAATCCAACAAGTCGGCGTTATTGAACCGATACCTGAAGAATGTGTGTCAAAGGAAAGACCTTGAACTTAAAATAAAGAACAATAAATTCTTTCAATTCAAACTTCGAATGGAGAAACATTTCCCGAGCATAATATTTCCTTTGAAAGAGGTGTCTGATACATTCCACGTGTCTGCTGAACGTATGTCGAGGCTCATAGACAAAGAAGTGATAGAGAACAAAAGGTTGTCAGTGAGGCTGTTGACAGCGGACGAGCCGTCCTACTTTGATAGTTTCGAAGATAATGTCGCCATAGAATGTAATGAAAAGCTCAGGCTGCAAATATTCTCCTATCCAAATGAAACTTTAAATAGGGTAATTATGTTTGATTACTAAATCGCAACACAAATTTCGTTCACCGTAATACGACCTTGATTACGCGATGTTTTGTACAAGGTACTAATTTAGCGAAAAAGTTTTGAAAACCATTTTAATCATTGGTCGAAAGGTCAATTTGATTCGGTTCAAGTAACAAAGTCGGTAACTATTTTTAGCCTTTCCTTTTGAGCTTTATTGAGTCTTACGTATTTGCAGATGATGAAAGTGAAGTCCCCATATAACATGGATGATGGATCTTGGACTCCTCTGCTGGTTTTCATCACTGACTATGCTCTGTACGTGGCTAGCGTGAAGCCTGGAGGTACCGAATACGAAATGCTGTGCCGGCTACCTCACAATGAGCTGGATGCTATTGTGGTAAGTCTTTTACTGACTGCAAATTGCAATGTCTTGAAATTGCAGAAAATCTACCTTATTTTGCAGATTATTCTACTCAACTCTACAATGATGTCATAAGAAAAATTGTATGTAGGAAAAGCTGGTTATGCATTCTATACTGTGGGTTTTAAGGCGTACAAAGAGAAGCTACTGCATTACTCAATTAAGATAATGATGTCTAACAATATCGCGTAATCCCATTTCCGCTCCGTAGACAATACACCGCGTCTGTAAGCGTATGTTCTCTTCATTGTAAAATCTTCAAATTTAACAGACTTCAAAAAAGGAGGTTCTCATTTTAACCTGTATTTATTTATTTTTTGCGCGATTATCTCGCGATTGACTGAACCAATATTGATGCGGTTTTCTGAAAAGTGTTTGATACACTTAGGAGAAGGTTTTAGTATGGGTAATAATTAACAAACTTCAAAAAAAAAGGGGGGGGGGGGTTTAAGTCGGTTTTTTTAAACGTAGCGTATGAAAGAAATTATTTCTAGCTTACAAATATAAGACGTAAATGTATTTTATAAACATCGGTACCTATAGCGCTTTTTTAGCCTCACCCTCAATGATATTATAAAGAAGATACGCTACGTTCATACTAAGCGGCGTCCAAAAATTGTTGCGTTCTTATTACAAATGTACTTAAATGTCATTTTCAACTACGTGCGACAGATAATACGGAAAGTATGGTACAGAAAGAGATAGCTATTTACAAATTACGACAATTGTCTGAATTCGTTCGCAACAATTTTTGCGTGCCAGTGCGATATCTACCTCTTTTTATTATTTATAATATCATTGCTCACCCTATTATTTTCGCTCATCTAAGAAGTTGTCTTTGTCTAAACCGTTCTAACCACATGTGTTCATTTAACGTTATTATCTGTAGATCATACAAAAAAAATGTTGAACTACTGTAGCAACACTATTATCGAATCAATTAAATATAATTATGCAAATAAAGCATATCTACTATTTTTAAGAGTATTTTGAACCTGAACATATAAACAGTTTATGCAATAAAAGACATAACAAACCTGGGTCAATATCTCAACGACTTGAATGACTCATTAATAATAACGACTTCGCATGATCCTAGCCTTATTAGCTCATTTGAACATAATATCGATCTTTTAATATTGCACGTTGTTTATGTATTCAAATCAATGCCCTGTGTCCTATGTTATGCAGATAATAAAGTACATAGCTACCTAAATCAATGCTAGAGTTCTTTGTATATCTTGAATAAGAAATTGCCAATTATTCAAACTGGATATTTCTTGAATTTTCTTCTGCCTCAATACGTACTAAGAAAGGTGTTTTCCAAGTAATTAAACAATTTACACCCGTTTATATTATTATTTATTTGCTAATTAGTTATTTGTTAACAGACAATATCAATTCTTAAATGTAAGATTAATAATACAAGAAATAACGAGGTAGGTCCTAATCCTCTATCTATATCATCTAGATATGTCTTACTTCGCGATAGAACAGGGTGATTCACACAAAGTGCAACGTTATATAACTCTACATGTGACTGGAAATGCCGGCTGCCCGATATGTCACCCCATTCAGTTTCAAATGAGGTCGCCGACATTGACTCCACGACGACGGGTCAACGGATTCGATCGTACTGCTTTAGTTTAAGTACATGAACTTTCTTTCTTTGATAGTTCAGTTGTATAATAATGGGTGTTAATGGTATATAACATGTATTTCAATAGTCGAAGCGGTAGCCAGAGGTTTGGTACAATGTGTGTAATGTACTTTTCATTACTTATATTATAAGTCCCAAGTAAAAGAGTCTTGTCGTCAATAAAATAATTCTAACGAACATTTGTGTGCATGATAGATCATTAGTATACTTCCTACTCCAGATATTTTCCAAATTAACCTCTTTAGTTTATTTTTACTGTTAAAACCTATTATCATTATCGTCAAATGAGATAACTGATAAATATTGAATCCCATTGTCAACATTGATTGTGAATATTGATTGTTTTTACAATCGAAACCGGTATCTTCCGGGTTTACAAATATTATTTAAGTATTTGTCAAATATTCATTTGTCTGATCGTTATCAATAATTGAGTGGGCAAGCTGCTAATAGTGATTTAATTACATACTACAATTAACCGAAAATTTTCTTGTACCGACTCTTTAATAATCCAAGATCTATGATAATAATGTAGAAAATGATAAGCCGAAAGAATTATTCTGCAAATGAGCAGTCGAATCATCATTAGGTTCGCCAAAGAGATGCACCACTGACACGTGCTTCAGAACAAATGTGCATTCTTGTCGAAGCATGGTTATCCACTTTCCCACGTACCTAATCTATGTTACAATCGTGCCATTTTTAAACCTATGACAGAAAGTCGTGATAAAATAACAATATAAATGAAAATAATAATAAATAAGTCGGCGGTATTTCCGAACCGATACGACCTTCAAAACTTCAAGAAAAGAGCGTACTCCTTTTTAAAAGGCCGGCAACGCATCTGTGAACCCTCTGGTGTTGCGGGCGTCCATAGGCGGCGCTGATCGCTTACCATCAGGTGATCCGTCTGCTCGTTTGCCTCCTATTCCATAAGATATAAAATGTGTTCTTATGTATTTTAAACCCCTGTAATTCTTTCCAGGTCGGTCCGGAAGCGCAGTACATCCAGATCCTTGACATCGCGGGCAACATAGCATGTTCTATCGTTACTGGGGAGGCTACGTTAGGGGCTCGGTTCGCATCGTCATTGGAATGGAGTGCCAGGACTTCACCGCTTAGGATCCAGCGACCACCTGCCATGATACCGCTGGGATGTCGGGAGTTGGCGGCCGCGGTCGCTAGGAAGAGGCATGAGAGACGGGTATGTATCTTAAACAGTATTGAAAAGCAACAAACACAAATATTCATAACATAACATCACGCCTTTTTATCCTCGAAGGGTTAGGCAAAGAGGCACATTACGGCACTTATTGCCACTGTACACACCAACTTTTCACTGTTTATGTTATGAGTCCTATGTAATAGGGGGTGAGCTTATTGCCATATACCGAGCACAAATTCAGCTACGTGCTACTTTAGAGATGGAAGGGGGGGGGGGGTAATTGCGCCTACGGTAACCTCACTCACACGACGAAACAACACACGGTTTTACGTCGGTCTTCTGTGAGGCCGTGGTATCATTCCCGGTCGTGCCGACCCATTCGTGCCGAAGCATGGCTCTTCCACACATAACCCATACCCGGAGATAGAAATCTGTTAATACATAAGTAGATTACCATAAAGGGGTCAAGCCATTTTGCTACCGATAGGAATGAACATATTATTGTCATACAATATTTTTAGGCACGTTTCCAGATGACGACAATGCGGAGAACTACTTTCATTCTTTATCATAATTTATTATGTATTTATTCTTTACATATTTGGCATTTATACATGGTATTGAGAATTTAAGTTATATTTATGGAAAAAAGAGAAGCCGTAAAATAAGTAAACATGTTTATGAGCAACGTTAATTATTTTTATACCCATTTCTCTGGTATTATCCGCAAAGTGTTGCCATAGTGAATAAACAATACTTACATTCAAATAGCAAAACAATAAAGGTTTTCAACAATAATGAATTGAAAAGATCTATTTTTCTTTTCATTCCATTCAATAAAAAACATTCAATTGTTTTCTAAATAATACTTACTTCTTTTAAGGCTATCGACCTTATAACGTCTGTTTAAAATTTATTTTCCTTTGACCTCGAAGCTCAAGATAGAATAACAGTATTATGATAACAAATTATTATCATACCAATGATTGGCAGCTAGCAACGTGGTTTTCATTGCGGATTACCGACCTTCGCTTAGTTCACGTGTGTCAAACTGAGTTCTGATAAGGACCGTCAATGAATTTGTTTGTAGGTACTTGTCAGAAACGAAAATAAAAGACACTTTCACTGGTACTTTTCAAGTAATACATAAAAAATATTTTTTAATGTTCTATTAATTATTTTTTATAGTTTTTATGGCATAAGCTGGTAAACTATATAGTATGGCGCCGCCCACGGACACCAGAAACACCAAGCCGTTACAAGTGCGTTACCGGTCTTTTGAGAATTGGGTATTTGACGATTATGTGGTTTCGGGGATTGGGGAGACTGGGGAGGGTGGGAAATTGGGCCTCCGGTAACCTCACCCACACGACGAAACATAACGCAAGCGTTTTTCACGTCGGTTTTCTGTGAGGCGTCGTGGTATCACTCCGGTCGAGCCGACCCATTCGTGCCGAAGCATGGCTCTCCTACACTTAAGCCACCACACTTATCACACTTTTTAAACGGTTTGAATGTGTATGGTCATCAAAAATAAGAGTTGTGTACCAAAAATCTAATCGACCTGTGGTCAAGAAGGGGGAGAAATTCCAATTACTAAGATAGACCCAAACAAACAGGTCACGCTAAATAAAACCGGTTAATATATATCTAACTGAGCTATTACACCCTCAATAGTAGCACGAGTCGAAAATGGTACCTATTTCACTTCATAGCAACAACTGGCTCTTGTATATAAGTAACAAGAGCCAGTTGTGGCTACATGTGACGTCATGTTCCAAATAATCATAAAAAAATAATAATAAATATTTTGTTCCAGATACCACAAATCCTATTCTACGGTCGTGTATGTTCTGGCGACGCGGGCGACCGACTCATTGAAGCGCCGGGAGCGTTCGCACCTCCTCTAGAGGGATACCTCATGTGTAGGACTGACAGGAGTAGGCGATTTGAGCCTTGTTACTTCTTGTTAAGGTAAGTTTTACAATAACTGTTATTATTTGTATACTAGCTTTTACCTGCGGCTTCGCTCGCGTCACAAAAGGATAAAATGTAGCCTATGTGACCAATACACACAGCGCCATCTATACCAATAATTTCGTTTTCCCTCAAGAATATCAATTTTTCCGGGATAAAAAGTACCCTATTATTTAATCCAGACTTCTAACTTCACGTCTGCAAAAATTCAAAGCAATCGGTGTAGTAGTTACTGCTCGAAAGTGGAACAAACAAACTCACTTTCCGGTTTATAATATTAGTAAGGACTAGTAAGGATTACACAAAGATTATAGTCAAGAAGCACAATCCATAAATAATGGTGCATAGCTATCTACATAATATTTTAGACGAACTGGTCAAACTACTTATTATACTTAAAGTAATAAAATTGCAAAGTTTGCTTTGATTGGTTCTAGTCTAACTAGAAACACACATAACATAATATCACGCATTTTATCCTCGAAGGCACATTACGGCACTTAATGCCACTGTACAATGTATCACCCACTTTTCACTATTTATGTTATGAGTCCCAAGTAATAGGGGTGAGGGTTCTAACTAGAATTAAAATAGCAATGTGTGTTATCCTTAAATTATCATTCTGTGTCTGTATGTGAAAGAATTTCGCAGCCATGAGACAGTATCACCTCCTGAATAGCAATATTTTTAAAATCGATAATTCCTTTTTTCAGAGCCGGAGTCCTACACTGGGGTCCTCACTCACCCGACGGTACCTCCCCCCTCCCCAACAACATCGCACTTCGGTCAGTACTTGGAGTCCGAAGACACCTGGACTCCTCACGCCGGCCGCATTGCTTCGAGATCGCTCTAGCAGACAATAGCAGGCTCTTGTTAGCAGCTCCTGATGATGCTACTGCGTCTTCTTGGCTGCAGAGCTTATTGTTACATGCTGCTCAGGTGAGATAGAAATTAATATAGGCTTTATTGGTAAGGGATACAGCTGAAAGTCTTTTGGACAAATAAGTACTGTGGAATGAACGCATAAAGTTAAAAAGTATAGTATCTGTTTCTGTTATTGCACTCTTTCCTACGGGGCACGGGGTTATAACGGTACAAATAACATAACTCTTCTACAGGTATGTATGCCAGTTATCATGGTCTCATGATGAGGCCTATAGTCTAGTAATGGCACAACTAAAGGCACTCAAATGGTTAGAATATAACGACTAATATATAATTAAGAAAATAATAAAACATGCATAATGTTTAGGCTCTCGAAGAAAAGGACGGTGCGAAGAAGTCCAGCGACCGGCCTGGTCCTCCACCAGCCTGCACAGTCCTGGTGACTCCGACCGAAGTCATCAGTGTACGCGACACGTTGGACCTCGCCTTCGTATCGGGGGCCGCTGCGTATCTCAAGGACAGAGGCTCCGATGCTTTGCTCAAAGGTAGAATAGATTTTAAATTCTAATACTAAGAATATATGTGCAAGTTTGACATAGGTAATTATGATAATTAAATTAAGTAGTATTTTTCACAAACTTTAAAACCAAATTTAACATCAATAATTCAACAGCCTATAAGTAGCCACTGCTGCCCAAAAGCCTATTCTCCCACGGAGAAGGTTTGAGCATTAAATCACCGCTTGCTCAATGCGGGTTGGTGGTGTTTTCCTTCACCATTTATCAATGATGTCTAAATAATCTTAGAAAGAACATCAGCGTTATCATCATCTGCAGCCTATGAATACCCACTGCCTCATCTCATACGGAGAAGGTTTGAGCATTAATCACCACGCTTGCTCAATGTGGGTTGGCGATTTCAAACTTAGAATTAGAAATTATAAGCCCTAGGTTTCCTCACAATGTTTTCCTTCACCGTTTGTCAGTGGTATCCAAATAATCTTAGAAAGTACATATAACTCGGCAAAAGTCACATTGATACTTGCTGTTGGTAGGTTTCGAACCCGCACCCTTATGCATGAGAAGCGGGTGCCTTAACCTCCGGGCCACCAAGACAAGTTACTTACGAAAGTACTTGTAACTCGGAAAATTCGCACTCATTGCAAACGCACTATTTCTGCTTGTATAACAACTTGTACAAAACATCACAGCAAATATAATGGATAATGTTAGATTCAACTAAATACATAATATAAATATTTTGTTTTAGAATATATAGAGGAGATGCGAACAGACATCGAGATCCTAGCGTGCGGCTCCATCAAGAACTTGACCGCCTTCAAGATACCTGACACCGATGAGAACTGGTGTTGTTTGGTAAGCACACTTTCATATTAAATGTATAACAGAATATCCATTCGTATGTAATGAATGTAGTCAATCACATTTTGTAGATTAAATTAAGCCCTAACTTAAGGGTACAATAGTAATATTTGCTTAAACGTTGATCGTACCGAAAATTTGTTCATACAAAAGTACTCTCTAAACACCGGAAACAAGGTCTATAATGGAGTTAGTGGAGAGTGGTCACCGTTGAACGCTTGGGGATTCAACAGTTAAACCATAAAGTATCTTGTTTTTATAACAACTATCGTGAGATATACTAAATTAACTAAAAATCGCGGGTTACTCACGAGAGACTCTAGGGAGTGGGGCAACATTTAAGTAACAAGTAAGAAAAATGAAAATGTTTGTCATTTTGTGTATTCAGGAGTGGAGTGTATGCGAAGCTCGCGAGCGTGGCGCGGGGCTGGCGCTGGTAATGGCCAGTGGAGCCGAGCTGGAGAGGTTCATCGCTGCCGTGGAACAGGCCTTCTGTGCGCTCACTGTAAGTTAAACCATTGTTTGGAAGGAATTACAAGATTTAGTTCTGAAACTCTAAAATATTTAATGCGCCATACTGCTTAAAAAAATATTAATCTGGAGACGTAAACTTCGTGAAATATGAAGTAAAAACTTTTTTCAAATATTTAAGTCTGGTAACTGGGACTGGGGATTTTCGTGGGAAGCGTTGATTGCTTACCATTACATTTACATCAGGTAATCAGTAAGCTAATTTGCCGCCATATCTCAAAACAAAAATGTATTACAAAATCTCGAATATTTTAATTAAAAATTAGACTTAATAATTAATAATTATTTTTCTTTCCCAGTGCGAGCCATTCCCGCTAAGCGTAGTGGAGGCGGCAAAATCCGCTTGCAGTTCCGCGCACACGAAGTACGAAGCTGCCTGGTCGCATATGTTACCGCAACAGTAATCGACAACGTGTACACATCACTAGTGGTAAGATTGCATTCACTAGGTACTCAGTAGCTAGGGATGTGGAAGAGAACATTTTCATCGATATCGATAATTAAAATTAAAGTACTTAAATGTATGTATGGAAATTATTAACATTCTGTTTGTTTGGTGAAGGAAAATATGTTGCAAATGTTTTTAACGCGTCTTGTTCCTGAAAATTGAATCTTATCACTAAGATGTAACGGTTTAGACTTAACTGTAATAGGAAATGTGAATTTTAGTTTTAATTATTATCATAAGCGCTTTTCGCCTTGTTCTCAATAAATAGACATAGTGGACTTAGAATGAATTTCGTAATACATTAATATATCAATTTTGGCAACACCATACAGTCGTTAGTAAAAAGCTAATACCTAAACCACGTGACGTTTTCTTACAAATCTCGTTTTAGAATTATACATTTCGAATATTAACAAATATCTAAAATAAATAATATTTTCTTAGAATTAAAGTAAAATAAATGTGAATTCTTGTCAAAAACTAAACTTAGAAATATTCTTACTAACCTATATGGTGTTGCCAATTTCTCAAAACGAAAATAATCTCAAATACTCAGTTATTAATAAAAGTTAATAAATATTCAGTGAGAAGAAGAAAGGCGTCCTGCGAGCACAATATAGTTAAATTGTATAATAATAATATAGATACGCTTCCACAGTTGATATTTCGCTCATAAAATAGATAATCTCTTTGATTTTTGAAGCAAACGGGCATGAACTATAAAAAAACTGATATTACTTAAAAAAAGTATTTAATCAAATAATGCTACATTCCATTTTCAAATGACTTGCGTTTGACCAAAGACATAAATTGAATGAGGTTGTATATGTTACTGTTTGCTTCAGAACCCAGTTATAACTATATTATACCTAATAATAGGTATTGTGTATCGTTATTGTTTATCTATTAATATTATTATGTATTCGAATAATAATCTTAAATATTCAGTAGTTAACGTTCTCAAGTTTCGTAGTTATATGTCACAAACCATTATATTTATGTACTTATTGTTATTATGTTAATGCTATAAAAATATGTATCTTTTGTAACAGTAAAGTTGACGATTTTTATAGCAATAATGTACACAAGAATATTGATATTAAATCGAATATTATTGAAACATGTATCATAAATATTTAGCTCTTAAAATAATAATTAATCATAATTTATAAATCGGCCAGAGTTAATCGTTAACGCGCTGATACTTTGAGAATTGTATAGAAATATTAATTGTATGTATATTGTATTTCATTCTGGTCACATTTCCCAAAATTTTGTGTAATAATAATTATTTTGTATGTCTATATATCGTTCTGAAGACGCGCTAGTTATGTTTTAGTGCAGTTTCCGAACAAAAAGCGCTCTTACTAGTATTATGGAGGGAACAGTAGTGGGGATAAAGCTTGGCAAAGTGTACTGTGATTTGCGCTATTCTGAAACTTGACTGCGAAAATGCCTCTCAATAAATCGATTAATCGGTAATCGATACAAAGGGATATCGATTAACAAGTTTACAGAATAAGTATGCTTCGTGTGACGGCTTAGTAGATTTTGTAATGTGGAAAATAAAAATCATAGTTTTTTACTACAAACCTTATTTAGCTTTATTATTTTTAAAGCTAATTTTAATGGTTTTGTTTTAAAAGTTCGTTTCGTTTTTTCAAAAGGGCATGTTCCCCGGGGTTGACGATGGTGTTGCAAGCTTTAATATTTCTTTGGAAAATGGTCTCAAAAAATGTTATTTATGCTATTAGAACAATTTCGTGACGGTTGTCCGCTCGTTACCAAATATATCAATTGTATATCATTTCGTATGTGTATTAGGCCACTGTACGGCCGTGTGATATTAATGTATATTTAGGGTAGGTATTAGCGCATCGTGAACCGTGAAAGCGCGTTATTTTATCTATATGACGAAAAATTTCTGATTAATTTTCTAATTTACAAAGAAACTGCAGTCATTCCAGGTTTTTTTAAGTCGAAAATGTAGGTTTTTTTTCATTTTTTGTCTTGTATTGTCAAATGTTTCGTATAGATAAAATACGTGACAAGAAGTAATAATTGCAAGTTTAATAAAATTCATAACAATTACTTCATAGTCAGTTTGAAAACATACATAGTTATTGATATGAATATTATGTATTCCCGGATATGTTTATGTACTTGTATTCCCATTTATTTGTTGTATTTCCTTATATTATTGCTTTGTTTATAATGTTTATTACATTTTACAAACTTGTGTATGTGATTGCGCTTTTACTAAGGACTATCTTTATGTAAAAATATAATAAAAAATTGACCAGTTCGAAACTAAAGAGGTTGTAACACAAAATGGTGCTGGCACCCAAACTCAGTTTGAATTTCGAACCGTTAATAATTTGACAGATAATTTTTTTAACAGTCTGTTCTCTTTGCACGAAATTGTTTTCTTATTTTTACATAAAATTAGTCGAAACTCTTTGCTACGTAACTGTGATTTGTGTTGTTTACCATTAAGTTTGTTGTTTATATGCATAATATTAGATCAATGTTTTTAGCTTTTAGTATTAGATAATTATTTCAATATTATTATACCAGGATTAATCAATAGAACTTAATATGAAGACTACTACTATAATAGAGTAGATGAAAAAAAATCACATTTAATAATTATTATTATTTCGTGTGAATCCAAATTGTCTATAACTATTAATTATTGCCTTGTTGGGAATATTGTAAAGTGCATGGTATTGTAAATTTTATTATTTACGATTAAACAAACAAATTCTTGATCTTGAGTATTGTAAAACAAAATCTACTATATATAAAATTAAAATCTCTTCTTTGGTAACTACAAAATCGATTTACAAATTGATATTATGAATTGGCTATGATCATTATTTATTAATTGGTTATTTATTTTTGTTAAATTATTTTTATACTTATAGAAATCACGACTGTATCTTCCGTTCTTATTGTAAAATATCTAAAACTTTGTATAGATGGATAATGTATGTTAAAAGCATCTCAACTTTGTTATTTTTACACTACTTTTTTAAGTTTTAAAGGCTTGGTTGGCAACACTGGAGTAATACAAACTTGGGTGTTGCAATCATCAATAAACTCCAGCTAGGTTATTTTGTACCTTCATTTCGAATGTTCAAAGTGAACTCCATCGTGGTCTGCCATGTCATTGGTTGTCACTTTGTGAGAATAATCTCGACCAATAACGGGCCAGAATGCGATCGAGCTCACTTTGAAATTTCGAATTGACACAAAATAGCCTAGCTGTAACTATTTTCTATCACAAGTCGTTAGCTTGTTTGTCACAGGTACAAAAAATAAGAAAAATAATAGTTCATACTTTTTATTTTTGTACTATCATAAAACGTAGGTCAACATCTATTCCATTGGACTTTGGCTAAAAGTTCATGTAGGTACTATACGCCATTCAACACACAAATCAAATTAACTCTTATAGCGTTTGAAATAAAGTTCAAAATTAACTAAGTTGAGATGTTTTTACAACTATCTCTAAACTATCAATCCCTTCCCGTAGGTACACGTAAGTATTACTAAGAACAATAATAATATTAAACGCTGTATTATGTAGAGAATTTTTGATTGTAACGTTATGTATGGCTAGGACAAGTAATGCGATTAGTCGCACCGTAAGTGCACAGTCGCAGCTATTTGTCGAGCTAATCGCAAAACCTTTTCTTGTAATAGTGTGTCTCTTCAATGTCGTATTGTTTTGCTGGTCTTGCCGATATAATTAATATCCCATGTATTCTTGTTATGAATACTGGCCTTTTAGAATTGGAACCTTCTAAAGATGTTTTTTTTTAATTAACCTCTCGCGCGCCTCTCGTACACACGGGTAAACGCGCGTTCTCGTACACACAGGTAAATATTTTAATAGAAAAGCGAATTAACTATTCTGTTCAATCAAATAAAGAACGGGTTGCAAACTTGAAAATATACGTCACAGAAACAATATGCCAATCAGTGCGCGTTTCTCGTACATACACAAACAACACACGCGAGAGGTTAATAAGGGTTGTGAGTACCTAAGAATGTTATACTTTTAGTAGGTTATGAAAAGATGAGCGTGGACTCTGTATACAATTGTGACATCTAGCAGAACTCTGTTAGTTTTCATCGAATTGTAGAAGTTTGGGAGAAATCCTTTCGAAAAACTTTTCTGGTATATCGATAGATACTCTTGTTAAAAAAATATCTTTTATGCGATAAGCCGGTAAACTAGCAGATAGATCACCTGATTGAAGCAATCAGCATCGCCCATTTACACCTGAAATACTAGAGGCGTTACAAGTGCGTTACCGGCCTTTTGGGAATTGGGGATTTAAGGATTGTGGGGGATTCGGGGATTGGGAAGTCTGGGTCTCAAAGTATTTGTTATCTTGCCCTCTAATTAAATTCTTATATCGCAGGCGATATAATTATATAATTTTGCAAAGAATAGGTATTCCTAAATTAATTCCAAAGAAATTTATATTATTATTTATATCTTTTTGAACAATATTTTCTACTGTTGAAGAGACACAGCAAAGAAACCATTTTGTAGTATACATTGTAATGCCCTAACTCAGCATAAAGGCAATTCGAATTTAATATCGCTTGACATTATTGTTCATGTAAACAATATAATAAATATTTGCGGAAGTATTTTTATTTGTTTTTATTTTGTCACCTTTCTATGGAACTATAGGCTCCTGAGTATTTTTTAAGGGGAGAAAATCATCGAATGACCGCTCCCACCTGGATGAGGCGGGGTGTATAGTGTCAGACTCTTACTGACTAAAAACCACCCCCTTCCTTCTCCTGTACGTCGAGCCGGAACCCTGGTAACACGTTAGGTTCTCCGCGACAGGCTCCTAAGTCTTGGGTGGCGTTTAAAGATCTTTGCATAAAAATTTAAAATGTCGACCATGTAATTATGGGATATTAATGTCAACACCTAAGTATTTAACCTGTTGAAATATCATCCCTAAATTTGTTCATACGAAAGTAGACTTTAAACATCGGATATAAGGTCTATAATGTAGTTAGTGGGGAGGTCACCGGTGACCGCTTGGGGATTTTATTCTGTTCGTTGACGACTCTCTGTTCTGTAAAAAATATATCAAAATCATGAAAATAGGTACTCCAAATAAACCTTAGCAATGGACCAGTGGACACGTTGTTTACCTTGACATAAATGCCACCAGTAAATTCATCTTATGCAAGTATCAGATCTTCAGATCCATAACTAAAATTTTCTAAGTCAAAATATATTTTAAATACAAAATCATGTCCTTTTTCATTAAATGCATTTTTCTAACAAAACTTAAATATTACGCCATATTGAGCAATACCCAATTAATTAATTATGCGTAAATTGTTATTCTCGTTCTATAAAACGGGATTGACAAGCGAGTAGAGAACGCTATGAAACCTGTTTGATAGCCGACCGGTAAACAACACACCTCCGAGTCGATGTTACTAGAGCAATCGGTAGGAATTGTGACGCAGGACACTATTTTGAATGTAGGTAAATTTAATTGTTCTTTGTGTTTAAGAATAGAGAGAGCAGAGCGCTATGTAATGGCAACTTATTAGGTCCTAATTTACCATGATAAATGAAAATCAACCCTTTGAGTACCATCATTATAGACACAATTAAAGAACAATAGGTTGCGGTCACCGGTGTCCTCGTGTTGTTTGACAGTTTAAAGTACTTTAAAGTGTCTAAAAATCTCTGAGTAGATGCAACTAGGCTGCTACAGAAAATTTAGAATCAAGCCTTGATCTATCTTTGTCTGACATAGAAATCGTACCTACCTATAATGTATGCAAAATTAAAATAACAACGGATTCGTAAAGAACAGTACTTACACATATGCATAACATATGTACAGGTACAAAAAGAATATCAGTAGTAGCACGGAGTCTGGAAATGTGACCGGTATATGGCAATAGGCTCACCCTATTACATGGAACTCATAACATAAATCGTGAAAAGTGGGTGTTACCTCTGTGTGCACCTCTGCATACCCCTTCGGGGATAAAAGGCATGATGTTATGTTATGTTACATAATGTAATTATTTAATAATTATGTTATTACTATTTTACTCATTTAGGATATAATTAATTTCAGGAGAAAGTATTGCTGGTCTAGGTCTACTACCGATAAACGAGGGAACTCTAGAAACTTTCCAAAAGTGGTTATTAGCAAAGTGGGCAGGCTTGGCTTAATTGTAGATACCTTGTTGCCATAAACATTGTCACAACGATGTCAACAACATTCAGGAAACTGTTTATGTTGTTTTGCACTGATTTTCTGCGTAGTAGGTGCGATTCGAAGGAGTATCATATTCGTCAGGTCATATTCGAAGGAGTAACGCCGGCGGCATGGGGCAGAGGTGTGGTGGTGCTATTCTTCAAGAAAGGAGACAATACTCTACTGAAAATTACAGACCCATCTCACTTCTGAGCCATGTCTACAAGCTGTTTTCGAGGGTCATTACGAATCGTCTCACACGTAGGTTCGATGACTTCCAGCCTCCCGAACAAGCCGGTTTCCGGAAAGGCTATAGCACCATGGACCACATCCATACACTGCGGCAGGTTATACAGAAGACCGAGGAGTATAACTTGCCGCTATGCTTAGCGTTTGTGGACTATGAGAAGGCCTTTGATTCGATCGAGACTTGGGCGGTGTTAAGATCTCTCCAGCGTTGCCGTATTGACTATCGGTACATTGAGGTTTTAAAGTGCTTGTACACAAACGCCACTATGTCGGTCCGAGTACAGGACCGGAACACGAGGGATATTCCTCTGCAGCGAGGTGTAAGGCAAGGAGACGTCATATCTCCAAAACTGTTTACCGCTGCATTGGAAGACGCCTTCAAACTTTTGGAATGGAAAGGATCTGGCATTAACATCAACGGCGAGTACATCACACACCTCCGGTTTGCCGACGATATTGTGGTCATGGCAGAATCGCTGGAGGATCTAAGCACAATGCTCGATGACCTCTGTAGAGTTTCTCAACAGGTAGGGCTCCAAATGAACATGGACAAGACGAAAGTCATGTCGAACGCCCATGTTACGCCCTACCCGATATCAGTTGGGAGCTCTACCCTCGAAATTGTTGACGAATATATATACCTAGGACAAGTGATCCAGCTAGGTAGGTCCAATTTCGAGAAAGAGGTCAATCGTCGAATCCAACTTGGATGGGCAGCGTTCGGGAAACTACGCAACATCTTCTCGTCCAACATACCTCAGTGCCTCAAGACGAAAGTCTATAATCAGTGTGTGTTACCAGTGATAATCTATGGAACAGAAACGTGGTCTCTCACTGTGGGCCTTATAAAGAAGTTCAAGGTCGCTCAGCGCGCTATGGAAAGGGCTATGCTCGGAGTTTCTTTGCGAGATCGGTTAAAAAACGAGGAAATCCGCAAACGAACAAAGGTCGCCGACATAGCCCAGCGGATTAGCAAGTTGAAGTGGCAGTGGGCAGGGCACATAGCGCGGAGAACCGACGGCCGCTGGGGCAGAAAGGTTCTCGAGTGGAGACCACGTACCGGCAAGCGCAGCGTAGGACGTCCATCCGCAAGGTGGACAGACGACCTCATTAAGGTCGCAGGGAACCGCTGGATGCAGGTCGCTTCCAACCGGCCTATCTGGAAGTCATTGGGGGAGGCCTATGTTCAGCAGTGGACGTCCTGTGGCTGATATGATGATGATGATGAGGTGCGATTCTAGTATATTAATATGCCAAAGAATGCACGTACCTACCTAGGTACTTAGGTACTGAATAATATAGGCAAATGCGTGCGTGGGTCTATATGGCTGATATTTGCACCTGCTTCCAGGTACTCTCACTTAGCCAGGGCTCAAGATACTACCTACAATAAATCAAATTTCTGTCACAAAAGCAGCAAAACACAGATGGGTAAGCAACTCTACAGAATGTAAAACGATAGTTTACGAGTAGCAGCGCGACAGTCACAGCAGCAGTGAAATACTGCTAATGAATATAAGCCCCCAGCATGGCTTGAAACTAGTAGAGTTGCTCGTCAAATAACAACATGAGTAAGCCGAAAAACATAAAAAAAAATTTAGTATGTCTCACGAAAGTTATAATATAAATATAGGATATAGTATGATTAGGTATTTGTTATCTAATTGAGCTTATATTTATATATCACATAGGTATACATAAGATGTCCGTACCAAAAAAAACTTTCTAGAAAGACTTTCTTTATAATAAAAGTTATGAACGAAAATACCTACAAATATTTATACTCATTCATTATTATCTCGTAGCTATGTACTTCATTACATGTTTTGCTATTTATCTGTATCTCTTACTTACATACCAATCTTTATCATAAACAAACCGGCCACATTTGCATAGCAGTCGGGTGGTAAACTTCGAGAGATCGACATAGTGGCCTAGTCGGTTCTCTCTGTTCATTCGAAGATCACGTCTGCCAAGATGGAAGAATTAAAGGTGAGATTTGGTACCTTACTTTTTTACATACGTGAACATAAATTACAGTAACTGAGTACTTATCTATTTACGTTTATTGTTTGTAAATATGACACAAGATAAATATTTGGTAGGTAAGTACTGATGTATTTTTTTACTGCAAAGACTGGAAACTGAAGAAGTAAACATGTCAGCTTAAATATATGTACATGTAGTCGGTATTCTCTGCCTACCTCCATGTGTTAAAGTCTTCAGTTTGCTAACAAAAAATTACGAGTTAGGTACTCACGTAAATATACTGAGCAAAAGCCTTACTAGTAGAGCAATATTTATGTGAGTAACTTGTAATTTTTAAGTTAATTCAGTATGTCTCACGATAGTTATTATAAAGACATCGTCAGATTATAATGTGTGTATTATAAGTGTGTAAAAGAGTCTTGTAGTACCCAAATATATTTTTCACTAGAACAATTTAGTATTTCACTCTCGATGTTTTGTTAGCCTTACAATAGGACAAAATAACTAGTCACCCTATACTATGGGGACGTATACGGAGCCGCGGAGGACTTAACGGGTTGTAGGGGCTCCGGCTCGAAGTGCAGGAGTAGGAACCGGGTTATTTTTAGTCAGTAAGAATCTGACACTCCCTCCCGCCTCACCCAGGCGGGAGCAGTCATACGATGATTTTCCCCCCTTAAAAAATGAGTGACACTCCGCCTCGCCTCACCCGGGCAGGAGAAGTCATTGAATGATTTTCCCCTTATAAAAAAGAAACAAAATAAATACTATGGGGACGTGTTATAGTATTGATACAGGTCATGGCGTCCATATACCGCCACGAAATGTTATAGTTTCTCTCAGTTTAGGTAGTCTAGTGTGAAAGAGACAAAGTGACAAACACACATAGATATACTCGTTAACATTATCTAGTAGGTTTGATGAGAAACCAGTTCCGCTGAGACTTGTTAGGGGCAAGTTCGGCGTAAAAATAGAATTACCTATATTGTTAGTGTTAGTTACCTTCTATTGAGAATCAGCTACGAGATTTGTAAGAATGTTTTCACATAAGAACTTTAGAATTCTATTAAATTGATCGCACTTAGGTACCTACCACAGAAAATACAGACATTTTTATTATATAATATTTTTTATTATATCTATGGTACCGACTATTCTTTTAAATCTCGAAAAAAACTCGACTAGGCACTATAATATCTACCTACCGTTGTTTTTACCTCTACTAACGTAAATTACATTTTACTTAAAATATTAAAGTTTTTATGAAAATACTTTTATTTGATGCTAAAAAACCCTTAAGCACGGACTAATAACTAAGTACCTATCGATCTGTATTCGACCTCAAACTATTTGTAGGTATCTACCTCTGTAAGGTACATAATCGATATCTAATCTACAGAATCAAATCAAAACATTAGGTAAGTATGGCGATTTGTTAAATCATAATTACCTACGTGTAGGTACTGTCTAAGTTGATACTATTACTATAACATAACATAACATCACGCCTTTTTATCCCCGAAGGAGTGGCAGAGGTGCACATTTCGGCACTTAATGCCACTGTACAATGTAACACCCACTTTTCACTATTGATGTTATGAGTCCTGTGTAATAGGGGGTGAGCCTATTGCCATATATCGGGCACATTTCCAGACTCCGTGCTACTACTGAGATTTTTAAAAACCCAGTTATACTTTGCCCGACCCGGGAATCGAACCCGAGACTCCTTGCCCTGCAGTAGCACTTGCGACCACTCGGCCAACGAGGCAGTCTACTTACGAAGCAGTATTACTAATTCCATCTTTATACCTAGTTGAGAGAGAGAGAGAGAAGTCTGAAAGGAATCTAATCTTCATCATCTTCCCAGTACCTCGCGGGTTTTGGATCGGAGTTCCAATCTGAAGACCCTCGAAAACCTGGCGCCCTCCCTGAAGGCCAAAACAACCCTCAACGCTGCCCCTACGGACTGTACGCTGAGCAGGTTTCTGGCACCGCTTTCACTGCACCGAGACACGAAAACAAACGGTCTTGGTTGTACAGGTAAGATATTCAGCTCAATATCACCTTTATTTTCTATGACTTAAGAGTGCTTGTGCCACTAAATAATGTGATGAGTGGTGATCAATGTAGAGTTTAAATTCGGAAGATATTCCATTCTGGTATGGTGACGATACTCATGTTCAAAGTCAAAGCATTTATTTCAATTAAACCATAGTTTGGTACTTTTGAAACGTCAACAAATACAAAATAAATAATAGTCTGTCAGTCAGTCCGTCAGTGAAACTAGGTGAAGCTAGGTGCTCATTCCAAAAAGTAGATTCGAATGGAGAAGAACGAGCAAGAAACTCCATTCGTTACTCTTTTTAAAAAAGTATGTTATTTCCAGAATTCGTCCGTCAGTGATACACAAGCCTTTCCAGAAGTATAATGGCGCTAAGTACCTCACTCATAATTGGGGTGAACAGGAACCAGATCCAAACCAGGTAAGTAGCCCTTCTAACACTAAATCGGACTGCTCCTGCTTAATAATTCTTTAAGTAAATAAGTGTGGGAGAGCCATGCTTCGGCACGAATGGGCCGGGTCGACCGGAGTGATACCACGGCCTCACAGAAAACCGAGACGTGAAGCAAAGCTTGCGTTGTGTTTCGTCGTGTGAGTGAGGTTACCGGAAGCCCAATCACCCTCCCCTTCCCCAATCTCCCCAATCCCTGAATCCCCAACGATCCTCAAACTCCTAATCCCCAAAAAGCCGGTAACGCACTTGTAACGCCTCTGGTGTTCCAGGTGTCCATGGGCGACGCTGATTGCTTACCATCAGGTGATCCGTCAGCTCGTTTACCGGCTTATGACAAAAAAAAAGTTTCCCGGTAATCCGTTTAGTTGTTAGCATTAATCATTGATATATAAGAGTATACTTACCCACAATATAAACTTCCCTTAAATAGAATACACTGTAGTAAATAAAAAATCTAGTATTAACGCACCAGGTCCAAAGTCAGAGCTAATCATTACTTTACAACAAAAATTAGAATAAACAAACAATAATAAATTTCCTGAATCCTTATCATTATGCAGTCTCGCTGGTTGCCGTTCGACATTCCCCCAGCAGAGCAGTCAGTGGACTTCGTGGCTGGTCTGCACACAGTCTGCGGCGCCGGAGACCCTCGGTCACGCAACGGTATCGCCATACACGTCTACTTGTGCAACACTTCCATGGACAAGAGTGCCTTCTATAGCAGCGATGGTGATATGTTGATTGGTATGTTCATTGGATTTTATTTACTAACAACAAAATATAATGAAATAGGAATTTTACAGCCACTATTTGTCATTACTTACTGCCTCGATGGCCGAGTGGTCGCAAGTGCGACTGTCGGGGGTTCGATTCCCGAGTCGGGCAAACTACTACTGGCATTTTTTATAATCTCAGTTATAGCACGGAGTCTGGAATTGTGCCCGGTATATGGCAATAGGCTCACCCCCTATACATGAGACTCATAACGTAAATAGTGAAATGAAAAGTGGGTGTTACATTGTACAGTGGCATTTAAGTACCGTAATGTGAACCCTGCCTAGCCATTCGGGGATAAAAAGGCGTGGTGTTATATTATGTGTATTTGTCATTATAGTCACATTGTAATAGAGGTGAGAGTAGAATTATAAATAGAAGAAGAAAATCCTAGTAGCCCGGCAACGTTCAAAATAAAACTACTCACTTGCTAGATAAGTATATTTTTTCTAATCAAATCAAATCATACTCCAGTTCCTCAACAAGGCGCACTGAGAATCACGACAGAGTTTGGCATCATGACGGTTGCCCCCAATGAGATTGCGGTGATACAACTCGGGATGCGCTTCGCCGTTGCTGTCGATGGACCTACTCGGTAAATATATAAAACTTAATTCACGTCACTTCAATTCAAATCGTTAAAGTTTGAGTCATACGAAATGTGATAGTTAATTATTATGTTTTTGGCTTACTCACGTAATTATTTGACGAGGACCTCAACTAGTTTCAAGCCATGCTGGAGGCTCATCTTCATGAGCAGCATTCCGCGACCCGCGACGTGGCGGCTATCGCGCTGCTACTACTCTTTTAATAAGTCTCACTAAAGATATACCACAAAGAAATATAGTAGTCATCAGACATCACATCTTTTGAGATGCTGCCAGCCACTGCGCTTCGCCTACCTCCTGCAGTGAATTTAGTCATCACTTTACATAATTGTTTAATGGACTCTTTCTTTTTAGAGGTTATATTCTGGAAGTATTTGACGGACATTTCAAGCTGCCAGACCTCGGGCCCATAGGAGCTAATGGGCTGGCCAATCCACGAGACTTCCTGACTCCTGTAGCACACTACGTTGATGAAGAGATACCTGGTGAGTTCAACCAATGAACGTATTCTTTTAGCTTTTCGCTGTTGTTGAAATGTGTTATGTACCAATTTAGAACGGTATCGATCTTCCACCATTCTGAGAATGTGCGGGAAAGTTAAAATTACAGTCATTACACTGTTATTATTAAGTTTTGTTGACTATTATTAAAACTTTTTTACTATGGAGTCGCAAACAAAATATAAATAACTGACCATGAGGGTGAAGTTTCGATTAGTGAAATAATGACTTTCCAACTTTTTTTTTTTTTTTTTTAATGGGACAAGCCCGCCACAACCTCCCATAACCGCTGCAACTCCTGTAAGCCAGGATCTACAGTAGATACAACCATGAAAACACCGGAACACTGAAGTCCGGCGCGTCCCAGGGACATGAGTAACTGTCTTGGTTCCCGCAACGAAATGAATCAGAAGATATTATAAGAGGAGAAGAAAAAAACTATAGTTTCCACTTCCCTTGGTGAATTTCTGCAGGAGACAGAATGAATTAAGCCTAAAGGCACAAAGAAGAGACTGTACAACTGGGTGAAGCCCAGTCGCCAAGCACCACGGAAATTTGACTAAAAAACTAAGTGGGTCCTATGTGTGAGCTGTTATACTTGCTTCCAATAATAGGTATGGCAAAAACGCCTAAACGCACGGAAATTTGTTCTAGATTCCACAAGGTCCGTATAATAAGCTACACCTGACGAAACAATTAAATTATTCAACATAGTGTTACGTTCATATTGCCAGAGATCACACTCCCAGAGTATGTGATGGGCCGACTGCTCGTATTGCAAATCCACTGTCGAACATTGGCACCATGGTGAATCAATAAGTTTAAATGAGAACAATTTGCTTTTAAAGTTGCCGTGGCCAGTAAGAAATTGGGCAACACAGTGATCCACCTCCAACCATGTCCTCTCCAGCCGCTCATGCACGGATGGGAAGAACTGATATAGGTGGCGGCCCTTAATAGAAGATGCCCATCTACCCTGCCATTCAGTTATAAGCTCATCCCAAACGTCCGTTATTGGCTTAAACAATCTAGCAATTTTATTTCTATCACGTTGTGCTAGAAAGCTTGCTGACAAATTAGGTCTCGCACTGTAGTACATAGCAGCACGTCGCTGCACCTCAAGATCTACCGGAAGTACCCCCGCGAGCACAGGTAGGGCTTCAGTGCTAACCGTCCTATAAGCCTTACACAGGAAAATCAAGGCTAGACGCTGGCCTTGAAGAAGTTTTCGCCGTACCGCGCCTATTGTGGCCCTATCAGCCCAGACAGGAGCCCCGTAGCACACGCATCCCAGGTAGGTTGCTCCGTATATGATCCTGAGCGTAAGAAAAGAGAGACCCCAGGTGGCTTTTGAAATTCGCGTCAGCGCATAGAAGTTATTTTTGGCTTTCTCACTAATAGCCTTAATGTGCTCAATGAAAGAAAAGTTCTTTTTCAAAACTAGACCGAGGTAGCAAACCGACTCCTTTCGTTTTACGGAAACGTTGTTAAATTTAATAGACGGCCACGACTTTAGATTTCCTTTAAGCAATAGCTGGTAAGTTTTATGGGGTGCAAAAGTCAAGCGATTTCGTTCGCCCCATCACGAGATCCTACTGAGACAGTCCTTAGCCAAATTCTCCAGTCCGGCGCGGGTATTTGACTGTACTAGCAAAAGGCCATCATCCGCATATCCAGTCAAAGTACAGCTACAAGGAAGGGGAATCGCGAGCAAATCATCAAATCCTAAATTCCATAAATACGGGCCAATACGAACGACTTTCCAAACGACTTTCCAACTTGTAAATCTAGGGCGGGCGTTGTCGTCAATATACTTTATAGCACGTTCCTTCCCAGCTAGATTTAACACGTTTATCGACATTTCTCCCTCTCATTATGTCAGGCGAGTAATCGTTTTTTTTTATTTATGATTTTATAAAACGTTGCCCCACCCTAGAACTTTCTCCTATGTCGTGGGTGCGTTTACAAACATACAAGTTTACATACACATGACACCCAGACTCGGATCCGGATCCAGATCCAAACACATAGGAACACTCGCTTTTTATAACTTTAAAGATCAAAATAATATTCAAGATCTAAATAACCCATCCGGCAATACCATCCCACAGGATTTAAGATCCTGAACAAGTACCAAGGCTCGCTGTTCGTTGCTGAACAGAACCACTCCCCGTTTGACGTGGTGGCCTGGCACGGGAACTATGTGCCTTACAAGTACGACCTCAGCAAGTTCATGGTCATCAACGCTGTTCTTTACGATCATTGTGTGAGTATGATATTCGGTCATTTAGATACTTATGGGAAAACCAGCATGAAACAATCGTTTTTGAGGGGGGAAATCATTCAATGAGTTCTCCAGCCTTGCATGAGAAGGAGTGTCAGACTTTTAAATCGAGCCAGACCCCAAGTGACCCGCTAACTTCTCCGTGGCAGCGTAAGACAATATTTGCATTGTATTTTGCTGTGTGAAAGAGAGAGAGAGCTAGGCCTAATCCTCCCCAATCTCCATTTAAAAAAGGAACTCTTCTCGATTTTGGTAATGCGAGTGTCCATATGGGCGGTGCGCACCGCTATTGGTAAGCGATCAAAAACGGTCACGCAACACCAGATTCTTTTATCCTCCTTTTGTCTTACAATAAACGGCGTAATAACTAAAACTTGACTTATATTTAAATTTACAGTTTCTTGGCTTAAAACTAAGTAAATGTTTGCAGGATCCCTCGATATTCACAGTGTTAACCTGCCAGTCGACGAAGCCTGGTGTGGCTATAGCAGACTTTGTCATCTTCCCGCCCAGGTGGTCCGTTCAAGAGCACACGTTCCGTCCACCGTACTACCACCGTAAGTAGTATTATGTCCACTGCATGTTTATTGATTGCCCTGAACTTAACAGTTGTTAGTTATTAAATTACCTACGTATTCAGCTAAGACTTGTAAATTGTTCGACAGGGTTACTCGAATAATTTCAAGCTTTAACAAGAAGCTATACCTAACATACCTAAGCCTTCTTCATCATACATAATCTGTAACTCTAAAATAAAATGATAAAGAGTGGAATTCTTTGCCAAGTCTGTATTTCCGGAAGGGTATAACCTGGGAGTCTTCAAGGCCTGAGTTAATAGGTTGCTTATGGGACGACGAGCTCCATCGTAGACCGCATCGGTCAAACGTCGCCCCAATATAAAAAAAATAAACCAGAGATTTTAAGTCAAATAATAATAGTTATTCTTTCTAGTCTTTACTCTTTTGAACATAAAATTGCACTGTCGTGTCGTTAGACATGCACTAGACATAAAATAAGTTGTTGTAAATTGTAATGTGTAATTGGTACTAACAATTTAACTACCGCTAGCATATGGAAGATGATACTAGAGAATCACTAACACCAAATTAAAGACTCTTCTAAAACCATAACACACTACACGAAAAGCATCAAGAATCATATAAAAAAAAATGCAAAAGAAAATGTAAGTGTATTCAAAAATTTCGCTGAGGACAGGATTCGAACCTGCGCGGGTATAACCCATTGGATTTCAAGTCCAACTCCTTAACCACTCGGACACCTCAGCTATGTATACAGCAATCCAATTTCATTAATGGTTTCACATGACGTAGTTAGTTATTCTTACTAATATTATAAATCGGAAAGTGAGTTTGTTTGTTCCGCTTTCACGCCGTAACTACTAAACCGATTGCTTTGAAATTTTGCAGACGTAAAGTTAGAAGTCTGGATTAAATAATAGGGTACTTTTTATCCCGGAAATTTTTATATTCTGAGGGAAAATGAAATTATTGGTATAGATGGCGCTGTGTGTATTGGTATATGTCACATAGGCTACTTTTTATCATTTTGTGACGCGAGCGAAGCCGCGGGTAAATATTGGTATAAATTATAATTATTAAAGAGATTGTCTATATTTTAAAGTTTACACAAGTGCATATCAATCTAATAGAGTTGTCCATTGGTTGGTCTTATAATAGAAATAATTACTTTTCTATTGTTGCTCTACTGTATGGTGATGAGAGTAAAATTGTCACCAACACTGTTCTTATCGCGGTTGTCGCAAGAAGCGATCACTTAAGGGATACCTAGATATTATATATCAATGCTCTCTGATAGTAATGAAGGCAGGCAGGTAGAAAGAAGAAAGAAAGAAAAAACATTTATTCTTGCGCAGAACACAATAACATAATTAAAAATTAAAAATATATATATAACAAGCAAGGGTAAACCAAGGTAGGTATAATAGAAATATTAGAGATATAGGTAATATAAATTAAAAATACCAAGGTTCAAAGCTATAAGCTATTCTAAAGAAAAATGAAGTCTTGTCCATGGTCCACAGACAGAGTTATTTGTTGCTGAAATGATAGAATTAGGTACATATCTAGTGTTTCTTTTAAAACAAAAAAATGTAAATATAATAAAATATAAAGCTACAAATGATCAATTCATTTGTAGCACTCACTTGCAAACTCTACCAGGTTTTGTGCAGTAATGTTAATAGGCCCAGATTACAATACCAAAATATACGACCAAAAAACTTCGCTGAGGACAGGATTCGAACCTGTGCGGGTAGAACCCATTGGATTTCGAGTCCAACTCCTTAACCACTCGGACACCTCAGCGACGAATATGAAGCCTGAAAACTGAATTGAATAGACACGGTTTTTTCAAACTCAGAAATGTTCTCTGATAACTTAAAGTATAGGAATAGGTTCCCTTTTTATGTCTTAAAAGCCAACTAGAGACTGCAGTATAGATCGAAAGGTTTGTAATATAATATGAAAATATCAATTATTTAGGATCTTCTTAAGTAACTTTAACTATCGATTATGGGGACCCGGAACTGCCCTCCAGTAATCACCACCGGTTCATAAGAAAATAACAACATAGGTATCATTTGATCCATGAATATTTTACTTGGGTTTTTAAACTATTTTTCATTTTAAGCATTTTTGTATTGACTCATTGACTCAGGTAGATTGCGTACCTGAGTCAATACAAGAGTCCCATTGATCGAATAGTGAATAGTCTATTTACAAAAGATCTTATACAAATCATCTGCTGTTCATTACAATGCATTGTTCAGTTTACAAAGGAAAAGTGTAACGGTATTATTACAGTCGATAATTTCGCACATCTTATCGTAGCTGAGGTGTCCGAGTGGTTAAGGAGTTGGACTTGAAATCCAATGGGTTTTACCCGCGCAGGTTCGAATCCTGTCCTCAGCGAAATTCATTTTTGATTAAAGTATTTACGATTTTGTACATTTTGTGTATGTGTTTTGTTAGTTTCAAAATGCGAAGAAATGTTGGTTCTATGTGATTTATTAAAATTTTTGTTAGGAATAATTTATAATTTAAATTCACATGAAATATTTCTGATATACTGGTACAAACTGGTAAAAAGTTTAACACATGCACAGCGCGTCCTGTCAAACCTTTCAGGGAATAAAAGTTTTGTATGTTTTACTGTTAAAAATGCAAATACTTATAAGCTTTCATAATTTAGGGAACTGTATGAGTGAATTCATGGGCCTCATACTGGGCTCATACGAAGCGAAGGAAGGTGGTTTCTTGCCTGGGGGAGCATCCCTCCACTCGATGATGACGCCCCATGGTCCAGACGACAAATGCTTCGACGCGGCCTCAAACGGAGAACTCGTGCCACAGAAAATTGCTGTTAATACTCAGGTACCTATTTCATTTCAATTGAACTTTAAAGTTTAAATACAATTAATTTCGACATGTTTGTATTTATAGGCATCATACTCTTATTAAACTCGGGTATACTCAGGTAGAAACCAGAGTTCAATATTTTCCTGTTGACTAAATAAATTTTGGTGTTGTATTTCGGCTTCAAAGAAACTGACTCTTGGACGGAAACTGAACGGAACCACTAGCGCTTTTTCTTTTTCATTTCTTGAACAAGTATATCTTACTAATTGGTTACGTATACGTATGTCGTATAAAAGGGAATTTAGTATCTTTAAAATGAGAGCATTTTGTTGTAAACGGAATATTCTGTTTAAAGTTATATAGGGTTCGATAAAATGAAAAACAATGCTAGTGGCTCTTTTCTTTCTTTTTTTCATGGCATAAGCGTTTACCGAAACGAGCAGACGGATCACCTGATGGTAAGCAATCGGTGTCGCCCATGGACACCTGGAACACCAGAGGCGTTACAAGTGCGTTACCGGCCTTTTGGGGAATTAGGAGTTTGAGGAACGTTGATTCGTCGAGGATTCAGGAATTGGGGAGATTGGGGAAGGGGAGGGTAATTGGGCCTCCGAATTCTTTTCTTTGCTTATATTATAACCACAGATATTTTAATACTAATCATCCGTTTTTACAGGCGTTCATGTTCGAATCTTCCCTAAGTTTAGCTATCACGAAATGGGGCCACGAGACCTGTCAGAAATTAGACGCAAAATACTACGAATGCTGGCAAAACCTACCGAAACTCTTCTCGGAAAAAGTTAATGTTTAAGAATACAGGCAGTAGTTAATGATTTCGATAAAATTAACTAAGTTACGCCTGAATACTGAACTTTACAATTTTAAGTTGTATTTAAATATCGTGCCATCTTTTTCATTTTACAAAGAATTTGTAGTGACAGAAATTGTGTGACGTTCAGTATTTCGACTTTAGGCATTAATAATGTTATAATCTGTGTACTTATTTTAAATTTTGATAGGTATTATTTTAGTTGTTATCGTGCATGTTATCTGAGTTAAACTAATTATATTAGGTATATTGTATAAATAAAATATTTTATACTTTGTTGATCAATTTTATTTTTCGAAGTATGCAGAAGTTACGAAAACAGCATAAATCTGTACAAGCTTATGAACTAGCAAGAAGGTACCTGGCTAGTTTAAAAGTCTTCATAAGTAATTAAGTAAAAAAGGATTGTATTTTATGTTTTCTTTACAGAAGATATCAACAAAATGTTCTCTATTCAATACAGTTTACACTGTGCTTATTTCTGCAAACTATTCTAATATGTGGCTTGTTACACATTTTAGCACTTTATTGAAAGGTCAGTCGCTTTCACCTTTGTCGTTCCAGACACACACACACACATTGACGCTAAAGTTCAATTAAACAGGTCAATTCTATCAAATGTCACTGCCTAACAGCTTACAAACACTTTCATTAAACTTTTTGTTCTATTAGACTCGATAAAGTCGATGGTGTTTGCAAAAAGTTGTAACGCAAATTACCTATCACGTGTTTGTAGTTCTACAATTATACAGTTTGTAGTTACTACTAACATGAATGTAGATATTGTATTTGTTAGCTTTTTCTTATAAAAAACAATTATAAAATATCATTTTTGTAAAGTTCTCTCACTTGCAGTAAAGTAGTTAACATAATTGGCATCTACAATAACTTATTCAGACATTAATACGATAATAATTATGTATTTCATAACTTACATGAACAAGCCACGAGAGAAATGCTCGTTACATACAAATTCTCAAAACATTTAGTAGAAAATTTTAATTAATTTTAAGGCTTTTTTAATTATATCGCACTAAATAAATTAACACAACATTTAATAGTAGTGTTATTTGAGGCATCAATCGTAACTCACCGTTACTATGTAAGGAACTTCTGGCATACTCTTGTAAGAGTCCACAATCTACGGGCTTCCTGAAAGATGAGTCTCTAAAGATCCTGATCATATAACAAGTCATGCCTGGTGTAACTGTTATAGAGGGACCTTTCACCTTCAAGGCATCCTCAACCGTATTGCTGGTCACTGTCACTGTAGTCACTGAAGAATTCCCCGTGCCGTTCACCGTCTGCGTCACTTGTACTTGGGTTGTATTCTTCACAACATGTTGCTGTTGTTGGTCGTTCCGCTGCGGGACCGACACGTCCTCCAGAATAAAGCTCGACATCAAATTACAGTTGATCCGAGTCTCCTCGTACTCACCAGTTCGTTTACTGATACCCAGCTTGCATATCTCTCCAGGGCTCCCACTGTACTGCCTGTCAGCATCATAATGATGATGCATCTGACTGCTGCGTCCCAGATTATACAGCGCCAGTCCAGTCAGCAAGTTGTCGAATCTGCTGCCCGAGTCCCGATACTCGTACACATAGATAGGCGGGTGGCCTTGGTACACGGGATGGTAGGTAGATCCGTAGCTTATCTGCTGCGGCGGGTTGTAGTGGTAGTGGTGGTGGACTTCTGTGCGTGCACTGTAAGAATTATGGTTCACATTGTGCTGCTGAGTGTACGTCTGTCTCACATTGCCGCTATTTGAGTTGCCTGATAATCCTGTCGAGTGAGGATACGTATGAGAACCTCCACTGCCATATCCTGAATAACCAGTACTGTGAGGATAGCTATGCGAGCCTCCATGCCTAGAGTGGCTGGAACCATGGGTGCGTCCAGAAACTGTGGATGTTACGAGAAATAGCACTAGCACAGCAAGTTTCATGATGTCAGTGCGAGAGATGGAGCTCGACTAAATTAGCGACGCGTTGTGGTCACTCCCTGTCACAAAACAATCACATTAATGTGACGCACGGGGCGCGGTGTTTACATCGCTCGCGCTGACACGCAGGGTCACGGCCCACCTTTATCCAGACAGCATTCATTCGCGAAATGCCACAGGGAAAATCGTGACACGGACAAATTAGATAAGTTATTTACTTATTAGGTATTTTATCAATAAAACTGTTTGTTGTAGGTGTATGAAAACAACAACTATTATTACGATACTTTTAATCATAATAGGTAATTAATTAGCAGAGCTTAAAAATTATTCCATTACTGCATTAACATTATAAAATACCATCGGTCAGTCGCGTCACCAGAGTAAGAGCATCTTTCACTTTGTGCTAGTATGGTGTGAAACTCGGTACACTAAACATAGAACATGCATTACAACAAGATACTACACTTCGATAGCTCAGCGTATCATCATTCTCAGTAGTGAAATGTTTACGTATTACATACATACTATGACAGCTAAGCTATCAAATGCTACTGGCTACAGGTGTATTTTTTCTTGTAGTTTATATAAATCATAGACTACACAATACGGAATACTGGGTGTGAAAGAGGCTCTTAATATAATAATAATGACAATTACAACAGAAACACATCCTTTGACTTATTGGATAAGAAACAATAAATTAAAATGGAATTAACCAGTGTTGGCTAGCGAGGTGTCTCTATGATGTGGGTTCTGTTTCTCGCACGTCCGTGGTCCATACGCACATTTACTTTAAAACAAAATAAAATAGAAAATTCCACTTATACAAAAATATTTTTTTAATTCATTATACTGACGTTTTTTGGGAGATTCTTGTGCATACAGACCACAAATAATTGGACCCTTCCCATTTTGAATAGTCCAAGGGTAGAAACATTTACAAAATGTAATTTTAAAGCTTATTTATTAATAGCTGAAAATGTGTTTATTTTTATTATAATCCCCTGTTCTTATTATCATTAGGGACGAGATCGAAATGAGATCTGATCTATTTTATATAATCATCGGAACCTGTTTGTTAAATGAAAGTTTCTTGAATAGCAACAGTCTCCAATTTATTTATTCCGGCTATACTGCCAGTGTCGAGTGGTGACGACAGATACTTGAACCATCGAACTTTTAACTTTATAATAGTTCTTGTTTCTAGTCTCTATTAAGCCTGCGCCAAATATTTGCGCACATGTTTGTTCAGATTTTGTGGCACGGCCAAAATACCATCAACTGTCCTTTATTGTTACACCAACTTTTAAACGTCTGTGGCGACAGTTAGGGATAGTAAAGAACGCTAACCTCCATTCAAATGTGATTTCGAACATAATTATGTTGGTCTGTGTGAGATATTCCCATAAATCAAGAGGCATATTTTTGCAGTGGGAAATGAATTATCATACAAACTGTTCCTACCAGTGGACTATATCAAAACATATGAGCAACCAAACTGCATAATAAAGTACAAAATATGGACTCAAAAATAATTTTCAGATTATGCAAAAATATTCAAATTTCTTTCCTCAATCAATAACAAATTCACTGCAAATTATGATTGCAGTTTTGTATGTTTTTTTTTTCTTAACATCTAATATCGTACAAGTTATGTACTTGTTGACCATATCAATAATTTTTACATCTATAGTTTACGGACATAAGACTCAAATTACTGTTTCCAGAGCTCTTTCATTGTTGATCATGTTTAGAGTGTAGGCGCGGGTTGATGTGTATTCGGGACATGTTGGCTTAGTTAACTACGACGACAAACAAATGAGTTGCAATTGTTGCCACTTCTCAGAGAAACACTACACATTTATTATCACTAATTTAATTATGATATTTCAATACTTTCGATTTTATTTCTTTCAATAACAATAATGCCACGAAATAACACCCAAGCACTACCTAAACACATCTAATTCTGATCAGTTGCCTTCATCACAAAATTACACATAGTAATTTGACAATTTATTTAAAAAATCATAGCGGTATGGTAGAAGTCGAGAACATAAAAATAAAAACCAATTTGCCTAATTTACATACTTATTTTTGGCCTAACAGAGCGTAATTGGAAACAACACACTGTATTAACTTTAAGAACGAATTTATTATCGTGAAAGAGCTCTACATATAATTTCCATATTTTAAACTGAAACTTGTTATAGAGCCCGGGTGACAGTACAGTACGCGTTAAGTGGAGTTAGAAACAGTAGATTTCTTAGAAGAAATGTGATACTACTAAGCACTAACAATTTAAGAGTGAAAGAGACAGTAACATTCATATTTTCTTTATTCTAAGAAACTGTAACTATTTTGATTTAACGCCATCCTTGTGCGTACGGAATAGAAGAAATAGAATAGAATTAAAATCTGTTGAGGAGACAAGGTTTCTCTAAGGGCCGATATTTCCAACGCCACATAACTTTATTGAAGTAATAATTTTTAATTTTTGATAGATTTTCCATACACAAACTGCCAGACGTCAATATTACTCGATGAATAAAAATTTGTTAGTTGAAAAATCGGCCCTAATTGTCTTATCTTGCTGGAATATAACCTAATATATTAACGCGTACTGCATGTGGTTGTGTTGTCACATTACGTACATAGAGTCATACAGTGGAGGCTCGTATGCTGGAGTCCGGCTACGCAGGCGCGGAGCTAGCCGTGGTTCACGTTCACACCAGATTCCAGCTCCGACGCGGGCGTCTCGGGCTCCTCGTCATTGTAGATGTTCTCAGCCATCTGCCATACCTGGGCAAGCATATTAGAATTAAGTTAATATGCACTATTGACTTACTTGACATGATTTAAGGTCCTATATCACGTAGCATGTACTATAATGTCTGGGACAATAAAAAAAGGAGTGCCAATACTAAAAGGTCTGCAGTCATCTCTTTCTTTATAACTTTATTATCAAGTTAACTCGTTGAGTACCGTCATTATAGACACAATTAAAGAACAATAGGTTGCGGTCACCGGTGACTGCTCGGTGTTTGACAGTTTAAAGCTAGTATTCAGATTCCAAAACACAGTGTTTATTTTACCATAGGGACAAAATTCTATCCTGGTGTAATGGTTGTCTGCTTACCTGCATAATATTGTCTTCGGACACAGAGCAGATAACCCACGGTTCGTTAGGGTTCCACGAGAAGTCTGATATCTTAGCTGTATGTCCACCGTGGATGAACAATAACTCAGGAGGACCATCCTCGGCGTCTTCGGCCGTCTGCTCCTCACCTATCTTCGACAGATCCCACACGTGAAGCCTGCAACAATATTCGTTACTTATCAAATTTCAGTTTGGTACACATCAAATACTTGTCACAAAAGTGGCTAAAAATGGAAACAAGAGAGATAAAGTGAAGATCATGCACAGTGGAGTGTTTAAGTTGTCGACTGCTGGTAGATAAGTATTGGAGGCAAATCTTCAGCTAACAATGCATATAAGCCATGTGTTAGTGGTGATTAATAATGATGAACTGCCTCATTGGCCGAGTGGTCACAAGTTCGACTGCCGGGCAAGGGGTCTCGGGTTGGATTCCCGGGTCGGGCAAGGTATTACTGGGTTTTTAAAAATTCTCAGTAGTAGCACGGAGTCTGTTATTGTGCCCGGTATATGGCAATAGGCTCATTCCTATTACATGGGACTCATAAGAAATAGTGAAAAGTGGGTGTTACATTGTACAGTGGCATAATGTGCACCTCTGCCTACTCCTTCGGGGATAAATGGGGGTGATGTTATGTTTATGTTATGTTCTTGGCGAGTTATCCAGTTAAACTGTCAAACACCAAGCGGTCACCGGTGACCGCGACCTATTGTTCTTTAATTGTGTCTATAAAACCGGTACTCGACGAGTTAATGTCGATATTTGCTAATAAACGGCGATAAAATTTATCATGAAGATTCCATTCCATGAAATGCTTCCAGTTTATGTCAGAGTATTTAGGAATTGAATGGTGTTAATAACTGTAAGTTCTAATTATTCATTGTGTTTAGTGTATTACCTTCTGTCGGTACCACTGCTGGCAAGGATGGTCTCGTTATGCGGCGACCACTGGACTTGGAAGATCTCGTCCTTGTGTGACTCGAATGAGTGCAGCTTCAGCTTCAGGTTCCGGAGGTCCCACAGCGCTACCTGCATCATGCAACACTTAGTTCTGTATACTTATGTATTGAGTGTTTAGTTAGTTTTTTTTTAAGATATGATGAAGATGTTTATAAATTAGATTCTAAAGCCAACCTTCTTCTAAGCATTACTTAATTTAAGATACAAAACAGCACTAAAAGGATTTGTAACAAGTCAAAAGAACTATACCGCCAATTAGCAAGGAGATTTGCATGGAATATCGTATTTTCATTACGCTTTTATCAATTACACAGTTTGTGGTGAACAAATCACTACATAGTATAAAACAAAGCCCCGATTCAACGTCTGTCTGTCCCTATGTATGCTTTAGATCTTTAAAACTACGCAATAAATTTTGATGCGGTTTTTTAATAGATAGAGTAATTCTCAAGGAAGTTTTATATGTATAATACATGACATGTGTATTGCACCCGTGCGAAGCCAGGGCGGGTCGCTAGTTAAACATAATAAAACAAAGCCTCACTGATTCGTTCTGGCTTGTGATAAATGTAAGTGATAATTACCGTTTTATCAGCACTGCCTGTAGCTAGAATGAATTCAGAGTAGGGATTGAAGCTGAGACAGTTGACTTCAGCAGTATGCGCGTCTACTGTGTGAGAGGGCTTTGATGTGTTGTTACATCTGCAAATAAGTACACAATATTTATTTAGATCATAGAAGTATCAAACAACTAATTGATTTGTCAACTAACTTGAGCTTAGCTTTCTAAGTACTTATGCAGTACAGAAACCGGACTTCTAAAATAATTAACTTCTGAAAAATCAAGGTGTGTACCTAAATTCACCTGAATATCAGAACATACTTACAAATTTTTTCATTTGTTAAGAATAATGTTAATGTTCTGTATTAAATAAATAAAACCAATAAAAAACGTGTACTGTATGTAGTAAATGATAATGATAAATAATATTATTTCTTTCTGCATGCGTTACAAAGTTGTTACTTTGTTCTGTGTTAAAAGTGTTCTTTTACATGTCAATTACGGTAGTCATATGATAGGAAGTCCTTACCTAGTATCCCAAATCATAAGTTTCTGATCATCAGCCACAGATCCGAATAGTGATTCGTGCAGGAGATGCCAGGCGACATCCTCAACCACGGCCGTGTGTCCAGTGAACACCGACTTAGCTTCAATGACGCGACCTTCCTTCGGCGTCGCGTTTATGTCCCAAAGACATATTGTATGGTCATCACTGTTCAATAAAATATCTTATTAGATATGTTATAATCTTTGCTTAACAAATGTGTTGAGATTGTAGTGTACAAATAATGTCTATTGGGTAGACTTTAAGTGTGGGAGATCCATGCTTTGGCACCAATGGGCTGGCTCGATCGGAGTGATACCACGGTCTCACAGAAAACCGACGTGAAGCAACACTTGCGCTGTGTTTCGTCGAGTGTGTAAGGTTACCAGAGGCCCAATTACCACTCAAAGAATCAATTCATTTATACTTCATTGAAATTAGACAGAAACATTTTATAAAGTTTATTCAATAAAACAATTTCTATGGACATGGATATGGTAGCCTGAGCATAAAAATAAAATAACATCACGCCTTATATCCCCAACGGAGATGGGCAGAGGTGCACATTATGGTATTTAATGCCACTGTGCAATGTTACACCCACTTTTCACTATTATGTTATGATTCCCATGTAATAGGCGGTAAGCCTATTGCTATAGCCAGTGCACAATTCCAAACTCTGTGCTACCACAGAGATTTCTTAAAAAACTCAGTAATACTTTGCCCGATCCGGGAATCGAACCCAGACCCCTTGCCTGGCAGTCGTACTTGCGACCACTCGGTCAACGAGGCACACAATTGAGTAAGTAAAAGGTAGTTCAGTGAAAGTTTTTACACCTACTTAGTTATCATCATAACTCTTATTACTAACCTCGCTGACAGCAGATAACCATTAAGGTTTGGATTCCAGGATAAACCATAGCCCTCTTTTTGGTGACCACGCAATCTGAAAGATGAAGTAATGTTTATAAATGGTAGGTAGTCCCCATAGATGTAAAGGTAGATAGTTGTATTAAGTAGTAGTATCTAATCACATGATAATTAATTCTCTCTTCTTCTCACATGCCAACAATGACATAAAATTAATTAATAAATTATGCTAAGTTTACATTTAATACATTTTATAGATGAGTATTTTAAGTTGGGTTTTATCAAATGACAAATATAAGTATTTTCAATTTTTCTTAGAAAATTATTGGCCCAAATGAGGTTAACATAAAACAGTATATACCTGAGATCAGGATGGCATTCCCCAGAAGGTTCAGGCTTTGATGGATGCTTTGTGTAGTCAAAGACCAACACATCAGAGGAAGGAGTCTTGGTGGCAATCACACAGGGGTTCTGAGGCATGTAGCGAGCCCTGTTCACTTCACCCTCATGGTTGATTTTGATCTCAATGTCAATTTTACCTGACACTGATCCGAAGCCACCAAATTCTGGAACAAATAACAATAGCTTAGGTTCCCCATATGTATAAGCCTAGCATGAAGTCTGTAAAATACTTTTGTTGCCTTATTTTCATGTTTCTAATAGGAACTTTCTTTTACTGTTTTTAAGATTGGTATGTGATATTGTTGAGTGGAATAGACACAAATTGGAAAATTAAATGTCATCATGAACCTCTCTCCTTATTTTATGACTTTGTCAGTGATGTTCAAGTATAAATGAAAACAGGATGCTTATAATATGGTCTTACTTCTTCATTATGGACTTATGAGTACTAAGGATACAATCACAAACAGATAGCACTTACACACTATAAAAAAATCTTATCAGACTACCTAAAGTAATGTTTTAACTAAATACAGTGATTGAAAAGCTCTGTACTTACCACCTTTATCATTGTCATAGTGGCTCGCATCAAACTGTGCATCTTCATTGGGAAGCTGTACACTTGCAATCAGCAAGTGATTCTGTTCATCTGATGTGTGAGTACCCAAGATTAATCTGCACATGGAAAGTTATATTAGTAACAAGCTTTTGCCTGCGTCTTTGCCCGCATATTCCTGTTTTATCCAATAGTAGCATTTATTCAGGTATCCTATCACTTAAGTCAGCCCATACCCTGCCTGTATACAAAATTTCATTAAAATCCGTTCAGTAGTTCCAGTGAGATTGATGGACAGACATACAAAGAAACTTTCACATTTATAATATTAGTGAGTGTTACCATCATCATCATCATCATCATCTTTATCAACTACAGATGTGAGAACTGATTGATGGATTTCAAGTGTCATTTAAATTAATGAGGGATCTTGCCACCACCACTGTGCTCGGCAGGGCTTGAAGTTAGTTATAAATTACTATTGAAATAAATTTTAACAATTTATTACTTCTTATTTCTTGTGTATATGTCGAGAGATGATAACATTCTTTGTGATTATCTATATTGGTTGTTCTCTCATACGGATCAGTGAGTATAAGATGTATAGGACTTAGGACAACTTATTGGTAGTTTAGTATTGGGCTAATAATAATATTTACTCTACACAATACACATCTACTCCATATAGAGACAGAACTGAAATACTAACCATAGGAACAAGACAAAAGAAGTTGAACTATTTAGAAGTTTTTGTAAAATATTTAATTTCACCAGTAATTAGAACCGGAATTTGCAAAATGTAAGGTAATCTAGGGTATTTTGACATGGTTTTCCTCAAGATGAGGTGTCAATGAGTACCTTCACCTGTCATCATTACATTTTATGAACAAGATAAGAATGAAGTTTCCGTACCTATGTACCGAATAATCCTTTCCTTCAGGCCGGGTCACGTCAGGTAGCCACTGGGCAGTTAGCGAGGGCCACTCCAGAGCGTGTGTCATAACCAGATCGTACAAAAATGGAGTATTCTTTTTCCATATTTTATACTCTTCATTGATGACCCTCTCTTCAACCGCATCATCAAAGGTTTCTACAACGAAATTTACAGATTCTTTACGAAGTCTTTTTTGATAACCAAAAAATCAGTGGTTGTCAAGCGTCAGCAAAGAACATCAGCACCATCGGTTACAACTACAGTTTCAAAAGCAATTACCTCCGTCACCTTTGTCGCCCATTATATTTAACAATAACTTTAGTTTGTTTGAGAGAAATTCACAAATTTATCAGTAAAACCAGACCGGCCCGTAAAGGCGCCAAACAAAAGTCCTTGGCGTTACTGGTAACAGACAACACACAAACTTCCGGTTGCCAAATAATAATGTTTACAAAAATGGCGATAGAATTAACGTTTTTTAATACTTTTTCATCTTAATTCATAGGTGTAAAACAGAAATTAATCTTGAAGTATTATACATTTTTGAAAAAATAAGATGGTCTTTAAATTTGGGAATGTTTTCCTTCAAAAATCATATTTATTTCCGGTTTTTATTTTTCTTTGCATAGTATTCTCGTAATTGTTATCAATTAATTCCTTACATTAGAACTTTAATATGTTTTTCAAAATTTAAGTTTCGTAATAGGTGTATACTTTAAATTTTAATGTGATCTGCCATTAGTTCACAACATCTCAATAAAATTGACTGAAATCTTGCTGTAAAATAAATAATTTATTGCGATAAAAACAAAGCTGGCAACTACTCAGTGGCTGGCAATGTCAAATTAAATGTCACTTGATTAATGTCAACATGGCTGATGCTGCAGCAGCTCGTCGCGAAGCTCGCAGAAGAAGAATATTAGAAAATTCTCATAATAGGCTCCAACTAATATCTGGAAAATGTGGCGACGAGCAACCTAGAGGTATACACAACATTGTGCGTCGAGAGAGCATTTTATAAAATTCAGCTGGACTTTGCTTATCATCACATTGTTTCCTTTTCAGAATCTCCGGTCAGAAACACAATTCCTGATCCAATTCACGAGATTTCGCATTCCTCAAACATAAGCAGTAGCAAGACGTCACTGAATAATGGTGTGATTGTCTCCGAACCTGATTCATTTGAGTTGTTAACATCACTCAATCATGACATCGCGGCAGGCGATGGAGAGGTACCCAGTGATTTGGCACCTTTTGTATCACCGGCACCAGAGCCAACGCCAACACCATCACCCTGGGAGAAACTCACTAATTACAAATACGATATAGTTTTGTTGTCACTTTTAATTCAATTACTGTACAGTTTGTCATTGGTCACATTCGATGGTACTTACTTTTTCTTACCAGTACTAATTTATGTCATTACAAAATTAATCTGGTTTCCGTCACAAAGTAATTCTAAACTTGCTAATGCCTTGCAACTTTTACATGTCGTGTCTTCACCTCGAGTAAAGAAAGTTATATATTTGACCCAATGTATGGGTGTAATATCATGTGACATTTGTGTGTATCTGTTTACTACAATTTGCATACAATCATTGTTCATCACCTTGAGGGATGGATTAATTACATAGTAATTACTTCATTTGCACCCATGTTGAGGGCATTACATTGACTGAGCAGTAATTTAACAATAGCAGGCTAGATTAAACTGGGGTAAGGTTCAAAATTCAATGTGGGTGTTATTATAAATTTCTAATCTTTGTGTACTGAACCACTAATGTTGAATTTTGAAGACACTCCATAATGTTCCATAGTTTTGATTGCTTGTGCCTTTTTACATAAGTGAGAAGTTGTGACATGTGTGCGTTTTAGTCACATATTGCCATTTTTAGTTTTAAATTAGAATCAATTTTGTATATAGTGGTGTCAACAGAAATTCTAGTTATTTTCATGTAATCTAATTATTGCTGGACACAATTAATTGTTATGTAATATCACTGTTAATATTTATTTTTTGCATTTAAATTGTATTTATTTCAGAATTGAGAGAGTTACAAATATACTTGTGGATATGAAATAATACAAATTATATTCAATAGTATGCCAAATTAGTAAACTATTTTCATGCTTTATACTTGTAATGATATGGTATTTTGATAAAGGAATTTAGTCCTTATGAATTATTAAGGCCTGTGTAACCAATTTTATGGCCTGGACATATTTTATAATATTCAAATTTGATACTGTATCTAATGTTGTTAAATTAAAACTATACTAACCACATACAAATATGGCAGTCTGTGACTTGTAGATTATTTTTGTAGATCATTTTGTTTTTAATTGGGTTTTTGTTAAATAATTTTAACCTTTTCTGTCTAAACACTGCCTTAATCTTTGTAAACTTGTATTGTTATGTAACAATTTACTAACAAAATACAAGCATGCTGCTCCAAACTTACCTAATATTATATAACTGATGTATTGAACCTCAACAACAGATAGGTACTCCCTAAGACCTGAATGTCCCAAATTGTCCCATTACATTTAACTAATAATAAATACTCTTTGGTAAAGGAATAGGTATACTCTACAATTCAGAATTAAGCTGGTATGGTACCAAAGATATAAATGCTGTTATGTTGCCCACCATATTGTTGTTATTTAACCCCTGGTATGCCGGAACGTAGATATATGCCGGCAGATAAGAGGTTAAAACACAGTTTAATGTAGAGGGAGTTTTTGACAGGCTGTAAATAAAATGCTGTACATAGTAGACTGATGTTAACAATATTTTTGTGAATAGTCACTTTATGGTCAATTCGTTTTCTTGATGCCTTCCTTCATAGTTACCTTTGTGAGTACCGCATGACATTGTTATTCAAATAATTTCACTTTTGTCTTAATAAAATACAAAAATGTGATACTTGCATGCAAATAATGCTTGAATATATAATTCTGTTCTGTTGAATAATTTAGTGTATCAGCTTAATTCATATTGTAAATAAAGGTCATACAACTATAAATGAAATGATAAAAGTTTATTTTAATTATATTTTGTAACATCTTTGAAATAAAAAACGGTTATGAATGGTATTATGTGTTTCTGTTTCCTTGTTTTTCTGTAAAGTGCTGAGTGTGTACTGGAATAAAAGGCAATTTGATTATGTTTGAAAATAAAAAATTGTCTTATAGAACACTACCAATTTACCAAGTACTTATGAATAGCTACACTTACATTATGTATTTACAGATGTTCTTATGAATAGCTATCACTTATCAATCACTGAATTAGCAATAGTGAAAATATGTATTATGTAAAATAGGGTAATGAAATAAAAAGAAAATAATTATAATATAGAAAGTGTATTCTAATATAAATCTACAACTGAAAACAAAAAAGAAACATACAACAAATGCATGAACTGTGATCAAGATCTACAAAACTAATCTTAACGATTAAAGAAGTTTTTAATACTATTGAAGATATTCTTACTTCCTTTAGGTTGGACATTTTTTAATGGCAGCTTCGTAGGAGTGTCTACATCACCCGTGCTCCGACGACTTGACTCTGAAGTAACAGAAACGCTATCAGGAACCATGTTTTCTTTAATTGTATTCGACATATCTGGACTAGTGGAAGTACTCTTATCAATACTTTGTAAAATATAATCCTTATCACTACTTTGAGGAGAGTCAGTTGTTTCGTCAGAGCACCCAAATTCCTATTGTTTTTTTGCCTCAGCCTTTGGCTTCTTCTCTCGTAAAGGCTTGCTACGGACCAAGTCGGCGCGACCCATTGAAATCATTTTAATTTCCCATGCTTCTAAATCTTTCCTGGAATAAAAAGATTATAATATAAGATATTTTCACCCATCCTCATTCTAAGGCAGTAAGTACATTATTTATTTTTTATGATGGCGGGAATCCTTATAAATGCGCCTAGGTTTATTGGGATAAAAGACTAGGGATTGGATAGTAGCTGAACACAGCCTATCTAGGAAGATAGCCTTTCAAATTAGGTATTTCTGTTATGAAAAATATTTTTTTTTATATATATTAATCTGTCAAACACCAAGCGGTCACCGGTGACCGCAACCTATTGTTCTTTAATTGTGTCTATAAAACCGGTACTCGACGAGTTAAATGGGACTGAAGTTTGACCACTATCTCGCCTAGTGGTAAGAGATGATGTGGCCTACGATGGAGCATGTCGACCCATAAGCAACCTATTCACTCCGGCCTTGAAGACACCCAGGTTATACCCTTCAGGAAATATCATTATATTAAGAAATTGAAAGGTACTGCTGATTTACTGAGAGATTTGTTTTGCCACTTACTGGTGGCACTTCTAGTAGGTACTAGTGCATAATTAATACATCAAGTGTCTTAAGCACCAATTATAATGTGGTACATTTGCAGGGGGTCAAACAAGCAATGGATTTAAGAAAGTAGTAATCTTACTTGTACTTAGCCATCAGTTCAGTAGCCTGTTTGTCAAATTTAGCTTTATCAGCATCACTCAATTTCAACCAATCCTTCTTGGCTTCCTCTTGGTATTGTTTTAAATCTTTGCCTTTGAAACCGTCTTTTCTAGATTGAATGTATAAGAAATAGGATGACATTGGTTTCTTTGGACGTCCAAGCTCTTTATATTCCTGGAATTTATATTACATACTTATTAGATTCTAATAAGAAAAAGTTCTTAGTGATTTTCATTACTGTTCATTGATGTTATGGAAAATTCTCAGTAATTAATATTTTAATAAACCAAGGAAGCATTACCAAAATTTCATACAAAAACATGTGAATACCATTTCTGTCTGTCTGTCCAAATGTCATTTATTACTTACAGCTTTTAGTTTTCTTTTTTCCCTAGCCACAGCCATTTCTTCCTTCAGCCTTTTTATGTCTTCTTTTTGTTTATCTGTGAGCGAAGAATCATACATTGCTTTGATTTTCTTATAGTCCTCTAGGTCTTTTTCATATTCCTTAGCCATTTGATTTTTTGTCTGAAAAAATAGATAGGTGTCAAACATTTTGCTTTTAAGGTTTTTAATTTTTAATCAGGCTTTCGTCTACCTCTAGGTCCAATTGCTGCCAGTGTTTAGATGTCCACGAAATAGCTTCTTTAGAAGAAATCCCTGGGTTTTTAGCTAGCAATGCCGGTCTCATCTGTGTCATGAACTTGAAGAATGGGGTCAGAGGCCGTTTGGGCTTTTCTAACCCCAACTTTTCCTCTGCCGATTTCCTCGTATAGTTGCATGCTTGGACCGGGGTCAACCAATTTGTTCTGTAATTCAAAAAGTCAAAATGCTGTGTGAACCGAATTTTTTTTCAAGCCAATTATTACAAGTAGCCTACAGACAGCCTAGAAGGTCACTCGCTGAAACCTAGGGGCATAAAAAGATAGTCATATATTTCTGAAACAAACAATAAAGCTGGCGTCATAACCTCAATCTTACCTTCCAGTTAGAATACATTTATAATTTCCTACAAAGAAATTACTCAATCGACAAATCTGAGTGAAAGAGGACATTGTAAAATATAAATGTTTATTCAATGTAACATTCAAATATCAAACAATAGGACCGTTGTACAAAAATAAAGCCAGCGGTTTTGGCTCGAAGCAAGCAAAACAAAGTGCAGATTATTTATTTAGAAGTTTATACAATTCTAAGCATAATTGAAAGAAAGATAAAGCTGTTTCCGCGAGTGAAATGAAAAAAAAATGCTACATATCTATCACAACTCAAGCGTCGGAACGCGCTCATCAAAATGTCAAAATAGGGATGCCAGATAAAAAAATATTTATAGTAAGTGATCGTAAAAAGGTTGGCCTCTAGTTTTTCAAACACTTACGAAAAAGGTTAAACCATGGTGAAATATATGTAGCGGACTGGGGCCCGAATTCTGTAAGGCTACTTAGTATTAAGTTGCGTTTAAGTATAGTTCTGTCACTACAAATTCTATTTATTGTAACAGAGATGGAACAATATTTTGTTACAACTTAAAATTGAGTAGCCTTTCAGGATTCGAGCGTGGGACTACTAAAATGGCATATTTCTAGTACACATCTGCATTTTATAATCCTTCCTAGAAGGTATTTAAAAAAATATATATAATTTTTAATCAAACAATTTTATTAACAAAAAGACTATCGATAATTGGATATATAGTAGGGTGTATGTACTGTTTTGTCCTAATCTTATGATGATCAGTGATTTTAACTGAGTGGAACAGAGATTCTTCAGTATCGTCGTAGATAACAACGCTTACGCTTATGCTGTAATACTCCTGGCATCACATATTCACCAAAGCCATCGCCAGTTCTTAGGATTCTATAGGATGCTAGCTTTTAGCGAAGTTTATAGACTAGATATCTGTATCCGACTAGTAAAGAACGTCAGGTTATGTAGGACTAGCTTTCACCCGCGGCTTCGCTAGCGTCACAAAAGGATAAAAGACAATGTGACATATACCAATACACACAGCGCCATCTATACCAATACTTTGGTTTTCCCTCGGGAATATCAAATTTTCAGGGATAAAAAGTACCCTATTATTTAATCCGGACTTCTAACTTTACGTCCGCAAAATTTCAAAGCAATCGGTTTAGTAGTTACGGCGTTAAAGTGGAACAAACAAACAAACAAACTCACTTTCCGATTTATAATATAAGTAAGGATTAATGACCGAGTAGCATAAAGTAGGCGTATAATAACATAGGCCTCTGCTCGACTAATGCCTTTAAGTTATGAGAAGGCTGTCAAGTTAGTTACCTCATTTTTTTACAAACTTTATTTTAGGTGAAACAACGCTTGCGTTTCGTTTCGTCATACCGGAGGCCCAATTATTCCCCCTCTCTTCTTCAATCTCCCCAATCTTTTAATGCTCAACAATCCTCAAAAGGCCAATAACACACTTGTAACGCCTCTGGTGGTCATATGCGACGTCGATTGCTTATCATCAGGTGATCCGTTTGCTCGGTTCCCAGCTTATCCCATAAAAAACAACAGTAGTAATAAACATAGGTGAAGTAAAACAAGTTATTATTATTTTCAATTAAGTATATTTATTTGTAAATCTACTTACCTATTAGGCGATATAATCTATTATTATCTTACACTTGTTACTTAAATAGAACTTAAGTAATATTCACAAACAAATATGTTCAGTCATTATTTACATTACATTTAGTTGTAAACTTATAGTATTTTGGCAATTAGGAGGTGGGCATTCGCGCTGAAATATTAGTGTTCAGTGTTATTAAAAAATAACTGCTGTTAATAATTGATAGCTATAATTAAATATTAACTTGAATAAAACAATAACGGGATCAATTGCTTTTTAACACAATTTTAAAAGTAAAAATATTTGAGGAAGAGATCTTTTACGCTTGAATTTTTTATAGGTTCATTTAGGTACGTGTAATACTTTTGTACAACAAAAATATTATGTACGATGTACATTAATAATAGGTACTTATCACTCCTATATGTATTTACAACTCAATCTAAGTCAAATTATTTATTTACATTTTCTATCTTAAATTATTTACATTATGCAATCACTCGGACGAATTATTATTTCGCATCACAATCATTTAATTTCGTCTTTGTCTATATAAATAAACACAAAATTACTTACATTTTCTAATATTTCTTTTACGGGATTTTAATCAGTGATTTATAAAAACGTTCTTTTACGATCGTATCCAGAAGGATTTCAGAGGTTTTGCTAAAGTTACATGATCACCATTTTATCAAATGCGAGGCTATTTCAATAGCTAAGGTACCACATTTCTTTCATTTAATAGGTATACATCATTCATAAAATCATAAATAAACATTTAAACGTAGGTAATTACAGTTATAAATATTATGTTTAGTAATAAGGCCGCAAACTGACCTCAGTTCAAAACTAATGGCACTTGATTATTAGTTCACCCCACACTCATCTTAGGAATTTTAAATGCAACAACGAAGGTTCATTTGATGACGATTGTCTTTGAACCATTTTTGAACTTACTCCAGTAATTAACACAAGTTAAACAAGCACTATCCTCGTCAAAGTATTGTCTCACCGGCTGAGTAGTGGTAGTGCCTCGGTTTTCTGTACGAATGTGTTTGTGGTGGTCTGTACGTTGCATATTTGTGCGGATGCCTTGTTAGAGTGTGCGAGTGTGTCGCGTAACAGTGCAGCGTCAGTGGAGTGGGCGGTGGACCCGGAGGGCACTTCGCCAGCGGCGGCTGCTTCCTCGGCCCAGCAATTCTTCTCCATAAAGCTTTTAGACTTGGAGTGGCGATCCACACAGCTACCATGACACCAAGGACCTGGGTGGCAAATATTCTGAACAAAAACACCCAGAATGCCGGTTTTGAATGTGTTGAAGGTTCTGATGAAGGCACTGGAGCAGCAAGCCACTCGTCTCTCCATGCGTACTCATATACCCAAGTAGCGAGTATGCATGCTGATGGCACAGCATATAGTGCTGCAAACGCTCCTAGTCTTAGGACGCTTTGGTCTTGATGTGGTTGTGGCGGCGAGTTCAGTAGCACAGATGGAGCCGGCACAGGTGCTGGTCGACGGAGAACTGCACGAAAGCCTGAAGACAGGAACACGCACCCAAGCAGCAAGCAGATAGCTTCAGGAATAATAACCAGGGCCAGTAAAGACTTACTGGATTGGTTACCTACGAAGCACGTTCCTGTAACAAACAGAAAAAAAAGTTAGACAACGACATCAGTGATGTAGAGGTTGGCGGATACCGAATCCTTATTCTCAAGTGCTCACTGCTCTTTATAGAAGTGAATAACATTCCGATTTCCACTAAGGCTGCTCTCAAAGCGAACACCTACACAAACATACGGCGAGAAAAAAGGCTTGCATTAATAAGGCGGTTAAAAGGGCCGATTTAAAATTGAAATACGAGCGTGCGAGGAGGAAAGGTGTCGTATTTAACGGCTCGAATAATGGTCGAGCATTTCTTTCGGCCGCCATAATGGAAGTGGAATGGAAATAATAAAAATAAAAGCACAATACCCGTGGCATGATTGAAACTGCAATATGCCTGAGAATCGGGCCGCGTGGCACTTCGCTCGCACTTCGCATAATGACGATAAAAATAAATGTAAGAGGAGTTCAAAATATATCCACAGGCCGAGATGAACAGATAGCGGACAAACGTAGGAAACCATTCATCAGATAGACGCTCTCGCGGCTAAATGGTGAAAGATGAATAAATTTTGTTCGTAAATAAGAAACTAGTTGAGGCACACAGATGTAGGGCTGAGAGGCTGAGCTGAGGCTGGTAGAGCTGAACCAAACAGTAATATGATGCTAAATGCACAAATGTGAATGTGCCAAAAGGAGATGCTCGAAAACTTATTAAAATAAATACTCGACCATCTTGTTTCCAAGTCGGATCGTAAGGAGGCGGCCATTAGTATGAAATAATAAACCTTCCAGTTTTTACCAATCATGTATTTATTACAGACGACGTGTCCGACGAAGCCAAGTGATTTATGCCCAAAAGTTTATTTATACAGGCAGTAAAATATTTTTAAGTGTATGTCTCCATAATTCAGCCAGATAAGTAATGATTGGCTCATTGTCTTTTCCATCCGATAAAGATTTTTTGGTAGCCAGTGGAGAAAGAATAAAATGAGCATTTTAAATAAGCAGATATAACTTGCGATGGGTCTGTAAATGGAAAGAACTTGAACGATAAAGTAGTTCTAAAGGTCTACATTTAAGAAGAACAGATAGTCAAGCAATAGTAGACAAAATAGAGAAAGTTTCAACAGTTCCCTAAGATTGTTTGTACAGAAGACAGTATCCTTTACCACAGAAGTTTTTAAACAAGCAATTGTAATCTCAGTACTTTCAAAGAGGACAGTCTTTGTCGGCGCCGCGTCTCTGTATCAAAACCGCAAAGGGCTTTGATGCCTCTGATCCAAGCATTACCGACCACCCGATTACGATAAAAACTTCTTACTAAGTACCTACGCAAACGTTATCATTGTAGAGCGGCACTTTTGTATTGTTCTTTCCCTCTGTCTAAATTAATCGTCCTCAGCTTAAATGATAAGAGGATTTTTTGATAATGTTAAAGTTACAATGTTTACAATAATTTTCAAAGCAGCCGTTTCTGTATCTTGTAGTTTTCTAAATATAACCGTTAGAGGTGCTACTAAGTTTTATCTCTTATGTAAAGATTGTTGTAACAATGTAGGAACACGTGTGTCTCTTTGCAATGTTAGTTAGATGTAAAATGCCGCCAAGTAACAGCGGTCCGATTGTACCCCAAGTGCCCAAAGCGGCATTGCACGATTCGACCGACAAATCTCTGGATTTACTGATACCGGTGCGATACTGTGTATCTTTCTAAAAATCCCCGCTCTGGGTCAGATAGGGCAAGCAGCGGTTTCTTTTAAAGATTAAAATACAAAATAATATTTATTAAAATTTACGACATGGCTCCTGGAAATTCTAATCTAATGTTTCCTCTTTCTCTTTGTTTGAATTGCGTTTAAATTATACGTGTATTTTTAACTATTGCGACGTGTTATTGAAATTAGGAGCTAAACATAGACACGCTCTATTACATAATTTATTGTCATAGATGTAAGTAATCTCCACATATCGTCTAATGGCACAAAACCAAGTCAGAATCTTGTTTAGCACACGAGCAAAATCACAATAAGCCGGTACTTCCATACAAACTACTCAATACCATTACAGTATGAATACGTGCTCCCGAGCACTCGAACCAGATTTAATCGCTTTGAAAAATGCCGCCGATCAAACAAGAAAGGACTATTAAAAACAGGAACGTTTCTTGCATTTGTGTTGTTTCGCTACGGTAATGTACGAGTATTAGGACCTTATTGATTGATTCACGAAAGAACAATGGACTTCATTTTTACCGACTTCAAAAAAAGGAGGAGGTACTATGTTCAGCTGATTGCTTTTTTTTTTGTTTGTTCGCGCAGTACTCCGCCATTTGTGAACCGATTTCCAAAATTCTTGTTTTGTTTGAAAGGGTATACTCCCGAGATGGTTCCTATCCTAGAGAAACCGAGAGGAACTTTCGAAAATTCTATGGACGAGTAATGTGTCTATTATGTTTTTTCGATTTACATATTGTACCTGATTGTACTTTACTGTTTTGGAGAATTTATTCCCTCTTTTTCAAATATTTGCCTTATTATGTAACCCAAGGACAAGGATGTATTTAAGTTAGTTTAAATGGCAAAGCGACTAGATCCTAATAAATAACGTCCAATACGGTGAATCATGTTTGTAATAGTGCAACCTCCTTCGGTAGCAATGAACTTCTATCATGACCATTTAGAGATGTCTCAGTAAAGAGAAAAACTGTTCCTGATCGACTGCCTATTTCATATGGTCATCTTACATGGGGTTTGTTAAAAGCGAAGACTTGTTTAGATAGATATATTAACTCGTCGAGTACCGGTTTTATAGACACAATTAAAGAACAATAGGTCGCGGTCACCGGTGACCGCTTGGTGTTTGACAGTTTAACTTAAAAAATATTATGAACCTTTGTTTTGGGGAGGCTTAGTGTAAGACATTTTCTTATAAAGGTTTTTTCAAGAAAACTTTTCAAAATGTTCATTGCTACTAATTAGCAGTAAGAATTTCAAATGGAATTCGCATTACTCAATGACATTTACTTGATGAATTGAATATTCCACCTTCTGCCGTGTCTCGCGACAAACCTGCTTGGTCTATGGTCCATCCACTCGTTAACTATCGAACCGGTCTCCAACTACCATAGATGGTGGACCCAGTTACTGAGAAACGAGGTGTTACAAAAACATATGATAGACATCACTGATGGTGTGTAAAAGTCGCTCGCATATCGGAATTGTAAATCGTAAATTAAAATTCTATTTACCTTCATCGTAATGATGTGTCAAACGTAATTTTTTTTTCTTCTTTAAAAAAAAATAAAAAATAACGTTTGACACATCGTTTTTTTTTAATGTAAATACAGAATATAAATGTCACCTTTTTGAAGCGATGTGATGTTTACTAATAGGCTTTAGTCGGACTAATTGATTTGATATTAACGGGGACCGAGTGTAATTAATTATTGTGGCTACTGTCAATTATAATAATCAACGTCTTTAGATGTCATAGAGGGACAGGTGACTTTTTGAGAAGTTGGTAACCTTGTTATTGGAGGTAATGAGGAAAGAATAGGGAATATTAATTAATGTATTAAAAACAGTTGCAAATAAAGCCGCATATGGGTAATGCGATCAATTAATAGATTTCTTATGCTCAAATACTCAAACACCACTCAGTTGTAAGTCGCGTTTAATTAAGTATAGTTCTGTCACTACAAATTCTTTGTAAAATGACAGAGACGGTACGATATTTAAATACAACTTAAAATTGTAGCTAAAGTAGCCTTTCGGTATACGGGTGTTAATATAAATATCATCAGAACATATGGAAAACTTGACGATATTAACCTATCAGTCCTATCAAGGTAACATTCGTTATGAAGGATACTCTTTGAGTACCGTCATTATAGACACAATTAAAGAACAATAGGTTGCGGTCACCGATGACCGCTCGGTGTTCGACAAAGATTCAACCTCACATAGGTATTTATAAAATTAGTAGAAAAATGACAAGATCTTACCAGTAAGCTCATCAGCGTCTACATCCCTAGTCACCAGTACTGCAGCAGCTAACGCAGCGGGCACTCCCCACGCGGCCAGCTGCAGCAGAGACGAGTGACGGTTGGTGCGAGAAGCTGCAGTGGTTGGCGCTGGAGGACGTAACACGCTGGCTCGCCAGGCGCCTGCTACTACAACCCACCTGTAAAACATAGAAAAGAATATAAGGACTCGGCCATAAATAGAACATTCTGGAGAGCCTGGATACCTAATGGAATTATGTTCAAATTAGTAAGTGACATAACATAACATCACGCCTTTTATTCCCGAAAGGGTAGGTGCGCATTATGCCACTGTACAATGTAACACCCACTTTTCACTATTTGTGTTTCGAGTCCCATGTAATAGGGAGTGACCCTATTGCCACATACCGGGTACAATTCCAGACTCTGTGCTACTACTAAGTTTTTTTTTTAAACTGAGTGACTTGATAGATAATGTATTATGAAACTTAAATGGTCCCAAGTGTTTGAGAATTGCACATTGACTAAAGATTTTCCATTCTAAACATTTATGCATGAAGCCACAGGCAAAAGCTGATATGATACCAGCATAATAAACTTCATAATTATAAGACATATACAGCTCTCTCATTTCTTGCAAGAAGTTGTTTAAGTGAAGGAACTTCCATTTATAAGTTTATTCAACCTACAATAACATAGAAAGACATTAAATTAATATGGAATGGTAAACTGGACTAAAAGACATCGTTCGGAAACTATAAAGTTCTTAACAAGTTCTTTAAAAAGGTGTAAATGTCTCATATTCATATATCATGGCCTGAGAATTACATCTTTTCATAGATTAAATGATCATAGATGGCGCCACGTATGAAAACCAGTCAACCGGGTCATGTTACACGATGTTACGGTTGATCTAGATCTCACGAGTAGCTACGTACGTGTGAATGCGCTACTGCCCAGGCGCAGGCTTGGAGTATAACAGATGTCATAACGCATGACATTATAAATAATAAACAATAAGAAAAACTGCGTTAATGAATATTACATGACTTTGTTTATAATTTATACGTAAGTCATATTTATGTTATAATTGTGAATAACAGACGCCTCTTTTTACGTTATAGTCAGTCTAACCATCGCTCAATATAAAGCAATTAAGACAATTTAACTCGTCGAGTACCGGTTTTATAGACACAATTAAAGAACAATAGGTCGCGGTCACCGGTGACCGCTTGGTGTTTGACAGTTTAATAACAAAACGACAGTTCTAAATAAACTATTATGGTAACAGTTAGTACTAAAATAAATAATTAAAAATTCCAGTAAAAACCCTTCGACCATTTACTAAGTAAGATCAATGGTGGTTTGCAAAGTAATTAAGATAATTAAACAGTCAATGGGTAGAACGAGAAACAATATAAAGTACAGCTGTAGTTGGCAGGTGTGTCAATACACGAACCTTCACGAAGGAGACCCGATAACAGACGAATTAAGAACTATCAAGACTATAACCAGCGTAACTTAGTACGGCTGTAGTATGTAACTACTCAAAGATCGGTTGTAAAATTTAGATCGTGTTAGATTATCAGTTTATTGATAATTTTGCGATATGAACTGTCCTACTTCTTGTATTATTTGTGTTTATGATGTCAACAACATTTAACACGTGTTCGTTTGAGTTTTACGTAGACAGCTTGTCTAGAGTTTAAACTTTTCATTTTTGTTGTAATGGATAATGGATGCAATAAGTACAAAAAATACGAATGTAACAGAATTATGAATGCTTTAAACTTATCTCTTTAACATTCATTAGATACTTAATCAAGCAAGATCAAATTAAATGATAAAGGTAGGCACCTAGTATGTCCTACAAGCTATAAGCAATTATTTACAGTGTGTACACGTAGGTTCGTAAACTTTATCTCGCATCTCACAGGTAATGATCGTAAAGTATCAAAATGGCTTTTTACTTTATTTATTTTAACAATGTGTTCTTTTTATTACTTCCAGCCATATCGTGAGAGACGCCATAATCTTAATTACCAATAACGAATTTTCAAGAAATTTTCCACAAAAGTTTAATCTTTTGGACGTGCAGGAATCCTGTTGTACGACTACGAGTGTAGGTAATTGTAAAGAAATATTTAACAAACATATTCTCTTCGCCAAATATTTAATATACAAAAAACCTGTTTGTTTTATGCGTGTCGAAATTGATAAATATCGAAAATTATTCACACGAAAAGAGCAATTAGACAACTGAGAACTGACACAAGCTTTATCTGTTGTTGTGGGTGTCTTTTTACATTCATGTTTAATCTTCTTATTATTCAGGTACTCTTTAAAAAAGTAATCTGATCTACGGGCTATGCTACATGCAGTAACATTGTAATTTTACACCAGACTGACAGTCGCTGATGTAAACAAAAAAGTGGTTGTAATCAAGATGACAGTGTAATTCGATGCCGCTGAGAGTTGAAACTCGTTAAACTATCATAAAAAAACTCTTTGTTTTAACCTCTTTATATTATATTTTACGATCGCGATCGCTCATCAGTATTTGTTATTATTCAGACACTTAATGGCAGGGTTCCTAGTTTTATTTTAGTCCTGTTAATCTGGTTTGACTTCCAATGCCCTGGCTCGTGCGTGCTCTTCGAATCTCGTAAACGTTCTTGTTGAACTTCGCCTCGAGTAAATTATAGCCTATGTCAACCCTTACTTAGCTCGTTAAAACCTCTGACAGGTAAATCCTACCCACTACGGCTGAGAAAGGTGTCGCCTTGTTTTGAACCGCCACCAACTTAAATAGACCCACACCGTCCCTTGCAGTTATTTAGAAGATAACCCGCAGAAGAGGGGCTTAAAGGGTTCTCAGAGATAATGTTAAGCTGGACAAAGATCTCCGCAGTGGCGTGTCACTGGCAGTGGCACTTGAACAAACAACGGTCCCTATTTGTACAGAACCGAAAGTGGCGATAGTCCAAACACCGGTGTTTGTTCGCTTGCTCGTATGTTTGATCCGGCCTCCGCCGCCGGCGCATGTTGGCTAACATTTTATTAATGTTTGTACGATTTGCATTGTGTTAATTAGGCTCATTTATTTCAAGTAGTTACCGAACACGCTACGCTACGGGTTTCAATGTTTTAACGCTCATAAAGTTTAATTTAAAGGTGTGATGGTATACTTTGAGACTGAGGTTTACTACTTTGAAGTAATCGAATTTGTAAATGTTATGACAGTCAATCAGTATCGCAATAAAACTGAAACCTTTTAGCATATTAGTACAAAGTACTTGAAGTGCAATTTATGACTCAATAAAGCATTGAGATCTATCGAGAGTTGGATGCGTTCGAGGCAAGGCGAGTCATTTGTCTGCGGCGCAAACGCAAGGAAATGCAAATGCAAATGTTATTACATCGAGGCGCGAACGGACGGCCGCTTTTAAGAATGTTTTTTTATTTCTTTTTGTGTTTATGTGGCGTCTTGTCGTGGCTCAAGTGGCCATTAAACGATAACGCTATCTCCACAACGATTGGTTTCACGCCGTAAAGAAATATATTTATTTGACAAGAGCGGGATGCGATGCAATATTTATAGTGTTATGAAGCTCATGAATATGTATTGTGATGAGGTAATGAGATGCGCTGCGGTCCCATATTGACCGTAAAGTTGTAAAGTCGACATTATAAAGAACCTACAACTGTGTTGTTCGTGTTACTTTGTGATGTCTCGAAAATATATTATATGGGAATAAAATTGGGTACTTCCCTTCTGAAGATAGAACTTCAAATATTTTAGCTCTATACTAGACGATATTGCAAGTACTCCATCACCTTCATGAAAATATTTGTAATGGTACACTTAATCCCTGGTTATTACCTTTCTGGTGGTACAGCGACGTATTTACGAGGCCACACATGCGGCCGTCACATTTGTATTCTTATTTCAAATGTGGGATAGTCGTAAATGTCGACAGACATGACATATGTCAGACTTGTCCCAGTGCGCATGCGCCGAAACATCTTGGTTTTACAAGTACCCACACGAACATTAAAATTGTATTAAGAAACTCGTAGTCTATTCACAAAATCTGCTGAATTCGTTTGAAACGACGCTTCGAACCAATCGCATAACATTTTTTTTTTAAATAAAGACAGATTGAAAAAAGAAAATAATTGGATTCATTTCGAATGTGTTAAGCATCAGTAGTCAGTCCTACTAAAACTCCAATCGTAATGATACGTAACTAAACAAAGCACTTATTTCAATGATCTGGAATAGAATACGAGAAAGTATTCATATGGAATCGTTCACATGTTTCTGTTTGTGATAGGAAGACGGGCTGACGAGGATCGGGGCACAGACATACGGGGCATAGCAATACCGGCGCTCGTTAACCCGCTCGTAACAATAAAACACACACCCACAGCACTATTTGGGTGAACGGACCCATTTATTGCCTTTGACGGGACGCCATTCTAGCTACAAACCGTTTTCTATAATTTCGACAGTAGGCACTAAAATAGATATAGTTTCCCTTTTTTGTCTTTGAATTAAGGTCCATAATAGAAGCGCCCACGTTGCTTTCCTCTCCCACATTGGCTAGATAACTTGGTCTCAAAAGGCGTCCGACATATCGATCGAATTCTCTGATTAAACGAACTGGTTCAACAGTGATGTCATGTTCAATAGTCGTGCTGTTTATGATTTGTTTGAAAATCGTAACAAACTTCGTTTAGTCAGTGCGGTTGTTTCTTTAACAACATGTGGACGTCCAGTCATACGTTTAAGTATAAAAGAACAACACGAGCTGGGTGCAGAATGTGACCGTCGATGATGCATGTTGTGCCGAAGGGACTCGGTTTATTTCGGGAGCTCGTAAAATTGATTATCCGTCGGATCCGAGCGCTCGGCTCAACACTCAGGCGCAGCACGATGCTCGTCGCCGCCTGGCGCGCGCTTAAACAGGATGCACTATTTCTGTTACGCCTCTGACAGAGATATGTGTATGATATTAATGCGATTCAAATGTATTATGAGCCTATTTATAAGGATAAATACGAGCTGCTGATGTGAACTCCGCCCGCTGCGTTCATGAAGTTATGCAAGCGAGCTCAGGAATGGATTGCTATTTCTGAAACTGTCGTCTTCGCTACAATGCAACTGTCCTAGTTG